GTCTCATATCTTCCTTTCCTGGTAGCATTTGATTTACTTTCCCCAGTTTCCCCGCCTTCGTCAACATCTCAGATATTTCTTACCAGAGCTCATGTAAATCACTAAAATACTCTTGTAAGGAGCAGGGTGAAATAATACTCTCAACTCGCCCCAGAAGTGGATCGATGAATCCTCTTGAAGATCTCTCTCTCTCTCCCTCCACGCTTCTGATTGGATCAGATCCCCTTGGCCGGTAGATTCCTTACCTTCCTACCCTAACCCCCCTGATAGAGGATTAGGTGGTTGGGGGCGAGACTAACCAGATGGACACTCTGGGCCCATGCATTGGATTCTGCAGACTGATGGAACATTCGTTTGGGACCTTCCTACGTGCGTTGAGCAGGGTAATTAAAATGAACCTTTGATTGTATGGCACCGGAAATAAGACAAGACGAAGTCAGAAACAGTATGATGGTGTAGGAGTTGTTGAATTTAGCCTCCTTCGTTTCCCGCAGGACTTTCATCTCTCTGTTGGATGGCCAGGATGTTGGACACACAACAACTAATGAGTTCCAATCGATGGTAACCGAGATCCACAAGGGGGCTTCTCCAAGATCTAAAACAAGCTGTTCTCCCGAATACAGGGGATATAAAACTGAAAACATGTAAAAGGTAATGATTGATCCAAAATCGGTATAGAAATGTGGCCGTCCTCAGTATCTATGCCGTAGCAAATACAAATCACGGGAAATATGTTTTAATAGCATATATATTCAAAGAGTCGGACTAAATTTTAACACTAGAAGAAGACTTAGGTCACATCGTTGCAGAGAGGGGGTGGTTGGTTGCGGATGATTCTGTTTGACTTACCTCCAACTATGTTTTTCGTCTCCATACTGAATCCCTTCAATCCAGTTCTTCATCTCGAGAGCTACTTTTCCGGCTTCTTCATTTTCTTTCAAACCACAATCCACCGTACGTCCTTTCCAGCTGATGGTGCGGACGGGACTAACAATCGCCGCAGTCCCTGCTCCGAATACCTCGATCATCCTACCCTCATCAGCAGCTTGGGCAATTTCCGACATTGTCAACTTACGCTCTGATATCGTCCAACCTCTGGGGCCCAGTCTCTCCCGGGCAAGAGTGAGGACTGAATCTCTGGTGACTCCCTCCAAAATCGTTCCATCCAGCGGAGCCGTGATGAGTTCATTTTGCCTAGTTTCTTTGTTTTTTAACGCAACAAAAAGATTCATGGTCCCAACCTCCGTGACGTACTCCTCTTCTCCGAATAGCCACAGATTCTGTTGGTGGCCTTTCTTTGCCGCTTCGGTCTGAGGGACAATGCATGGAGCATAATTTGCACCCAGCTTTTTGTCCCCGACTCCGCCAGGCCATGCACGAACCGCGTAATCTGTTGCCTCTAGAGAAATAGCCTTGAAGCCGGTTGGGTAGTAAGGACCAACAGGGCTAGCAATGACGAAGAGCAGGGCAGAGGAAGGAGCGCTAACACCCAACGTCTCCTGCGTACCAATCATTGTGGGTCTTAGATACAACGAATAACCACGAGTTCTATGGGAGATATAGTCAATCAGTATAAGCAAAAGAACAAATCTAATGTCGAATTCCATTAGCAATCCAATCAACAAAGGTTACTTACTGGGGGATAAATCTGCTGTCTAATTTAACAAGCTCACTGATGAGCTTTATCGCAGCATCTTCATCGAGTGTTGGAAGCGCGATACGCTTCGATGATCTATTTAATCGTGCCATATTCATATCTGGTCTGAATAACCGGATGCCACCATCCTTGTCTTTGTATGCCTTCATTCCCTCAAAACACTCAAACGCGTAATGGAAAACGCAGGTCGCAGGATTGAGACTGAGGTTTTGAAAGGGAACGATGCTTGGAGACAACCAGCCATCCTTGGTATTCCATTTTACCATAAGCATGTGGTCTAAGAGCATATTTAACAATAAATTAGTGATTCCATGTATATATTTATATCTCTAATAGAGCATTTCCAATGGCAGAGTACTTGCCAGTGAATGTCGACCCGAAAACGAGTTTTTCTGGGGGAGTGAGTTTGCTGGGGGAGGGATTTTTCGTAATTGATAGCTTGGAGACGTCAACTCCAGGTAATCCATCGCTCCGGCTTGCAAAATTCGAGCTGTATTTCCTTTGGCAGGGAATGGAATATCTCCATGCGGAGCTACTGCTGCTAAGTGCAGGAATTCCCCTACGAGTTAGGGCGGACACAACAGACTTCATGGTTCTTCACTGGACTCAATTGGTTTTCGAAAGGGAGAATACGAGAAATGGGGGAAGGTGGAAGGGGAAATATAACGGTTTGAGTCACCGCGGTTAGTTGCTGAAGGGCGTGACGATTTGCCGATGTCAGGAAAACAGTTTTTTGTTTCTCCGTGTCTGACCATTTTTGTGCCGCGCCTCTTCCTCCAGTCCCGAGCGCCGGCAGTCGGTGGGGACAACGGCCACGGCAGCCAGCCAATCAGCGATATCGGTTTGCCTGCAGATCCGAGCTTTGGCCGCGGCGGGTAAACATTGCACGAATCAGACATAATAAGCGACCTGGGAAGTCTCCATATATAGCACGTGATATCATGTGACTGTGGCTAGCAGTGGGAAGGGTGTTGAGCCGCATCTGAGGCTGACACATTCTTATTTTGACTGCCCTGCAAGAGACGCCGTGCCAACATACGATCCATAACCCATCGGGTGTGTAGAGGTAGGTGTGAATATTGCGATTCCCCATATTCTATTTGAGGAGCGAGAGAGAAGAAGAGTAAGCTCGCATGTTGTTCAGATGTTAGTGTTGATGTCAGGTGTTGTTGGTTCATGGATTAATCACTCCGGAAGGGAGTAACTCCCTTGAGCTGAGATCATTCTAAACTTCAGGCTGTTGCTTGGGTCTCACCATATATACGGATACGTCTTCTTGTCTTGGCTCCTTGGCTTTTTTGTATTTTCTGAATTCGCCATGTTTTCGTCTGCTTTGAAGTCTTTTGGCTCAAACATTGCTTCCAATTACCAGCTATCTCCACACCCCTCATTTACTTCGGGCCCCTGGAAAGTATATGATGGCAAGAAAAAGAGTACCGGAATTGCAGCATCTGTTTTCGTTTTTGATCGGAAATTCCTTGAGGCACTCCCTAGTGGCCTTGGTTCCCGCCCTAACTCCTCATCGCTAAAAAAGTTACATGATGAAGTTGTTGAAAGGCTTAAACGGGAGGCAAGCAGCCTAACCCGCCTAAGACATCCTTCAATCCTCCAGGTCCTGGAACCAGTGGAGGAGACTCGAAATGGCGGTTTGATGTTTGCAACCGAGCCAGTCACCACATCTTTAGCCGGACTCCTGGGGGGAAAAGATGACCAAAAGCAGCTTTCACGAGGGAGCAGACGAGCTGGCCTCTCTACCCGTGAGGATTCCGATGTATCTGGAAATGGAAATAGTACCGAATTGGATGAAATCGAAGTACAGAAAGGCTTATTGCAAATTGCCAAAGGCCTAGCATTTTTGCATGAATCTGCCGGTCTTGTCCACGGCAACCTAACCCCCGAGGCCATCTACATCAACGCGAAATCAGACTGGAAAATATCTGGACTTGCCTTTGCCGGCCCAGCTGATACAGGGTCACAGTCGCCGCTACCTCCGCTCGCGCTTTCAGAGGTTTTATATCAAGATCCCAGATTGCCAGCTGCCGTTCAACTTAACCTGGACTATACATCCCCTGACTTCGTCATGGACTCGAACATTTCCACATCTGCGGACCTCTTTTCCCTAGGCCTTATCATTGTTACTCTTTATAATTACCCCCACACATCTCCTCTAAAAACTCACGGCAACCCTTCTACATACAAAAAATTATTGAGCTCACCATCGACAATACCTTCACAAAGTAATGGATTTCTTGCCTCGGGTCAAATACCAAAAGATCTATCATCCTTCGTTTTGCCTCGACTCATAACGAGAAGACCAGCTCAGCGTATGGATGCAAAGGAGTTCCAACAATCTCAATATTTCGATAATATTCTAATGTCAACCATACGCTTTCTGGAGTCTCTTCCTGCGAAAACTGCCAACGAGAAGACCCAATTCATGAAAGGATTGGGACGCATATTGCCAGAATTCTCGTCTTCTGTGCTTGAAAGGAAGGTTCTTGTTGCTCTCTTGGATGAAAGCAAGGACAAAGAATTATTGCCACTTATCCTGTCGAATGTCTTTAAAATCATCAAGATTATTCCATCCGGTCCGCGCGTCGTTCCCGAGAAGGTCTTGCCTCATCTCAAGTCAGTTCTTCTCCCAGCTGGTGCAAAGACCTCCACGCAGGATCGCGACCACAGCAAAGATGCTAGTCTCATGGTTGTCCTGGAAAATATGGAACTTATTGCTAACACATGCTCGGGGCGAGATTTTAAAAATGGTTTGTATATTGACGTCCTTTGATTGACATTCGCCAAGTCCACTAACGGAAATTCGCCAGATGTACTACCTCTGGTTCGCTTAGGACTAGAGTCTGGTACCCACTCTCTTGTCGACGCTTCAATGCGGTGTCTCCCTGTGATGTTGCCGATTCTCGATTTTTCAACCGTGAAGGATGACATTTTCCCTCCTATTGCTTCCGTTTTCACCAGAACCAGCAGCCTTGCTATCAAAGTCCGAGGCTTGGAATCGTTCGTTATTTTATGCGGTGGGTCCATAAAAGAGGAACCCTCGACTTCTGGTGGTGATTTCGTGGGGATGTCAAGCAAACCCCAGCAATCCAAATCCGGCTCAGCGTCAATTCTTGACAAGTATACTGTCCAAGATAAACTGGTTCCCCTACTAAAAGCCATTAAAACGAAAGAACCCGCAGTTATGATGGCAGCTCTAAATGTGTTTCGACAGGTCGGCCAAATTGCTGAAACCGAATTCATCGCGCTGGAAATCATTCCAACACTATGGAATTTCAGCCTTGGCCCTCTTCTCAATGTCCAGCAATTTGGTGGTTTCATGGACCTGATCAAGTCCCTCTCCTCAAAGGTGGAACAACAGCAAATGAAGAAATTACAGTCACTCTCCTCTTCAAACGATCCCGGCAACCCTAGAAGCAGCAATCCTAATTTATTTGGAATGATGGAGACTTCAAATGGCAGAACCAATGTTGAAGGTACACGATCAGATTTCGAAAGCTTAGTCCTTGGCAAAAAAGCGACGACATCAAGTCCTGACAATACTTCCTGGAATTCCTGGGACACTGCAAGCTCAAACGCAGCAGCGCAAAATACGATTAATAGCACACCCCAATTTACATGGTCGACTGTAAATTCTGTCAATGCTAACAATTCTGGAGGTCGTAATTCACTTGCGAACCTGTCAGGCCCTAGTCATCGGTCGATTACGCCAGATATGAGTATAAACTCCTTTCCTACACTTGCTCCTACTGCTGCACAACAGCAGCCATCAGTGGGGTCATCTTTCCCCACGTTGCAGCCTTCACGACCATCTCAACCATCTCAACCATCTCAACCTTCACCGCTTTCACCTTGCTCGACAATGACCCCAATAGCGAACAGCAACAAAATCCAACAACCCACTTCGATAATGAATCAGTATTCCACAAACCAGATCTATCCACTCACATCTGCAGCATCAACAGCATCGCCATCAACTTCGTCCTTTGGCCAAAACTTGCAGCCAACTATATCCCTTTCTCAATTTTCAATCCCTCCTCCACCCCCGTCAAATTTCCAGCAACAGCAACAGGCGTCACATGCCCCCCTTTCCTCCTCCCTTGGTCAGCAAAATGCAAACCAAAACCAGCAGCCTTATTCGAATTCGGGACAGATATCCCCAGCTCTACGACTACCAATTAACCAACAGAAACAAGGCCTCGATAGATATGAGAGCCTCCTTTGAGAAAAATATTCACAGCCTGCACACAGGACAAAGTACCACACTAAGAGAAACTATCGCCCAGCACGTCCTCGAGTTCGCGTTCAACAAATGGCCTATGGAGAGCATTAGGCAAAACACGTTGCCGGAACAGGCGGTTCACTGCGTTTATATATCCATTTAGATTTGCGACGGCTCAAAATTGGATTTAGATCTGCACAATTAAAATGTTTACCATGTTAATATTTAATTTATTATCTTTACAAGTGCCAACAACTCCATCCATTCAATAATCCCTATGATCCCCATTAGGTTTTAAACGTGAGTCCCGGCCTACATAAATTATGGAGGGAGGAAACGCTTTCGTCCACCCACTGAGCCATTCTTTTTCCAACACAGCACAAATACCCCATATTCGAAAGGGATGGTTTTATAGCATATTGCGGGGCAATCCATGTGTCTATTTTTGAGAGACCAGCATCCTTCCAGTGCAGGTCAGAGAATATAATAGTTGAGTTCTAAGTAAGAGTATATATATCATTGTTAAGCTTTCAAGAGAATCATAAGAACGGAGATAGACACCAGTAGATCATTCGCTCGATTGATATGGGAACAACTATGGGAGGGAATGAAGGCAGGCAGGTGGAGCGCAAAGGTCGTAATGCTGTTGCCATCTAAGTAATATTTCAGACCATGCTTCCAGAACAACAGAATTTGCTATTCCCTCCCCAGAAGCTTGAATAGTGGCGAACTAGTAAATTCCAGTTAAATTATATGAGGTCGGCTGCTTGCCGACGGGTCTCTAGGGGATTTGAAATCTTGTTGTTTGTCGTCAAAAAGTAGTTATAATTTGGTCCTCAGAAACTCATTAAAACCATCCTGCTCAAGGATGTACCCGTGTGGGAATCTACTTTGCTCATGCTGTGCAGTATTTCTAAAACGTTTGGGGCTGGCTTCTGGGGATTTAGAACAAGAACTGATGGATGTTGCCCAAGCCGTTCCCCGTTCCCCGTTCCTTCTCTCGCCTCACCCAACTAAGCCTGTCGCCGTGCAGATGCTCTCTTTGTCCTGGCAGAAAACTCAAAAAGCGACCACTGTAGGCTCGTCAAAGTCAAATTTCCATTTGCGGTGCTCCCAATGGTTAGTTAGCTAGCTCAAGGATATCACAGTCTTCCCAAACTCCTACTCGAAGGACGTCTTATCAGGGCTGTCTCGACCGTTGCGAGTGTCAAGATGGAAGTAGATTTCCATCCAGAAGTCCTGCAACTGTGCTTCTGTCCACTCCTTAGATCAAAAAACAGCTAAATGATTATTAGGTCTAACACATGCATAGAACTCCTCCAGGAGGATTGGCCTGAGGTACTCAATGATGTCATTTTGAAATTGATCATGTTCAAGGCGAATGCCCTCAGAAAGGAGAGCAGAGGAAAGGGAACTGAAGAATCATATAACCTCATTGAACCCTAGGAAACTGTTGTACTAGGCTCGATCCTCTATGGGGTTGTGCTCGATAAGATGATCCACCTAAGATCATCTTAATCCCCCACAGTTCAGCATCGCATCCGTGAGAGCCGTGCCGGCGATACTGAAGGGATCCGAGATCCCTATCCTTAGAAATATCTGCCCTTGTCCATTATAGGTCCTTCTGAAGTTGGGTCGTAGGTTGGACCTCCCTCTGACCAAATATCCTCTGCCATTATCAGTAGCTCGCGGTCTTTCTCATTCATCCCCTCGTACATTTCTTAACACCGCCATCCATGTCCTCCCAAAGTAAAGCCTCTTTAAGCTCTCGCACATGGGTGCATGTACTGTAAAAGGGCCCAGGCAATGTGGAATCCAGTCAATGCCTATAGTTGACTCGTATCCTGTATTTAACCATTGTCTTGTTGGCGATGAATGGATCGTGACTAAGCCGGCTCGCTGTGGTCTTGCCGGCCATCATCAATCACCACTGCTCTCCTGCACCAATCCTCCTCCACCGGCTGGGCAGCGTCAGCCACAGCTTCCATGACCCCTCTTCGAAGCTTGTCCTGCAAGGGTTATAGCAAAGCCATCCCCTTCTCTGCTGCCAGCCGCCCCCTTCAATTTCGACACCAATTTCCTGCCTCGCAGAAATATTGTAGATTTGCATCTACCAGTTCTGCTGCGGTTGCTATTCGATTGAAGCCGACAACGACAACTCTCTCCAACGAGATCCCATCAGTCATGGACGCGAAGGTTAAACAGCAGTATCTCGCTGACTCTCCACCCACCGTGGTCAGGCTCGAGATCAAGCCTCACTTCGAGGCGCTGGATGATAAGCAAAAACGCTATGCTCACTTCATTAGCAGGTAGGTTGGTCTTCGTTCTTATATTGTCTCTTCAACTAGATTATGCTCGCGTTCTGCTGCCCAATTACTGTATTTAATGTTTCCATTGCGTACTTGTCTTGAATCCCCTTCTCCCAAATATGCACAACCTGTACATTGTTCGTTTAAACTGATGATGCAACAGGGCGGCTTTCCAAGGAACTCGGATCACTCTACGTCAAGTCTCTCCGGAATCCGAACCTGTCTACGACCTGATCATCTCTCTTTACCGTGCTTGCAATGGCGATTGGAACTCCCTGGCACAGAAGACCAGCGTTAGCGCAGAAAACCTACGCTTCTTCTTGGAATACGCGGCTCAGTTCTTAGGCAATTGCGGGTCGTATAAAGGATTCGGGGATTCCAAGTTTGTTCCTAGAATACCTGCTGATGCCCTGCAAACTCTCGCCTCCGTTACTCCAGAAACAAAGGCAGCATGGGAAAAGGCAACCAAATCTGGTGGAGGGATATATGAAACTGCTACTACCAGCCTTATGCATCTGGGATATCCGGAAAACGGACATATGTCGACGTATTACCCCAATTCCCCAACCATCACGAATGAAGAGATCTCTCTGATAGCTTCCTTTTTGGAACATAAAAAGTTATTACCGGAAAATACGAGATTGCGGAAAACGGAGTCCGGGGATTTCGAACTGCTGATTGCATCTGCAGATAAGTCCCCGGCGGGGAATGATCGAGATGCTGGTGATGCTTATCAATGGGAACTTGAAGGCAAACTACAAGGCAAAACTCTTCGCCTTGTCTTTGGTGACCACTCCGAGGAAATGGCCAAAATTGCGCAGAGTGTCAAACAGGCAGGCCTGAACGCTGCAAATGACATTCAAAGGAGAATGCATCAGGAATACTTTCGGTCTTTCACCACTGGCTCCCTGGAAGCGTACAAGCAAAGCCAAAGAGAGTGGATCAAGGATGTGGGCCCTATGGTCGAGTCAGATCTTGGGTTTGTGGAAACATATAGAGACCCTCATGGTGTCCGTGGAGAATGGGAGGGGTTTGCGGCTATGGTATACTAGTCATCACGTACCAACTCTCCGATTTTAATACTGATTAAGGCTAACAGCTTGTGCTAGGTCAACCAAGAGCGGACTAAAGCGTTTGGAAAACTTGTTGCGAACGCGGAGTCGATGATCCCAAAACTTCCTTGGGGCAAAGACTTTGAGAAAGATAAATTCCTCTCTCCAGATTTTACTTCACTAGAAGTTCTCTCCTTTGCCGGCAGCGGAATACCCGCTGGCATTAACATACCAAACTATGATGATATTAGACAGAACTTGGGGTATAAGAATGTGTCCCTAGGCAACGTTTTGAGGTATGTATCTTAATTGTCTGATACATATGCTAACCTCATGAAATCTGCTAACATTACTATGTAGCGCCAAAGCGCCAAATGAACCCGTACCATTTATAAGAGAGCAGGATCTTCAAGTATTCCGAGACTACCGCGATCCTGCGTTTGAGGTCCAGGTAGATGCTATCCATCTCTCCTCTGACCCCTTTCGATCACAAAAAATGCCATATATTTCTCCAAGTATTGAATTGCCTTTTTCCGTCGATACCTCTCTCACATTTGAGGTCTTAAACAGGTCGGAATCCACGAATTACTGGGCCATGGGACCGGCAAACTACTTCAAGAGACAGCTCCTGGCGAGTTTAACTTTGATATTTCCAACCCACCAATCAGCCCCATAACACAAAAACCAATAACGACCTGGTACAAGCCAGGGCAAACGTGGAGCTCAGTCTTCGGGTCGATCGCTTCATCGTACGAAGAGTGTCGGGCGGAATGCGTGGCAATGGTTCTCGGCTGCGACTTCAAAATATTAGAGCTTTTTGGCTTTGGCAACGGCGAAGAAGATATAAATGGTAAGGCAGGCAATGTCCTGTATGCCAGCTATCTACAGATGGCCAGGGCTGGTGTAGTGGCGCTCGAGTTCTGGGATCCTAAGAGCTCGAAGTGGGGGCAGGCCCACATGCAAGCGCGCTACAGCATTTTACGCACATTCCTGGATGCCGGGGGCGATTTTGTGAGATTGGTGCATACTAAAGATGACCTTTCCGATCTTGAGATTCACCTTGACCGGTCCAAAATCTTAAGCCATGGTCGACCAGCGGTAGAGAAGTACCTACAAAAGCTCCATATTTACAAGGCAACGGGAGATTTCAAAGCGGGCAAAGCGCTGTACGACGACATTACGAATGTTGATCAATGGTGGGGATCGCAAGTGCGACCGGTGGTTCTACAGAAAAAGATCCCGCGCAAAGTGTTTGTGCAAGCCAACACGGTCCTTGAGGGCGATAAGGTGGTGCTGAAGGAATATGAACCAACATTGGAGGGTATGATTCAAAGCTATGCTGAGCGCGATGTGTGAAGCAAGTGATGGAGCCGATGGGGGCTTGGGTCGAACTTCTGCATTGAGCCGTTATTGTTAATTATCATTATCCAGTTTCTCATGTTCATGTAACGTTGTTGTCTCACGATATTGTCGCGAGCAAAGCCGAAATGCAGGAAATGAAATAACCTCACTCATGAGTGCAGGAAAATGGGGAGAGAGAAAGAGGAGAATATGATAATAATAAACGCGTATCATCTCTCAGCGAGAGAAATAAAATACTCAATTTTGCGAACAGATATATCACAGCGACTACAGTGAAGCAAACTAGGTGGCCCCCATTGACGACGTCGAAAGGATGAAAATTTGCCATTATTAATACGCGTAATGGTAATGATTGGAATTAAGAAGGCCGTTTCTTGTTGGGCACGATCAATACAAGGGGATCAATGAAGGGAAGTTTCCGTTGATTCATTCCACCACAGTCCACAAGGGACCAAGGATCATCTTGCTCTTGAAGGATAGCTCCTAGCTACAGTTCAATTTCCCGTCTAGCCCGTCTCCGTCTCACAGCTCCCACTGCTTGCCAGCTGGCCAAGCCTGCCATTGACCACCATCCAGGCTGCTCCTATTGTTTTCCAGCAGGGCCCATCGCCCAATCCGGCCAAGCGTACTCACATGACCCCACCCAGCCCTAATTGACATCCCTATTGATGCCCGTTTCAACAATAGGGAACACCCTCTGCGGTCTGGTCCCCGTCAATAGACCTGGCGATATGGAGATCCTACTGGAGGAGCGGAGTAAACTTTCTTTCTGTCCGTCCCTTCTTCTTCTTCTTCTTCTGTTCCGATGATATACACTGACACCGATGTTACCCTCCACCCGGAAACCAAGAACTTGTTGGACCGACCCTTGCTGAGTACTGGGGCCAATGCCCTAAAGCGGAAGAAAGACCAGCACAGTTACTGTACCTCTTTCTCTTGAAAAAAAAAAAAAGAAGACGCCATAATTTTGTCAGGATCTGGTGACAAGGAAACAACCTGGCGGTGGCTGCAGTCAAGAGCAATCCCCAAAAAGGGGTTTTCTAGCCTCTACCCGAGATTTTTTGCTTTTTCCTTTTCTTCTTTTTCCCTATCCCATCTGCGCGGGAGTGGATGCTTAATCCCCGAATGGCAATAATAGATAATTTCCCCACCCTGTTTTTCGCCCAGAGTTGGCATGTTGTTTATTGTTGTTGGTGGTGTGTGGGTGTTTCTCGTTTGATATTGGTTGCCCATTCAGCCAAAGCGGAGATAAATCTATTCCTTTAAACTACTCCGTACATCTCTTATTATTATCCATCATGGCAAAAATATGGCAGCAGGGGTTGAATCGCTATTGAATAGCCCCTGTAATCCTAGCTGCCTTTATCTTTCTCTATTGGCGCGTTATTGTGGAGGTTGCTCGATTTTCCATTATTGCTAGGTCCCTTTTTTATTCCTCAGCCTCCTCTTATTGTTTGTTGCAGCATTGCGGGTTTTTTCCTTCATTTTCATGCGACCGTATTGTTGCAAGTTGTTACTTATTATTATGAATGCAGATTTGATTTCGAAGCGAACCGAGCACCCCCACGATGTATCAAGATTTTAGTTTGATTGTTGACTGCATGGGGTGACAGCTGCGACAGCCCTTTGCAGAGCACCGTATGATTCCCCATTATTTGGGTCTTGATATAGGGTTATGCTGTCATATCAGCAGCTATCCACGGGCCTGAAATAATATATTCATTATTTATTACATCTTTCTATTCTTGCATGATTACTTTCGTTCAAAACAACAACAATATTTTCGAAACGCCTTTGCCTTTCATAGATTCCCATCTTATTTTATATACAACCACGTTCTCTCGATCATCTCCCGTACGGTCCCCATACCTCCGAGATCCGATATCTACTTGTCCTCTCATTATTCGCCTTCTACTCTACCGAAATATAAAATGCAGCCCCCCTCAGACTCCATCAACCACCAAAGTCACAAGCTGGCAGAGTTCGTCGCCAGCCTCAGGTCCCAAAACAGTCTTGCTCCTCCTCAACCGCCACCAACATATGCGATCGCAACAGCTCGTCCTTCACTCGAGGACACACTCGGAGACATCGTCGAGGATGACGACGATGACGAAGAGAGCGCAGCCATTGTCCCTATCATAATCAAAATCGATACATCGATAAATATTGAGGGGCAGGGAAATACTATCGCCATCCCCACATCAATGGGCGCATCGACATCGGAGGAGCCTCCTGCTTCCATCCCCACTTCAAAACTGCATTCTACATCACTGCCTGCTGGTGGGAGTTCTCCTCTACAGCAACTCCAGCAACAGCGGCAGGTCAAATCTGCACAGCTGGCGACAGCTATTATCTCCGCGCTAAAAACTTCTGGCATCATGGATGATAAAGAGACGGGCAGGCAGCGGCCTGTGGAAGTGAACGTAAGCTCTGGCATACGTATTAAAGGGGATGGGAATGTCGTGCGCGCGGGTGTTCCGAAGAGATCAGCGTTGAGCCATGTTGGAAATTCCGATTCTTCCTTCGATGGGAAGGAGGAGTTGTCGAGGCGGTGGAGGAAAAGGAGGGCTAGCTCGGTATGAACGTCCCTTTACATTTTACCCTTTTTTTTTCTGTAAATACGTATAAGTGGCCTAACATATCGCTTTCCAGCAGCCCATCGAAATCCTTTCAAAGAAGAGGCAAATATAACCGAAGTCACCACCATTCTGTAGATTTTATACAGATACCACCACAACGCTATTTCTCCAGCTGCTCGTCGAACTAACTGGAAAACGCAAAATGTTTTGTTTTCTCCTTTTTCGGCATCTACGAGCGATTATCCTCCAGTCCATGTACGAGGAAAGTGAGTACAGCTGAAAGATCCACGACTCAATTCCCTGGCAAAGAAATAAGACACCCCACCGTGGATGTATGGCATGATATATTTCCAATAGACGAACACATGGCGTTTTCTCGAGCACAGTACACCCGCCCATTCCCGCAAACCGGACCCTTATAAAAACCCCTTCGAAAAGCGTACCTCAGGAGGTATATTTTTGCTTCCACTTCCACCTTCATGCAGCCAAGCATTACTCCTCCCATTGGTCTTCTTCCTTGCCATTGACTGCTCCTAACAGCACGCATGCATGAATACAATAATATCTGTCATATTCTGCCATTGACGCCAACCTGATTCCTTGTTGCCATCATTGCCAAATGCCAATCAGTGACCTTGTGAATGGCTGTTGACACATTTTAAATTTTGGTAGTTTCTGCATTGTGTCGCGCATGCTTGTATAACACGGTACGATAAATGGATGCCTGAGCGTGGAAAAAATGCCGCTTCATTGGCCGTTATTCAAGCACGGAAGGGGGTAGTGGGTGTCCTGTGAGGCTAGGTTTTTGCAGTTTGTTTGTTTTTTTTACAAAACTCGGATGTGGGAAAAAAGGAAAAGGAAGACGCCTGCATAAAGGACTGACAAAAAGAACAATCACGATGAATGATTAGACGACATGATTTTTTTTGGTCCTGTACTGTACATAAAAGGAAGGATAGGCTTTAAATAGTTTAATGTATATATAACGATGATATTTTGTGAGCTAGGGTGCGGAAACCTTCAAGAGAGCGTTATGAGTTCAGGTCTGTTTTAAATGTGAACACAGATGCCATGTTGATGGCAGCGTCCCACATCCCCAATCGCCCCAAGATAGCGCCCCAGATAAAAGTTGAAAATTTTACATCTTATAAAAATAGTAAGTTAAACCATCAGACTGCTCCGTAGGAGTAAATGATAAATGAAAGCTATCATTTTGCGTGCGGACTGAATAAATTGATATGCCGTTGTCCAATACACCACTATTAGCCGACTATTGCAGGGTAAAAGCTGGAAAGGAATAAAGAAAAGCAGTGCTCGGAATCTTCATACATATTATACATTTCAAGAGGGGAAAAAAAAGAGGTCGAAGGGGCAGTGCCAAAGAGTTTGGCAGAGAAATGGATATAACTCGGTCCAGAAGACAGTTAGTTACATTTTTAAAAAAAAAGGAAGCCTTCACCGTAGGGTAAGCACTCAGTCAATAAATGGATTGATCAGAACCGATCGATTAGATCCGACCAAATTAAATCAAAAATTGTTCTATGCGTTTTGGAAATTTGAATATGGTAAACCATGAAAACAGATAAAAAAAAGGGGGGGCCCCAAAAAAAGGTTTCCTTCCGACTCCGATTCCGATTTTGATCATCCTTTTTTTTTTTAAAGAAGGGAATAAATTATAAAATCAACGCCCCGCTGGTATATCAATGCGATGCAGTGCCGTGGACCATGCTGGTATCCGTTTATCGCGTTCATAGAGTAGGCCGCAGTTGTGGCATAATGTCTAGATAAAACACACAAAAGCACGTACAAATAGTCAGCATTTATTTTTATTTATTTTTATTTTTGAAAATGGAGCCAGCTTAAAATAAGCAGCGACAATGGAAGAAAAGGTTTGCTGCATGGAAGGCTATATTCTCAATTCGTTTTTTGCTTACCCTTGGCCCGGCTGGTCCATCTCTAACAGCCCAAACCGCCGTGCCCCAGACGGAGCAATTAGCACAGCGCCACGTTTGTCTCTCCCTGATCAGGCACCAGAAATTAGTTTCAAATCCTTAAGAAATCATATTTTAAAAAAAAGGGAAAAAGGAAAGGAAAGCAACACAACGAACCAGTCACTAAGCGTTCCTCCCCCACCACCATATCCAGCTCCGGCCCCAGTATCGGGTGTGCCCCTCCCACCACCACCAGGCGTGCCACTCCTTCCCCCAAGCGGACTAAGACTCCGAAACCGACGCTTCTTCTTACTCCTCTCCCCCCTCCCCATTCCCTCATCTGGAATATCGAAATATCCACCGCCAGACGAACTCTGCTGCCTCGTCAACTCAGGCACAATCCCACTCGTTGACGAAAACCTTGCTGTCTCCCTCCGTAACCGGCGAATCTGCCTCTCCCGATCCCCTTCCCTTTTCTCAATCTCCTCCTTCGATAACGTCTCCACCTTCGGCTCCCATTCATCCCCCAGTCCGTCGGGATCATACCGCCATCCGGCCTCCTGACCATTCGCAGCCTGGTTGTCAATCTCATTTCCATACCCGCCCAGGCCGCTAATCAGCCCGCCGCTCTCACATACTTCCTTCTTCAACTTCAACACGGCCTCATAGATCCCATGCGCCACGGCGCTGACCCATTCGGGACCTAAGCCTAAATCTGCACATGTGACGCGCGCGAATTCCTCAGCCAGTCCTTGCGAGTGCAGTAGTGACCATTCGAATTTATCTGTGTAGAGTCTGTTGTGTAGATTGATGTTTAGATTCACGACGCAGCGGTAGGCGTCGTCGGGATTTAGCTCGTTATCGCCCATGGAGAGTTGCTGGGAGGATACCAGCACGTTGCCCTTTCTGGGGCCTGTATCGACTAGGGATGCTGGAGTTGCAGCGTTCGTAGCACCAGGTGTTGCAGAAACGCCTCTTGAGGAGGGTGCCCCGGGGTTTGTGATGGTTTGCTGTGAGCTTTGGAACAGCGGATGCAGTGCGACACCGGCATACTCTTCAAGTTGCTGGCGGAGCTGGCTAGAGATCGCTACGGTCATTGCTTGCGGGTTTGGTAGATCTAGATCACGCACCATAGCCGTAGCGAATTCTTCGGGTGTCGTGAGTGCTTCGTGTAGATTCCAGAGAAAAGTATCTTTAATTCGATATGGAGGGGCTGGCTCTGGTTTGCGGTAGGCTGGAGAGGCAGGGTTGATACCCAGTTCCAGATAGTTTCGCGGCAATGGAAACGGTTCTGCCGGTTGATACGCAGGCACTTCAAGATCGATGCGGATGGGTACTAGGGTTAATGGGAGTTGTGCTTGTGTGCTTAGTTGCTTCTTCCTCCTAAACACAGTCCGTTAGTTTCTATGTAAACATTATCCAAAAAAAAAAAAAAAAAAAAAAAAGGAACAAGACACGATAAGACACATACGCCGGCTTCAACACCTTCTTAACCACCCATTCCCTGAAATTCGGCTGCATATCGACGGGCTGGAATATCTCCTTCCCCAGCTTCTCCCCCGCTGGCCCTCTGTCAGGGTTCAGCTCCTCCCTCCTCAAACTCCTTAATCCAGTCGGTCGTCGAGGTCCCTCACTATCGTCAAAGTCATCATCGTCATATCCATCCTCCGCATAGTTTACAGCGATGGTACCACGTTTGGTCGTGCGCGCTCCAAGTACACCTTGCGAGGGAGGAATGGATGGGGTGAGGAGAGCGTTTGCATACTGGCGGAGACGAGGGGAGTAGGAGGTCATGTATCCTTGAACCGGAGCCATAGTGTTGCGGTTGTTCCGAGTCCTCAGTAAACGGTGTTCTTTTGTATACTTATGTCTCTATCATGGCATTGCTTCGGGAGCGGAGATGGATGTGATGAAAGATCGTATGGATGGATTGAGGCGTATGTGTTTCCGCAGGGCTATCAACAAACTTGACCTGGTTTGCGACAACCAGCAGAGAACAAAAGCAGCGTCGCTGCTTCTTATTGCTCTGCCGGATTAAAAAGTGCGCGTTAGTAGGGATACAAGGCAAACCTATATGGGGCCAAGCATCAGCAATGGGGATGCATGTTGTCATTCCTCACAGAATTGTGAATGTCGAGTTATGTTGCGTTTCCCTTCCTGTTGGACGCTGGGATACTTGAGATGTTCTTTCTTTGCTGGCGTCGCGTCTGGCTGGATTGGGTGGGCTGCGCTAGTACCAGATCTAGACTAGCGCATCCGCTAGCCTCCAGGGTATCAACTTTGTATTACAGAGAACTGCAGGTAAATACGCAGTACAGAAAGTGGGAATGGAACTGATGATGATAAGAGAATCTGTAGCTCTATATATAATCTCAAGAGCAGGAAACAAAGCTCCCAGTAATTGGTATGAGATAGCCGCTGGTGTAAGGGATACAGGACACAACATTTAACGAAGTTTCAGTATCTAGGCACAATGGAAGAGTGAAGGAGATCAGCTAGGAGAAAGAACCAGCCTCGAACGTTAGGGAAATCATGCTGTCAACATGCAAATGAAAAGATACCAAACTCAAGGGCAGACTTGATATGAGTACAACGAATTAGGCATGCCGGAGGTTCAGAAAACAAAACCATAGGAAAAACAGTGCAGCTTCAAGCAATAATCGAATTTGAACACGAGAGAGACGATATTGTGCGTTCATAGATTCCAAGTTTCGTCCATCAACGCAGTCCAATGACGCTCTAGCGATGATGCGTTAGTTTCGGCACACTTGACAATTCAAACGGAACATCAAGAAAATACTAAATCTTGAGCTTGTGTACTCACCATTTCAAGCGTCCACACCCGGCGGATCCAAACCTTGAGTTTTCCCTCGACTCCCTCTACACCTTCAAGCTCCACCCCTTCCCACCAGCACCGTCGTGCCGGTTTCCGCCAGAAAAGGAGCAATTTCTGTGCCATGCCGACGGCATTATTATTGGCCAGGTCGCCCCGTATGTCAGTCCGGAGCTTCGCCAGTGCCAGGCTACATATTACTGCTTTGTTCGGTTCGCCTGCACGATGGCCCCATCGGTCGTCATGGTTGAAACCGCTGGCTTGTCGTCAGCAACGAATATATATACACAAAGAGCACACGAATAAGGGAGTTAATACGGGAGCTTACCCAGCGGTCAACATCTCAATCAGATGCTGTTCAGTAGATCCGGGCTCGTCGCTTTTTCGGAGTCCCGAGAAGATCCCGTCCTGTTTCAACAAGGCCCTCCCAGCGGCTCGTTTCACTTCGATCATCTCTGGATGGTCGATATCGACTACTGGCGGTATTGCGTAGAAGTCAAGGTCTTCGCGTAGCACGATGATACCCGCACGGCCCTGCAACATATCCCTCGTGGACCCATGCATTGGGTCCATGGCGTAATCTCCTTCAGGCGACGTGGTTGGGGATGGAGAGGATGAGGGAATTGACTGCGCCACAGAGCGGAAGAAATCTAACATGTATTGAAGGGAAGCTGGGTCGTACTAAATGGAATCATATCATGTGGATGAGTGCCGTGTTTGGCTAAGGATAATGGAAATGGGGATTTTAAGTATACGGAGGGGAGGGATATGCAAACGTACGTCGACAGGGTATACATCACCTTCATGGAACGTCCCCATATGCCCATCAGGAAGGAGCCCATTCGGGAATAAGGAAAGAAGAACGAATTCCGGTAGAGTGAGTAGTTCATCGCGCGACAGTGTAAATCGTGTACCACTATCCACCCCATTTTTCAATTAGCTCCAGAACAGTTTCTGTTTTATAAGGATTTCGTTTGCAGAGAAACTAACCGTAAATCTAACGTGATATGCTCATCGCCCCCAATATCTTTGAAATAGAAAATGAATTAGAAAACTTCAGGAATGCCAAAGCAATACATGTCTGCATATAATTGTGGGGGGTAGTACCTCCAAGCGCATTCAGCGGGCCTCCACCTGTTTGTTGTACTTGAGTAATTATAGATGCAGCTCCTCCTGCGGCGGCCATGACGTAGGTAAAGGACTCGAGCGGACTATACCCTTCAGTATATGGCGGTGGCGGCTCTCCGTCGTCTAGACCTTTGCCCGATGCTTCTCCTGTCTTATCTCGCGAAAGAGCCGCTTTAGTATCTAAAACAACGGGCGATTGCGCAAGTGATTGGGATTGGAGGGTGGAGGGTTCTTTGAATGGCTGTGCTGGTGAGAATGCCGGGAAACACGGCGAACCAGATTCTGTGACGGATGTCTGGATGCGACTGAGCTCCTCGTCAGCAGCCGGGCTGGAGTACAGGGATGAGAAAGGTGGCGGGTAGGATGAGGGAGAGGGAAATGGAAGGGCAAAGGGGTTGCCCGAGGAAGAGGAGTTTGGCGAGTGAAGAGGTGGAGCGGTATAGGAATCGTCGTCGTTCTCCACGGTGCGTGACGTGCGGCGTGAACTAGATGGCTGCGCCGTCCTGGGCGAGCGTGATGGGTCTTGAATGCTCGACAACGCGATGGAGGATGGGTAGTAATTAGGTTTAGATATCGGTCTGATGAGTTTGGAGGTCTGGATCTTAGATTATGGGTTGTCCTCTGCTTGGTTGCATGCGGAATGCGGAATGGGATTGTGGGAGTTATGCTCCACAGACAATGGGAGTCTGACCAGAACGCGAAGGAGGGTAGAGATTGGGATAAGGTAGTAAAGTCGATCTAAAGGAATCCAAGGAGCAAAGGCGGGAACGAAGGAAGGAACATGGAGGATGGCGAGGCAGGGGATAGTCAGAGCAGTTTGGAAAGCCTAGGGGGTTATGCGATAGAGATGTAAGAAAATTGACGCTATGGGGTGGACGGGACTGGACCGGACCGGACGGGTGGATGGAATAAATCTGAATTATCTGAGGAGAAATCGGTGCTGAGTGGTAGTGTTGTGGTGATGTGATGTGATGGCGGTGGCAGTAGCTGGGGAGTTGAGATGAACCTTGGAAGTCAAAGAGTGCCAGAACCATGGGCAGCCTCCAATCACCAGCCCCTGAACGGCGCCGAACAAAGCTCCAGTCACTCTGGCACCTACGACGATTATTACTTGTCAAATAAAACACCACCTCTTGTTGGCCATATTTAATCTCAAATGCACCGTCGACATTCATCTTCCAAGTCTCAGGAGTACATTGCATCTTTACAGTTGTCCCGTCCAACGCAGTCTGCACCGTATGTATATATGCATGATAAAAATGAAATATCTAAAATACAAAATAAAATGATTGCTGTCCAAAAGACATACCGAATTCCGGGGATCATGTATATAACAATGTCTTTGCCTGTGCTCTTGCATTTGCCCTTGCCTCCTCAACTAAGCCCAATAATCAAGATCAATTCCAAAAGTCCAGGAAGGTTTTTTTTTTTTAAAAAAAAAAAAGAAAAAAAAAGACATAGCTCATTAAGTGTCTCGTAATGCGGGATATGTATCCTCCAAGGAAAGGCGTTCGCTGTAACTTGACAAATGCAGTCCTCGTGAATCAGATTCTGAACTTTTGTGTCACCACGCTGTATATTCCAAAAGGCCGGGACGCTATTTTCTAATATCTAGACAGACCAATGTGCATCGGGAGTGTCATAGGGCACCCTTGATTTCGGATACAAAGATGTAGGTTGTTCGAAATACGTCGAGGGACCGATTCCGTCGCCGGTTATGTTTTTCGTGCTATGTGGAGGAGTAGTAACAGTACCCTCAGCATCGATTTGTTGAGGTCTTTTCTGTTCGGGGTAATATTGGCCACCGGGGTGCAGGGCCTGTGTCGTCTAAAGTGCTCGTTAGTATGCAAGAATACGTGCCGTTTGCTTGCATGGGTCCATTGTCAAAAGTGTACCGGTGTCAACGCTCTCCTGCTTTTCCTAAAGAAAAGAAAGGGAAAGCGTTTACTTAAATATATAAGTAAATTTGTACGCTTGTATATTTATGGAAGGGTACTGACTTGGCGGAATTCATCGCCGTCAACGGTGACTTCGCGATCGCGGAGTTGCCGCATTAGTGCAAGGAAGTTGCTTTCTTTGAACTTCTGGCTCTGGTCATGACTGACACTGTCGAGTAATTGTCCGGCCGTCCTTGCAAGCTCATCTGATTCATCCGACCCGTTAACTTGCGGTTGGATCGTGTCCGCACCTATTCTAACTGTCTGCTCAGCCTCCATTCGTTCTATGACTTCTCCGTTTTGCAACTGCCGTTCTTGAAGCTCCACCTCCGCTCGCACTTCCGCAAAAGCTGTTTCGAAAGCAGATTCATCAAATATTGCTTCTTCTTCATGACGCTGAAAATGGGATTGGGATTCATCTTGGTGCACTGGGTAGTCATTCATGCCACCAAAACCCATCCCCCCTAGAGCTGGACCGTATCTAAAGGGTGCCTGAGGTATTTGTATTTGGGCTGCTTCTGTTTGGGGTGTTTGAAAGGTGTTCTGCATAATTTCATTCTTCCAGCTGCTAGAAGAGGATTTTGCGCGAAATTGTTGAGGAGGTACATGTTGAGCCGGACTCGATATTTGTAGATTTTGGAAATCCGACGCCCATCCAGAATTCTCTGTATGATTGAAAGCCAAATGTTGTGGTGCTGGTCCCAAAACTGATGCAGGATGTTGGATATCAGAGAGTGGAGCGCCGGAAACACCCGCTTCAAAGGCGTTGAAATCTCGGTCTAGAATACCTTCATTATGATTTTGTGACCGGAAGCCCTACATAATCAGTATTATGCAAATTCTATTATCTGGTTCAAAAACTTGGAAGACATACTTGAGCAGGCGAGTGGCGAGAAAGAATACGGTCTTGTTGAAGCGTTCTATCTACAGATGTATGTTTCTGGAAGCTCTGGAGAGCATTCGAAGGACCGCACAGCGCATCTGCCATGATGCCGTAACTTGGAAAAAAATTTTTAAAAAAAACCAAGAAAGACCGTGCTGAGCTGAGCGTGCCTAGATGTGAGGGAGAAGCAAAAGGAAAAAGGAAAAGAGTCGGGGCTGGCAGGTATGAAGATATCAGATGCCTCTCGCGCCCAGCAACCAAGGTGATGCGATGGATATTATGCCTTCAATAGGCATATACGGTACTCTAGGGCATGTAAATACATATGCTCCTAGGATCTCGACCCTTCAGTATTGACTGCAAATATCTGTATATCTGGATATGGACAATGATGTCCAAGTAGCGGAAGGAAGAAGAGAGAGGGACATGAACAGCGGGCCGAGGCAAACTCACGTGGGATTGACGGCACTGCTGTAGTTCCGAAAAGGGAAGTGTTTAGCGCCGCGTCTGGTTGGCGGTAGTCTGGCCGTAATAGCCGCCGACCATTGAACAACAGAGAGTGGCATAACTATACTAGGAGTGTTTATACATATGTGCATTCCAGATTGAAATTCCGCCCTGTCCAGCCATTTTATGTGACATCTAAAATGGTAAATATTTCTTCCACTCTTGTCCCAGTTTTTATCTGGTGCTTCTCTAACCTCCTCTATAGGCGCAAGTTATAACGAATTCTGGCCACGATGACATGATCGTATGTCCCTGCTCCCCAGCAAGCATTATCTTCTCCCCCTTCCCCCCCCTCCCCCGCGATCAGGCAGCGCATGTCTAACATATTGCCCGTCCATAGCATGATGCAGCTCTAGACTATTACGGTCGCAGACTAGCAACATGTTCGTCAGACAAAACAATTAAGATCTTCGAAGTGGAAGGCGACTCCCACAGGCTGCTCGAGACATTGAAAGGGTATAGACCTCGCTTCCCCCAACTTTGCGACTGATTGACACCACCAATTACTAAAAAATAAATATTGTGTTTTTTCTCCAAAAGCCACGAGGGAGCAGTATGGTGTATTGCATGGGTTCGTATAACCTGAGGAAGCATCTTTGCTTGAGACACACAAACCTAACCCTGTAACAAGGCACATCCCAAATTCGGAACAATCCTAGCCTCCTCCTCCTACGACGGCAAAGTCCTCATATGGCGCGAGCAAGCTCCTAGCACCGCCTCCGCCTCCACCGCCAGCACCTGGACAAAAGTTTTTGATTTCTCCCTGCACACTGCCTCCGTCAACGGCATCTCCTGGGCTCCGCACGAGAGTGGCTGCCTGCTCGCCTGTGCCTCCTCCGACGGCAACGTCAGCGTACTTGAATTCAGCGACAATAGCTGGACGCACCAACTGTTCCACGCGCATGGCATGGGTGTCAATTCCGTCAGCTGGGCGCCTTCTGCCGCTCCTGGTTCCATCATCAGCACGACCCCAAGCCCCGGACAGCTACGCAGGTTTGTAACGGGCGGGAGTGATAACCTTGCTAAGATATGGGAGTATAAGTATGTTGTCTTGCATTTCCTATTTATTTATTTATCACAACTTGAATTGCTCAAAGATTGCATACCATAAATATATATGTGTATATGTAGTTGGGCTAACCCAGCGAGAGCAGCGCCGAAAACAAGACCTACACAGTAACCAAGGTGCTGGAAGGCCACACAGACTGGGTACGTGACGTGGCCTGGTCACCAAGCATCCTCTCCAAATCCTACATCGCCTCAGCTTCCCAAGACAAAACCGTCCGCATCTGGACGTCCGACCCGTCAAACCCCAATGAGTGGACCAGCCAGCATCTCGAGTTTGACTGTGTGTTATGGCGTGTCAGCTGGAGTCTGAGCGGGAACGTCCTGGCTATCAGTGGTGGAGATAATAAAGTCAGTTTGTGGAAGGAGAATCTGAAGGGGCAGTGGGAGAAGGTGAAGGATATTGAGGACTGATTTTAGTTATAACAAGGGGCTCTGTTTTGGTCGTTTCTCTTTCCCCTCTAATATGGCTGGGCGTACGTCTTATGTTCATATATTTATTTCCTATTGCGGTTTTCGTCCATGCGCGAACAAAGATTTGCTTGCTACCCGTTTCTTCTCAAGCAGAGGCATTGTTAAAAATCAAAAATTCATGTCATATGTCTGCGAGTTACATACCTTGGCGGAAAGGGAGAGATCAACCATACGTTTACTTGAAAATCGCTTTATATTCCAAGGAAGAACAATTGATACGGATCGCCATTTACCATACCCCTCAGTATTCAAAATGCAGCCTTTCGCAAGGAAACCATTTACTAAGTAATAACAAGAAGAAAAAAGCAGGATGAATGTGTTTTAGACGGTAATTGATAGCTACCCTGATAGCCACTCTTCCTTCAACCTCTTTCCCTAAATTTCATATCACCTCCAGGCGATCCTTTCTCCCCTACCGCCATTAAAAACATAAAATCAAACCGTCCAAAAAATAAACGGTCCCTCCTCCACCTCCGCCTCCGCCATCATATTCCTCCACCTACCCATCATAATACCTCCCCCAGGTAGAATCACGCCCTCATACCCAAAGGCCCAAAGGAAATCCACCGTAGTCCAGCTCCACGGCAACCACTCTTCCTCCTCACTCTCCCCTTCATTACCACTGGTAAATCCGTTTCCATTGCCATTGCCATCAACTGCAGAGACAAAAAATTCCGGGTTAATTTCATAGATGATAAAGCATATTCGACGCCAGCCAGGGATGCCAGCCTGGGCTGGGCAGGTTTCTGTGAAACCCCGGATAGGGTGGGAGCGAGGGTTTTCGTCGTCGTCGTTGTTGTTGTTGACATTGGTGTTGCCATTGGCATGGTAGTGATGGTGGTGGCCATCGAGGGATTGGGTACCGCGGAAGTACGTACGGGATGGGGATTCGATGTAAGGGTTTATGGGATAGGCTTCGTTGAAGATGGGGAACCACACGTTCGTCGTGGTTGTGGAGATTTCAAGTAGCTTGTATTTGTAGATATTGTTAGTTATCTTGTGCGTTTATGATGGGTTTTATGACGTGTGAGAGATGGTTTTAGTTTCCTGAACTTGACTTTAATTCAGTGGAGGAGAGGATATTACCAGTGCACAAGTACTATCCCAGTGACTCGCTAAATCTGCGCAGGTCTGCCGCTCCTGCAAGTCCTCGAATGTCGTTGGAAGGGGATGAATGCATGCTTGTGTCTGTTAGCTAAAGGATCCCTAGACGTTCTATAATGGATAAAAGGAGAATGAGAAGGGAAAGCGGGAATTGGGAAAGAGGAAGAAACAGTAACGAGGATGGAGGGTAGGTACAATAATATCCCAACCAACAAATACCCAGGCTCTCCCTATTCCCAAGACCCTCCTCCCAAGTCTTCGGCCTCAGAATTTCCGGCAGGTTATGATACGTCCTATAAAACGTATCCTCATCTGGATTCGTGAGGTGCCGTTTCCAGAAATTTCGAATATGTAGAACCTGGTATAGGTCAATGGATTCGCCATCATCAGAGGCAGTAATAGGCGGGGCTGTTATCGACGAGTCGCATGCATATACAATCCTCAAATCATAGTCTGTTCGCAACGAGCGGAAGGAAAGCCGAAGGTCTAGAGCTAGATATGTCGCGGCCAGTTGGATGGCAAGATATGACCTACTCAAGCGATCGCCAATTATGGGATGATTGAGGATACCAGAGCTCATAATAGCGCCTTTGATTCGAGCGTGATTTCGAGAAACACATTTGTCATGAACTTGCTGGTGTGGCCAGGTATAGGGGGATTCTGCGGAAGAATTAGGCGCACGCTTTTGAAGAAAAAGGGCGGGATGGTTAAGACCAGTTCAGACAGTTACATACCAACAAGTAACGTAGTCAAAACACTCAGCCACAGTTTCTCCTTCATTCCTTCCTCGGTTTGAAAAGAAGGTGTCTGAGCCAGAATAATACTGCGCACTTTGTATTCTATCCTAACCTCTTCTGAAGACTTATCTGGAGGCGGATGGTCATATTTGTCTAGAAAACGTGCCCTCCAAACACCAGAATTGGGTGGGATAATGACCTGGGCAAAATACCGACAGGTACGGGCCATCCGACATAGATCTGAGTCATTTGGGACGAGCATGGCAATCATTTGAATCAACTTGTGGTCTCTACATGTCAGTAGGTCGTAAAGGCAAAATCCGTACATATCAATCAGTTCAAATATCGATACCTCTCTCGGCAAGTCCACCAGGCCAGTCCCTATCTTCGACATCACGGTCCCTCGGTCGACTCGATCCAACCTTTCATTCATGGGTTCTTCGAGGGGGTGGTACGCAAGCAGAAGAGCATAAGGGTCGAGCGGCGCGTCACACCCAGCAGCTGAAATGAACGCGGGCTTCAAAGGTAAGGTAAATGAACGATAAAAGAGTCAACGGAAAAGGCACACAAGAGTGAATCGCCACGAGAGCACGCTCACGGCTAAGGAACTGATAAAATCAATCCATAAAACACAAGCTCACTGCACTATCCGATGCTTGGACCACTAAGAGGACTCCGGAATCGATGAGAGAAGCATCCCCCATGGCCAGTCTGACAGTGCACTTAGGAGCAGCAGATATATCTGGGGGTTTCAAAAGAGTTCCGATCCGTTCAAAGGGACGAATTCAGTACTGGGAGTGGGCAATTGATGCCAGATAAAGTATCGCAGTACCCCTTGGAGAGGCCCAAAATCAAAAGCTGACTCGAAAGCTGAACGAAAACGAAAATAGAGAAGTGAGCTTCTCATATCGTCAATGGCCTCAGTGTTCCTCAGTGAGGAGTGGTCATCTCATGGATCTTTGTTATTCTGGCCGAGATGTTAGCCTGAGAACGGAAATAAAAATAAATGCGATAAAACACATCAATGGTTCAGAATAAGAGCCCCTTCTCAGTCGTATTCTGTGAGTGAGCTGAGGCGGTTGCTTGGGAGGCGAGAGGAGGAGGGAGATGGATAGGGGTGAATCCATGATTGGACATCGGCCCTGGAATTGGGCATAACAAAAATAAAACTGGAAGTGAATTAATCAATTAGTGGTTAGTGAATGTTCGAGCTGATTTTTAATCGAAAATAGAGAGATCTAAATCTGTGAGTCGGTTACACTTCTGAGGGGCGAGAAAGCATCACCTACGTAGGAACAAAACAAAACATGTTTCATCAAAAAGAGATTTGCGCCATGATGCATGAAAGAATCTTTAGTTCTATCCGCCTGAAGCTGCTGTCCAGTCGGGTTGCCTGTCATCACCTATCTTCAGAGCCCACATCGACCATCCTCAAGGGAAGGTTGAGATTGGGAATAATCTTTCACTGGAAACTATCTGAAAAGGCTTAGACGGGCGATCGAAAGCCGACCTGGGTCCATAGACAGACTTACGATGTAGTCCAAGTTCAACACACCAGATCTGGAGCCCAGCGTAGATCCAAGCTGTTCACAACAGCCCTGCCAGGTCTAGAGATCCAAGTCTACATGCCAGACCTAGAGTTGGCTGCAATAGAACAGCTGTATCTACTCCATACATCACCAGCACGTTTCAACAAAGCCATCATCTACTTGTTCCTCGTCTTCTCCGTCAAATAATCACACAATCTGTATGGCACATCGGCAACTCTAACGAGAGAAAACCCTCCCGCTAATTAAGTTAATACAGGAAAATAAGCGGTAGCAACGAACAATGACCACATCAAAGTTACGTGCTCCATAAAGAGGACAGTCCTGGGACCTGGCATTTTAATTCAAACCTCGTCTCACTTTTGCTTTTTTCATGTCAAACTCTATACACAACGAACAAGAGAGAAAGGGTGGGAGAGAGGTGGAGAAAAAGAAAAAGGAAAGAAAATAACACCAACCATTAATAAGTCGGGAAAGAAATGTCGGCTGAAGTTGAGAGGTGGCCGGATGGTGCATTGGAATAAACAAATAATAGCCACAGTGCAGCCCTACCCAAGCTCATGCACCGAACCTACTATCTACCCAACACCCCCTTTTCAATCCCCCAAAGGACCCCGTGGCCTCTTTTTTAAAGGATAGGACATCACAAAGAGGAAAAGGAATAAAGGAATAACCCCCATACTCATATTACCGTGTCGTACATCAAAAGAAAAAGAATAAAAAAGACACACGGGCTTGCTTTTAATTTGTCAACATCATTTCTTCCTTCGTCTCTTTGCTTTCATGGCCGTAGTCTGACATGCAGAAGTTTAATCAAACGATCTTGGGACAGACGAGAGATGGAAACCAAGAGAAATACAATCAAGAAACATATGAAGAGAAGGCAAGGAGGGAAAGGAAGTGGGAAGCAGAAGATGAGGAGAAAAAGACAAAACATAATTTATAGTGTGTATCCCATGACAAGACAGGACCCCGAAGGGCTGAAAAGGAAAATTAAACCCAGTATACCCATACAAAAAAAAAAGGGAAAGAAAAAAAATGAAAAAAAGAAACCCTAAACGAGAAATACCAAAAAGGGAAATTAATGAGTGATGGCAAATGCAAATCTGCCAGGGAAAAGGAAAATTGTTAAAAGGCACAAACCCAAAACTATTTCATCAGTGCATAATAGGGTATTTTGGTGTTTCCCAAACGTTGCCGTTTATCATAGTCATTCAATCAAAACAAGCATAAAGCGACGCGACGTGATTTTCGGGGGTGTCCGTCATACAACAGTCATTGCCATACGTTCACAGCCGTCATTTTCGTTGTGTGTAGTGCTGGGTGCGGCAATACTCCGATATCCATTTGTGTTTTTCGACCGGGCCAATCCCGGAAGACAGCGTGAAGACTCAGTATCACTTTGTGGCCGGGTAAACATTTGACTAAATGGGGGGTCTTGGGGGCGACAGTTAGTTTCGGTTTCGGAACCCATGCACACTCCCTCAGCCTTGCGAACAACTTCCTTGAGGGACCTTGTAACGACGCCGGCTCGAATAACAAGGTCTCGCAGTGACTGGGTGTCAAATGGTAATTTCTGATGTGGGTCTGTGCTGGACGCAATGTTCTCCGTGCCCTGGAGACTGCGCTTTTGGTGTATCGTGTCAAGAACAAATTTGGCTTTCAAAGAAGAGTCCGTTCTTGGTCGAGGAGGCGGGGTTATACTAGGATTCGGGTTTATTTTCTTGGAGAGCGGTGATCGACGAGTATCATTATTCGTACGGCCAGATTGGTCGTTAGTTATTCCAATAGAAAAGAAATCGTCATCTGAATCTTCAATGCTAAAAGTGGTTGATGGTAGTTGGTGCTGTGTACTATGGTTTCCTTCGTCTTCGTCATCATCCTCTAATGTAGCCAGGTTAATAATGCCCTTAGCTTCTCTCCACAACTCGTTAGACGGGCCATCAAGAATGTTTAGGGCACCCGCGCGGGTGTGGAGTCGTTTGAGTTCCTCCACAAGTAATGTTAATTCTTGAACATGCCCGAACTGGCCATGAACGCTAGCTTGACGCTCCATAATGGCCTTTGGTACCTTCATGCCTGGATTTGATGGTAGCTGGTTCAACTGTACATCATTCCCTTTCGACTCATCTTGTTTATCAGAATCCTCGAACTCAAAGTCGCCATCCCAGTCCTCGCTCACACCTTTATTCCCTAAGCCCCATGTGCCGAATTTCGGAATGGATTGATGTGCATTATCTGAGAGTGATGGCTCCCGCGCAATTGGTACGCTTTGACTTCTAAGGTGCACAGCACTACCACAACGTCGCGTTACAGTACGACCCCCGCGTGTGTCAGGAACCTGTTTGCCGTGAACCGTTTTGGGGCGAAACTCAGAGCTCCGTACGTCTTTATCGTTTCGCTGTTGTTCTGACCAGTCAAAGAGCGAAACTCGCGCCTCTCTACCAGAAGTTCCGTCAAGCGTAATAGATGAATGGGAACAGTCTATTCTTGGCCGGAGCGTTATCAAACCTTGAAGAGGCGAAGGGCTAGAACTCGATCCAACATAGGATGGTAATTGTTCATCCCCGTCGCCCATGGGCTCTATATCATCTAGGCTATTCCATTCAATGGGGCCATCATTGGAAATTTCCGTAGAACTCGACGCTAACGAATCGGGCCGCTGTATAGACTCTTGCGTGAGCAGTAAGATCTGAGGTTCATCAGCAGATAATGAGGGGCTATCGTTAATATTAAGGTCGCCATCATGAAGGGCGTTTAATCGATTGGAAACTGCGTTAGGAGTTAGGTTCTCAAGGACATTGACGGTCTCGCAGGCAAGTTCCGATGGTGATGGCTTATCGAATATCGTTTCGATGTGCGGGCCACGGTGAGCTGGAGGGTTGCCCACACCCACACGGGTAGGAAGGGAATCAAATGCTGTCTCACTTTGGAAATCAGTCTCATCTTCATCCCCTGAGCTGAATATTCGTGTGTCATTGTCTGAGCCAACCAAGGTGGAAGCCGGGTCAGAGGTAGCTGCAGAAAGTCTTTGGCTTTTGGGACGGCTGGAGCAGGAAGAAAAAGTGTTTCCGGAGGGATTAAGCGACTGCTCCCCTGATGATGACCGGGATCTGGGATCTAAAGGTAGGTCGCACCAGATCTGTCCAAGGGGAAACTCGCCACGGAGTTCTGAAAATTGCGGGCGCCGGCGGAGGCGAGATTTAGGGGAGTTGTTTTCTGAGACTATAGGGTTAAGCTGGTTGAGAGTAAATTCTATTGGCGAAGAAGACGATCGACGCCTGAATAGATCTACATCAGTGACTGGTCTCCTTTTCCGAAGCCGCATTGAGTTTACACCTAACCCCTCAAGTTTAGCGGCTAGATCGTCCGAGAGCGGATCGGGTTCTATGGAGCACTCCTTAGGAAACGAAAACCCACGACGACGCCCCAGATTTCCCTGGGCTGAGGATTTCCATGAAGCCGGTGAAGTTCCTGTTTCTCTTTCACCAGAAAGGGAGTGCTGCGGACTCCGCTCACCTATTGGTATAGGTTGAGTAGCTGAGTCAACTGGAATTGTGTCATCGTGGTTAATACAAGCTCTAGTCTGGTCGTGTCTGTATGTGTGATTGGGGGTATCACGCGTTATGGAGGATGAAAGAAGTAATGTAGGGACAACACCAGGCTCGGGTACGAGTCGACGAGGGGAACGATCTCTATGTCTTGCGGACGGACGCCGTCTAATCTCCGGAGAATAGGGATATTCAGACCGGAAGTATGGTCTCCAAGTCCCATTCGTTGAATCAAACGTTTCTGACGGCGTCTGTTTGGGAGGGTAAAGGGGGGAATATGGAGGTTCCAATTGCATACGGTTGTCGGTGGACGACTGTTGTCTCATATTTGCAAGTCTCTGGTGGCTAGTGGCTGGTCGCCGTAGAAGTGGAGCGGGTGCTGCGAGAGATCCGGATCCCGTCCCCTGCAAATGGGAATTTGCTAGGACACGCTGTGATGAGGATCGTTTAACCAACTTATTGGGTGCTTGATCCATGCGGAAAGGAGAAGAGAAGAAGGGACTCGTGGACCCACTGAGAGATGGCGAGTCCGGCCGCGAACCTGAGAGAGGGCTGTCGTTTTGAGATGAAGATATTATGGAAAGGCGCCGTAGCCAAGATGAAGACGGCCTTCCCGTAGGGGATGCTACTAGAGGCTCAATTGTAGAATCATCACCAGACATAACAGACAAAGGGAGGGGCCCCACATAAGTTCGACGACGCGGACGAGTCCTTGGGGCTTCTTGTGGTATATCTTTCACCGGATGTGCTGTATCTGGACTGCTCCTTGAGAAATCATCCGCTGGCTTGGGAGGAGGAACATGGGAAGTTGCCGGCCTATGCGCATTGGAAGACGAACGAGTAGGCAATGCGTCAGCCGGGGACGACGACATATCTAGGACACGGGCCAAAGGAGAAGAATAACTGTTTCGAAAGATAGAACGTCGCCGCTTGGGAGCGGGCGGTGGAGGTTGTGGTTGGCTCGCCTCGTTCCTGCCCAGGGCGAAGCCCGTGGCGGCGATTCCAACTGTGCCAATTGCACAGAGCTGTAGGTCGCGGCAAGAGTAATCAGCAGGGAGTCTAATGCACGAATATATGTATATTTGATGCATATTGAGTATACATATTGCGTTGCGTGTATTGTGTGTGTGTATGAGATACACTGATTGATTGATCAGGGGACAAACAACCAGGGGTGTCTGTCGGTCAAGATTCCACCAACAACACCGCCAAAAACACACCACAAACAACAGCAATAGTAGTAGCAGTATGGAAAATGTAAACATAGCAAAGGGCAATTGGGAGGAGGCCGAAATGGAGCTCACCGTCGACACATGTTCCATTTCTTGCCTTGATTACACGGGAGCGCGGTCAAGCACCAAGATAACGCTCAGCTGGCAGCCTCGTCGTCGGTCTAGGAGAACACAGATCCATCACACAATATTACATTGAGCGGAGGTAGCTGGAGGAGACGTTACAGTAGCCGCGGGAGAGAAAAGAGAACGAATGAGGAGTGGATGGTTCGGCTGGTAGGCTGGCTAATCGTTTGTTTTGTTTGGGGCGGCGGTGGTAACGACAGACACACACGGGGGGAATAGTGAAGTCAGGGCAATGGGGAGTCAACGACAAGATAGAGGCGGCGAGGCACGAAAGGATGAGAGTCCAGGAGGAAGATCCCGAGGGGCGGCGATGCAGAGGAGAGCGGAGAGTGGCAGATGGACAACAGCTGAAGTATCCTCTGGTTCTGTCCTCTGGAACTGGACGGGCTCCGTCTTGAGACAGCCAGACACAAACTCCCGCTATACTCCTCCAGGGCTAGGGGGGAGGATGGATCTCTCCAAACAAGAGATCCGCCACGAAAAACATAAACAACACGCTAAGATCGGAGTGCGCGAATTATCCAGGGTATTTCTTTATTTGTTTATTTATTGACTGATTTACTCATCTCCTCCACACCATACGTCCACAGCATGTGTGTATGTATGTATGTGTTTACCGCTAAGCTATTGGGAATAGCACGTTAGCGATGTGATAAGAAAAAGAACTGGAGAGTGAGAGGCTGGTATTTTCTTTTTCCTGTTATGGTTGACACCGCCAACTTGCAAGGGATCATTGCTGTATTCTGCGTAGCCCTGCGATAATGGCCACTGTCACTCTGACCATTGCTCTTTTGTTATCAACAAATTAATTCGGAGAAGTGATGCTGGGAAAAACAAGTTTAGATCCCTCAACTAATTTAATCTAACCAACTATATGTCTGTACATCTCTCTCTCTCGCTTTTTTGGATGCATATGAGCACACCTGCGAGCCGGATGCAGCTTCAGCAGTCCCTTCCATGATTCCATCTAGAGATGTATATGGTATATACTCCACGGACAATGCATTGGCAGTTTATTCATTATCGACTGTCTGTCACCATCACACTTGTCGACCACGCATTATCACTCATATTATTGTGATACGGAGCAGACGTGCATCCAGAGAACAAGGCGTGTAGACTCAAATAAATCGATGTTGTTTAACTGCCCCCGGAGTTAATTAGTAAGTACCTAGTTATATTGTTTACGGTAGCGTAGGGGGAGTTCCATTGACTTTTTCTAAAAATACCGGTATCGATCAAAAGAGAGTGTGTGAGAAGGTGGGGGAGAGAGCAACAATCACGATCTTCCCCCCGTAGCTTGCTTTCCACTTTGACACCGGGGGTTCCTGGCGTGAAACCAGATAGGATTCGAGCAATGTCTACAGGCCAGAAAACTTGCCATGTCCTGTACATGAAGAATGCCAACAGGTACACTCCCGTATTGGAAGTAAAAGTAAAAGAGTTATTCTATCTTTCCTTTGAGTTTCCGCCGCGTCGACAGAAGGAACAGACTGGGTGTTTGTTTACCTTTGATAAATAAATAGACGCGGAATAAAGTTGCCATTTACTTAACTCTGTTTATTTTTATCGATGGTCTACGCGCAAATTGAGGTATACTACTGGTAACTTCAAAGGGGGATGTTCTCCTTTGGTAACCTATCACCTTCATCTCCCATCTCATAATCCACTGTACCGGTTGCCGAATTCTGATCAGGGCCTTGGGACAAGGGCTCCTCAGTTTCTAAGCCTCGATGCTACCCAAGGCTACTTCCTGCCCTGAATCCTTCAAAAGATCATCGCGGATGAAGAGCGAAGCAGCCTCTCTCTGGGGTGAGAAAAAGTTGGTCGGGAACACTAGCAGACAAAACCCTTGGGAACAATAACAGGGTTGCCGAGTTATTTCTACGAATTAAGTGCTGGTATTGCCGATTGTAAATATCAAGGATCCGCCATTATAATACTGGGGGTTTGACCGTCGGCCCAAGGAACTGACCCAGCGACGGCACCAAGTTAGTTGCAAAAATTTTCCTGGGATACCTCGCCTTTTTGTTCCCGGTGAAAAATAGCATCCTTTTTATTGGAGGCTCCAGGCGCCCGCTTGAGAATCTCTGTGTGGTTTCTTTGCTTTGAAGAAATGAAAAAAGTAGCCAAAATTCAATCACCTCGCCAGGACGTTCAAACTCTCGTCCGTTCCCCTTTGGGGCTGCATGGACAGACCATGATTCATAAAGGTTGATCTGGGCGATTCCTGCTTAGAGTTTCGACCAGGACTGAATATCTTGGCTCGGCGAGGGGTGTGGAGGGGCGTCACCTATTGATATCCTCAGCCTCCTTGGGATGAGATTTATGGAGACGTTCTGCGCACCGGCTTTGATCCAGCCAACCAGTCGTGAAACAAAGAACCCTGCCGTGGTACTCATGCTACCAGAGACGAAAAGAACTAGGTTAGCCAACCTCTAACCAGGGGGGAACGGGCGGAGAAAGAAGGCAAACAGGAAAAGCGAAAGCAAAAAACTCTCCATGCAATGTTAAAAAAGCATGAAAAGATGGGGCAATCAGAAACTGTTGGGTTCATCATACATATTTGCTAGTCGCACCGCCCTTCAATTTCTTTGCATTTCGCCTGCTATCGTGAGAGCGCCAGGATGAGATGCGTCTCTGCTTTTTCGGCACACGATTTGATACGTGTTGGCAGGGGGGAGCTGTTTGTAGGTTTTTTTGCGGCTCTCAATATTCGGTGAGAGCCTTTCCCCCACCATCGCTAACCCACAGATCGTATATGCGTCTGCTCTGGAATTAGCGCTAGTCTTTTCAGCTTGCAAACCACAGCAAGATTGTCATGGATGGCTCCTCCTGCACTGGCACATTGGCCTGGAGGCACTATCTGCCTTTCCAATTTCTATTTCCGCTGAGATGATCTAACAATGCTCACCGGAGGATGAGTGCAGTTTACTCAGTTTTCTACTAAAAGAGTCAGGCAACAGAGGGATTATTTACTGTTGAATATCTGAGAAATGTTGAACAGGAAACTCGGTTGTCATCATTTGATATCCATATCATTGATCTTTAAAGTTCTTCTTGATAATTTCACATGAGGCTAGGAGCAAGCTGATGGATACTGGTATAAAAATGTTATTCATCTATGCATCAGTCTTCTCAGATCATTTCATGCCAGTTCATGGAAAGGAGGCACCAGTTGGTGCCCTTAGTCATGGCAATTACCTGGATGGGTTTTCTCAATTCAATGACATGGACCTATCCACTGAGTTATTGGAGAAACAACACACAACATTGTTGAAAAGAGTGATGGGGGAAAAACTGCTGTCTATATATACACGTTCTTTTGCTCTTATCAACCAGCCTGCAACAGCAATAGCACGCAAATTATCTGAGAGCGCAAATCCACGAGACAGATCATTTCCATTCCCAAGCATTTTGCCCCTTCCTCCTCCAAGACTCGCATGAATGCCTCCAGACACTTGAAATATTGGGCAATAATTTTGGGTGGTGGCCCATCGCGTGTCCAGTCCAGGTCCCATTGACAGGCCTAAATCTTAGATGTCTTGCAAAAGCCACCACAACACAGAGCCAAACAACCGGGCAGCTTCAATGTGTACGACTGCAACAATAGTGAGGTTGTACCTGTTACAGACAATAATATTTGTCAAGCTGAGACTATTGCAAAACAGCTTAAGCTTACTAGAAAGGCATGTCGTTACCTTTTCAGCTTGGCCGAAGAATTATTTCGCGAAGAAACCCGTCTTTACCGCCATGTTCCCCCGTCATATCCCCTGTCGTTGATTCCTGCATTGCCTGGGAGGAAGAAACATTGCCTTTCTACGAGCATGACCAATACTATCCAGTCCGACTTTTGTGAAGTCTTTGACACAAGGCAGCGACTTGTTTGGAAAACTAGGTTATGGCGCCTACTCGACGGTATGGTTTTGTTGAGACCTGATACAAAAGTATAGACCTCTAGAGGTTCCTATGCTGCGGGAGATGTTGAGGCGGCTCATCAATGTTCTTGATTTCCTTCATACGGAGGCCCATATTTTCCACACTGGTATGCGACCTATGGTTGGTTTTATGATAGAGAACAATGACTGGAGGTATCTGGCCCTATGTGGTTTTGGCGAGGCTAGGATTGGAAAGATTCAGCAGGACACTGGCCCGTTTGTTCAGCCACACATTTATAGCGCACCAGAAGTGGCATTTGAGATTCCTTGGGGCGCTTCCGTGGTTATATGGAATGTTGCTACGCTGGTAAATAGGCGCTGTCTTGTTCGTTACATTTGTTGCTGTTTGGTGACATTAACATCTTCCTTCTAATAGGTTTGGGATCTACTCGACGGAAGACACCTGTTTAACAACATTGGACGAACAGGGTTATTACGATCCATTCAAGCACATGGCTCAGGTAGTTGCTTTGCTCGGACCACCACCTAAGGAGCTCATACTACGAAGTGAAACAATAGGACAGTACTTTGATGCTGATGGCCAGTTCCTTTCATGTCCCTCTTACCTCTTTGACCATGAAACCCGGAGCTGACTCTGCAACTCAAGGCAACTGGCAAGCAGGAAAACATGTGGAAATACCTGATATTTCCTTCGAACACATTGAGACGCGATTAGAAGGCAATGGTAAGGTCCGCTCTCTCAAGTTCATTCGGTCGATGCTGAGCTGGCTTCCTGAGGGTCGAAATACGGCTAAGGAGCTCCTTGAGGATTCTTAGTTGAATGAAGAATCGGTGTGAATGGGCGTTGGGTGCCAGATATCCATCCTGCCAGCGTACCTTTCAACGAGATGGTGGATACAACTTGCTTTGATCCCCAGGAAGCATCGTGAAGTGATAGCAGATCTCTATGTAGATACCTACCCACATATGTATCATGCTCTCATTATCGTAGCCATCATTTATACTTCACAGAAAAAAATTCCCCAACAGTGTTCCATGGTGTCGCATAAACAAGGACACAAAGCGGCCCGAAACAATATATACATAGAGGATCAGGCAATAACAGTGTGGCATTGATTGGTGAATGAGAAAACTTAGAAGAATGAAAAGATATTGAGGACGAAGCAACAAACCTCCTGCACTAATCCGGGAGCAAAAGAGCAAAATTTCCCCATGCCCCTTAGATAGCTTGTTGATTTTGATCATGTTAGCTTAATGCTATGTTGCCTCTGTCGGCCAACAAAAAGCCTCTGACCGCGAGACAGCATCCGAATACGCAATGCAACATAAACGCTGTCCGCCCTCCCAAAAAATAAATATATATATATATATATATATATATATTCCCGCCTCACTGCAACGCCCACGATAAACGGCGCATTTGATCTAACCATTTTGGAATAATCAATGCTGCTCCAAAATGTTTACTGCATCGGATTCCAGCTATTCCTTTAAAAAGGGAAACATTTTTAAAACACCTAAGGGTGCAACATTTGTGGGAGTACATATGGTATTTTGGAGGTAGCGCTTAGAAAAACACATCCCCCATTCATATTCCAAATATGGTACTGACCATACAAGTGGTGTTGCGGCTCCCTGTTTCCTCCTTGTGATCTTTCACCGAAATGATTCCACACTCAAACAAACCTGCCTTGCTCATGCATGGCGCATGTGTTTATTATGCAGTTGTTTGGGTCATCCGGGGAACATAGGGGGCGTTTTGCGGTGTGCCAGAAAGGTCATTGAATTTGTTGATTTATTTAATTATTTACTTTTCAATCACAGTTTCTCCTTTGTATTCTGTATTTCCATTCTGTCCAGCTAGTGGAATCAGGGGCTTATCAAGTTCCTGTTTTATTTTGGTTTATTTTGGTTTATTTCCTGTTGCACTGCATCATCCTCTACAGGATCAATTTGGCATGTCACTTCCCCTGTGCACTATTTCTTCCTGCCAATTCTTTATATGCCTGTTGCACTGCCTAGACCTATGTAGGTATTTGTGCTGTTAATGTTAATAGGATTACCATGATTGATATACAGAGACCTGACCCTGGCCATAAAGGAATCAAAAGACTCCTCGATGAGACATTGGTGTGAAATATATACACAAATATCTCAGGTTCATAATTATCTTCTTGTCTCTTTGTATTCATGTTGCTGATGAGGTTAGTCAATTTTGAGAAGGCTCTAACAATGGTCAGCATGGCAACACATCTTGTCCATTTTTGGCTTTGAGTTACATTATGATACCTCTTCCTTGTTCTGTTTCGCGGTCTTTGTAAACTTGGTGATCAATCAAGAAAATTGGTTGACTAAATCCGTCCTAATGGGAGATTGTAAGTTTGAAGATGGTAGAAAATCTATCAAAATGCATAGTTCATAAAAGAGTGAAAAATCTGGGCAGTTGCTGGGTTGCTATAAAAGTCAGAGGGAATCTGTTCACGAAAGATCGCATCTCTAAGGTGTAAGTATAACTACTAGTATGCTCTGAGCAAAAGCTTATTTACCATAGAATATAATACGGTATACTTCTTTGATATTTACTCCTATCAGATTGTATTCTAGTAGAATCAATGCTCAAAGGAAAAGGCGGGCTGTACTACAGTACATTGTTTGATATACTTAGGGCATCTCCCCTGCGATTACTTAGCAAAATTAGTTGGCAGAAAAGTCTAAGCTGCGTACCACGGGTTCTCGATACCAGTAACCTAACCACCAGTTTGCGACGAATTAGCGGTCCCGCATCACTGGAAAGTCTTGAAAAAACTCCAGTAATACCTGACGCCGAGTTTGACGCAGTACCACGGCTAGATCCTAATTGCCGCTGCTCGGAATCCTGCGTTTTATTGATCTTGCTCTATTGTGCGCTCAAAGTCATGGAGGCGGAAATCCAGAAGCGGATTCCCGGAATCGATCATGTGATATCTGAATACTCAGTGGTAAGGACCCTCCCCCTAGGTATCTTAATCCTTGAAACATGTATTTCTATGTGCTGGAGTGTTCCAAAAGGCCTTCTCCGGGCTCGTCTTATATGATCCCCACTGATATATACCGCAGGGTTACCTGACCCATGCATCTAAAACTTATGTCGAGGACTCTGATCCAAATGCACCTTCGCCCTTGTCAGAAGCTGCGGAAGCAATCTCGGCACTGCTTGTATCTGCCTCAGGGGACTTCAGCCCTAAAAATGAAGAGGAAATCCAGAATCTGATCAAGGAATTTGTCTCGACTCTCAGCGCTGCGAATGGCGTCGATGCCAAATCCCATGTGCCCTTTGCGGCCAAGAAGCTCGACCAGACCATACATGTCGGTTCGCAGCGCAATATGTCATCGACCCTAGGCTTGGCTGGGGCTTCAGTCGACCTGGAATCTGCCAATACGCGAAAGGTGGAATCCCGCGTCGACAAGAAGAAGCTAGAAAAGGCAGAGGCCAAGATCCGCGCGAAGCAGGCAAGGAAAGAGATGAAGACCGTTGAGTACGAGGCGTCACGCTTGCTCAAAGAGCCCGAGTCCACGCAGTCTTATGAGGAGTTCTACATGGCAGTCAATCCCTTACAAATGGGCGGGGATGCGTCGAAGAGCAAGGATGTTAAGGTCGACAGCTTCGATGTTGCAATCTCTGGCAAGCGGATTTTAACAGATGCGTCGTTGACCTTGGCATATGGGAGGCGCTACGGTTTGGTTGGCCAGAACGGTATTGGAAAGAGTACTCTGCTTCGTGCGCTGAGTCGTCGAGAAGTGCCTATTCCCACGCATATTTCCATTCTTCACGTAGAACAAGAGGTATTTAGCTCTTTCGATGTGGGTTACTTGTAGTTCGAATATGGCTGACTGCTCGTTTTGCAGATTGCTGGTGACGACACTCCGGCATTGCAAGCTGTTCTGGATGCCGATGTTTGGCGGAAACACCTTCTTAAGGAGCAAGACGTTTGTTTCACTCCACTGATATTCTCCAAAGACTGTCTTGAAAAGTGCGCGGCTAACTGCTTCGTGTAGAAAATCTCGGCTGAGCTTGCATCCATCGAGCAAGAGCGTTCGTCCATGGCGGACACTTCGAAAGACGCTATACGCCTTGACAAGGAGAGGGAGGCGCTCGACATCACGTTAAGTGATATTCACGGCAAACTAGCAGAAATGGAGTCAGATAAGGCAGAGCCTCGCGCCGCAAGCATCCTTGCCGGGTTGGGCTTCTCCCCAGAGCGGCAGCAGTTTGCCACAAAGACCTTCTCTGGAGGCTGGCGTATGCGTCTTGCGTTAGCCCGTGCTCTATTCTGCGAGCCTGATCTATTATTGCTCGACGGTTCGTTTTTCTTCCGCTCGAGCTCCCGTCCAAACCCCTTTTACCGATTACGTATGTGCGGCTCTCGCTAATTCAATTCTGGACTACAGAGCCGTCTAACATGTTGGACGTGCCGTCCATTACATTCTTGTCAAACTATCTCCAGACGTATCCAAGCACGGTCTTAGTTGTTTCTCACGATCGATCATTCCTCAATGAGGTTGCAACTGATATTATCCACCAACATGCTGAGCGATTGGACTATTATAGAGGTGCTAATTTCGGTATGTTTTCTCTGTTCAGTAGTTTTGATAATGGAGATAGATGTAGGAAGTAAAATTCTGACTGCTTTTGCAGAATCCTTTTACGCAACCAAGGAAGAGCGAAGAAAGACTGCCAAAAAGGAATACGAAAATCAAATGGCTCAAAGAGCTCATTTGCAAGGTGCGTATGGTATACACGTATACCCAATCGAACAGCTATTAACTCTGCACAGCTTTCATTGATAAATTCCGCTACAACGCCGCGAAATCCTCCGAAGCGCAATCAAGAATCAAGAAACTCGAGCGCATGCCGGTTCTGCAACCGCCTGAGAATGAATACGTTGTCCACTTCAGTTTCCCAGAGGTCGAGAAACTATCTCCGCCCATCGTGCAGATGTCAGAAGTCTGCTTCGGTTACACAAAGGACAAACCTCTTTTGAAGAACGTCGACTTGGATGTACAGCTCGATTCACGGATTGGCATTGTTGGGCCCAACGGAGCTGGTAAAACAACTGTGTTGAAACTGCTCATTGGCCAACTACAACCCACGTCAGGACTCATATCTCAGCACCCTAGGCTCCGGATTGGGTTCTTCGCGCAGCATCATGTGGATGCACTGGACATGAATACCAGCGCCGTCGGATTCATGGCAAAAAATTACCCCGGACGGACCGATGAAGAATACCGGCGACATCTAGGAGCGTATGAAACCTCGGTTTTCATTTTCATTCAATTCCATACATACGCAGGCTCTTCGTTTTAAAGCTGAAGCTAACTATTTTCGATTTTCTGACGAAATAACTGTAGTTTCGGCATCACCGGCATGACGGGCCTTCAAAAGCTCGAGCTCCTATCTGGCGGCCAAAAGTCCCGCGTTGCCTTTGCGTGCCTCTCGCTAACGAACCCGCACATCCTCGTTCTCGACGAGCCGTCCAACCATCTCGACATCGAGGCGATGGATGCGCTGTCCGACGCATTGAAGAAATTCCAGGGCGGCGTGCTGATGGTCTCGCACGACGTGACGATGTTGCAGAATGTGTGCACGAGCTTGTGGGTCTGCGATCATGGGACGGTGGAGAAGTTCCCTGGCGATGTCAAGGCGTATAAGAAGAGGATCACAGAACAAGCCAATGCGGCGGGAGTGGTTGCTGCGCATTAGACATTAGACGATGTTACTTAGCAATCCCCTTTGCGTGTAGATGGCGAAAAGGACGAGGACAACCTTGGGTCTTGGTAACGATTAAGCCACGTTCAGAGGTACTAGTACGTATTATTTACGCGGCGTATTACCCGTCCCCATCGTACCAAGACGGTATTGCCGCATCGTGAGGTCTCAGCCAATCGAAGCCGACATCGCTCCAGCCTTCTTCGGCTTCCCAGCAGCAATTCCAAGGTTCCATCCTCCATATCTTCCATGGATATCGCACCCGCAGTAGAGAAAGTAACGTGTATCCCGCCAGCTCCATCATGCCACGCGCCATATGCAATCCTTTCACTCGCCGCACGCAATAGCAGATACCGCTGTGGCAGACACCCACGAGGATTTCGAGCTGCAAGAGATGAGTTCGGCTGCTGCCACTAACCCTGAAGCTCCATTGCTCGCTCCTCGCGATGCAGCTCCTCGCTCTCCGCCACCCAGATACTCTGACCACCAGTTTGGGAATGATGCCGCCAGCAATGATGGTGATAGGAGGCGGTCGCTGGGACAGGCACCAGCAGCTGCACCCGCAGAGTCGGGAGGCTGGTTTATATGGACACTAACATGTTCAGCGGGGATTAGTGGTTTGCTTTTCGGATATGAGTAAGATCGCGATCTTCCCCTCTTTTTTTTTGTTGTTGTACAGATATTCCTTGGACGGAAGACAGTGTAAGCAAGGACTGACTCTCTATTCTCTATTGCTAACTATGTGCGGCCTCATCGCGGAACAGTACAGGTGTTATTTCATCCACTCTGGTTTCGATTCGAACGGACCTTTCAGGCCACCATCTCACCACCCTCGACAAGAGTCTGATCACATCATGTACCAGTCTATTCGCGCTAATAGCAAGCCCATTCGCGGGTATTTTGGGGGATAAACTTGGCCGTAGACCCATCATACTCATCGCGGATGCCTTGTTCATCGTCGGGGCGTTGTGGCAGGCCGCATCCTCGACCGTCTGGAGCATGATATTAGGCCGGAGCCTGGTTGGATTGGGGGTTGGAGCAGCTAGTCTGGTTACTCCTTTGTACGTTTTAAAATGCGGAAGAGACCTCGTGCTATACTCTCCGTTGTTGATTTACGGAAACAGATCATTTACGGCATTACAGAGACATTCGCAGAAGCTAATGAGAGGTTGCGCAACAGGTACATATCAGAACTATCACCACCTGATATCCGCGGCAGATTGGTAACCATCCTAAGCCTCTTCGTCACTGGTGGCCAGGTAGTCGCCTACACCATCGGCTGGCTCTTCTCAACCACCCACGCGGGATGGCGGTGGATGGTCGGCCTTGGAGCCCTCCCTGGAATAATCCAGCTTTCCATCCTGCTCTTCCTTCCCGAAACCCCGCGCTGGCTTGTCCGTGCGGAGAGGCAACCTGAAGCCCGTCGAGTGATCCACAAAATATACGGCGCCTCTAACCCCCGAATGCCCGAACAACTCGTCCGGGACATCGAGCGCGAGCTCGTCGCGGAGGAGAACGCCGTGGACGAGCTCCTCAAACCCATAGATCAAGAAACATCGGACCACCACTGGTTCCGTCTCCCCCGTGGCTGGGCCGCTCTATTTCAGATCGACGGCAACCGCCGCGCCTTAGCCATCGCCTGCATGCTCCAAGCGCTCCAGCAACTCTGCGGCTTCAACTCACTCATGTATTTCAGCGCAACCATCTTCTCGCTCCTAGCATTCTCCTCGCCGACCCTAACCTCCCTCTCCGTCGCCGTGACAAACTTCCTCTTCACCCTCCTCGCCTTCTCGCTCATCGACCGCATCGGCCGCCGCCGCATCCTCCTCTCCTCTGTCCCCATCATGACCGCAGCCTTGCTCCTCTGCGCCCTCGCCTTCTCTGTCTTCGATCCCCCAACAAACGGCGACGACCCGTCGCCGCCGCCACAGGAACCGGGCGGAGGATCGGCTTCAGCGCTCGCCCCTCTCGCGCCTCTCCTTATCCTCACTTCCCTCACAATCTACACTGCTGCCTACGCCTCCGGCATCGGCACGATACCCTGGCAGCAATCCGAGCTATTTCCTTTAGGTGTGCGCTCGCTCGGCTCAGCGCTTGCGACGGGGACGAACTGGGGGTCTAATTTTGTCGTCGGGCTCTCGTTCCTGCCGATGATGGATTGGATATCTCCCGTGTGGACGTTTGTGATGTATGCGGTTATTTGCGGAGCGGGGTGGGGGTTGACTTGGGCGATATATCCGGAGATGAGTGGACTGGGGTTGGAGGAGGTCAGGGGGTTGCTTGTGGCTGGATGGGGCGTTAGGGAGAGTGTAGAGGGATTTAAGAGGAGGAGGGGGGAGAGGAGAAGTGAAGAAGGGGAGGGTCTGTAGATGTGTTATTCGTTGCAACATCGCTTCATTCTTCCTCTTAGATACAATCTTTCATTTTTTTTTTTTTTTTTTTTTTTTTTTTTTCAATTTCCTTTTTTCCTTCCCAGGTTAACCGAGGACACAAATTCTCACGATCATAGTAAACGGGGTTTGTACTGGTATGGCTCTTTATATATATATATATCAATCAACCGAATGGAGCCAAAGCTTAAACTACTAGTCCTCTACTCCGAAGCAAGGCAAGAGAATAGTCGCGATATTTACCACCGAACACTGCCATAGGATAGTATCGTGGTATATATTATGGATGATTCTCATGATAAGTACTGATTCTAGGTTGCTCGTGGGCTGTCACCAGAGAGTTGGAGTTATGTAGCTCTTTGAATTCCATACTTATATTAGTTAGTCAGTAACTACCCTTTGATCCCTTCTTATCCAAAGATCAACTATCTTTTTGCCTTTTGTTCTTTTTTTTTTCTTGTCTTTTCTTTTCTTTTCTTTTTCTCTGCTTTTGTTTATTTTCTGAGCCACCGACGCTAGTCCACAACGGGAAGTACACTGCCACCGCTGACTCAACCATGCCAAGGCCCGAATTCGGTTGGATTTAAGTCCTTTGTGGAGATCATCGGCGTTTTACATGCGCTGCGTATCTAGCTATCTATCTACAGATCTGTACAGATCTGTATATATATATATAGATATATAGTGGCTCTACCAGTAGGCGTAGTTCGTGCGGTGATAACAACCGCCCGTCGAGAATAATGCCAGGCGTGGGTGCAGCGGAAGATGCAGATGTCGATGCAGATGCACGCTGCTGCTTCTGGTGCTGCTGTTGCTGCATGGTGGCAGCCGGTTGAAAGGTGGAGGAATCAGCAATTGGGCCAGCGTCGTGTCCCTGCAGGAACCGCAAGCAGCATCTTCGGCGTCGAGGACGGTGGAGTAAATCTGATTCATAATACTTGCCACCCCATACACGGAGTGCTTCTCCTGCTTCTTCTAAGTTCTGCTTCTTCTGCTTCTTCTGCCTCTTCTGCCTCTCCCTCGCAGGAGTCCCCCATGTCGTGTCTCGTCGCTAGCTGCATCCACTGGCATTGCACCGAGTCAATCCGTGCATCGCAGCTAGTGCGCGCCCAACCGTCGCCGCCGCCGCCGCCGTCGTTCGCTGTCTCTCCTCAGCCCACTTTCGTCTCAGCCCAAGCCGCCACCAACACGAGCCCTGCTGTCTTGCACCCATTACGCTCCATTACGCCTCCATTACGCCCCAGTTCACCGCAGTTCACCACATTCTCCCCCCATCCCTCGCCGCCCGTGACCATACCGTACCGTACGCCGGCTCGTCGGTGTGTTTGCTTCGTTCCTCCTTTTGATTCTCTCGCGGTCTCGTCTTCTTCATTCCTGCGTCTTCATCCTCCATCCTCACCTCCATCCTCACCTCCATCCTCGTCTCCATCCTCACCTCCATCCTCATCCCTCTCCGTCTTCCATCTCCCTCCCGTCCATTCCCGCCATAGGATGGCTCCATTCTAGCTTGACTACCGCCTCTGCCCAGCCAGCCCCTGTTGAGGTTGAGTCACCGACACTGGCCAACTGCCAAATACCTCTCTGCCTTCGACGAGATCCCCATCTGGGCGCCCATCTCCCAATCGTTTCCTTTTCCTCCTCCTCCTCCTCCTCCCTCCACGCTGCGAGCGACTCATTGGATCCAACAGACGCACCTGCCGCCCGCTCCCTTCGTCCTCCGCTTTCTTCCCATCGCTTTCTCTGCTCGCTCGACCGAGAGACACACGTTGCCCGCAAGTCGCTTGTCTTCCCCAAATATATCCAATATATATATATATATATATAGATATATAATATATAACATATAATATATACCGTATAAATGCACCTCCCTGAACCGAGACATTATTATCAACCCTCAGATCAGGCTTAGGCGGAACCTGATGCTTCGCTGTCGTACAGCCCCTGTTGTCTCGCTCTGCAAACCAACCACCCGCTGCGTCCATATTTTATCTTTCTCATTAGCCGCTGCCACCCTCTAATCGCTTTTTCTTTCTTTTCTTTCTTTTTTTCCCTTTTTTTTCGAAGAACTCACATCGTATCTCTCATATATTTACTCTCACATATATATATATATATATATACGCCCGCAAACATCCAAAAAACACACCTGGTCGGATGCCGCTTCGGGGATAGGCCTGTCTGCCGATCTGTTTGTCGGTTCCTTTGTGGCCCCCTTTCTGGGCTTTCGACTTCGTTCCTCTCTCCGCTTTGAAATATCCATCAAACAAATAACGGCCATTGATTGTCGTTGCGTTAAACCGGCTAATAATCGGGCTCTCATTTGAAACGCCTATATAGAAGGAAAAGCAAGACTCGGCATAACATTCGCCAACTCTTGCACTTACATCTGTCTGCGGTTTTTGAGATACATTAAAAAAAAGAAAAGAAAAGGAAAGAAAGAAGAAAATACCATTCGCGAATATGGCCTCCACCCAGAATACGCCAGGTATGCCAGCTGTACAATGAGCATATATTTTATTGTTCTTATGCCCATTTTTTCCCTTTTGCAACGCATTAATCTACTGACCTGCACCTGCTAATCCTACATATAGTCCCATCCGAAAATGCGTCTCCCGCTCCTTCCGACCCTCCTCCTGGGCCGTCTTCACCCCCGCAGCCCACCACACCTCCGCCGAATCCTCAACCGTCGCAACCGCCCCCAAGTCCTTCGCCTTCAAACCCTCCGCCTCCGCAACCTTCGACCCCACGGCCGCCTTCCCCGAGTAACCCGCAACCGCCTCCCCCTCCTTCTCCCTCTTCCCAAGCCCCAGGTCCCACTCCTCCTCCTCCTTCGGAGCCCTCATCTCCTCCGCCCAATCCTACCCGGACCGCGGGTTCGGATAACAATACAACCATATTCATCACCTCCACCGCTTCAAGAGCACCGCCACCTGGCACTGGAGTGCCCAATTCAAACGGATCTGGAACACCATCGGTGCTCCCTCAACCATCCACCGGTGGTTCAGGCTCGGGAGGCCTGTCAGCTGGTGGCACTATTGCCCTCGCCGTTGTCCTTCCCGTCGTCTCGGTGGCGCTGATCATTCTTCTCATCCTATGGTGGTGGAGGAAACGGAAGGCTAGAAAAATCGCGGAAGAGGAACGGAAGCAAGAAATCGAAGAGTACCGCTTCAACCCCAACAACGATCCCCTCTTGCCTGCAGTGGGTAATTTCGATGATGGCGCCCTCCCGAAAGATGGAAACAACGGAGGATATCGCGGTTGGGGCACAACCAACGCTACGTCTCGGAAGCTGTCAACCAATCTATCAAGCGGCGCTGGCGGAATAACCGCCTCAGATAATGGCAGCAACCCAGGCCCTCCGAGACCGGTATCTCCTCTAGACGACTCCATCCCCTACGAGGATGACCACAGGCCCGTATCGGGTGACTATTCAGGGCTTGACCCCGCTGCTGCCGGTATGCTCGCTCACCCTAACAGTAACCCCAACGCCAACTCTCGCGATATCCGCCGCGGCCCATCGAATGCTTCATCGGCTTACTCCAATGCGAACCGTTCGGACGTGTCGGATGATCTCCCTATACCTGGCGGCGCACCCGGCACGGCCCAGTATTATGATGACCCCTACTACACTGACGGAGCTGGGCAGCCCGGCGGTGCTTTTGCGGAAAATCCATATAACGCGCCTCCCGTGATCCGCGATGTACAGGCAAGACGGAATACGCGAATCGAAAACCCGTCCGTATTTCCGCAACAGGGGAATGCGGGCATAGCGCAGAATTTTTAAAAATAAAAGATTTCCATCGACCTTTTTCGCGTTTCTGTTCCCAACCTTTCCCCAATAGTTCTCCCATTTTCTTTCCTTTTTTTTTTGGAGCCTTTTGACATAATTCAATTGTTGTAATCCTTTCGTCATCTTTATTTTCATTTTATTCCCACTATTTACTTGGAACACACTTGTCGCTGGGCCGTGGAGAGCGGCTAATTTTCGTCCTCTTCTCGCTTCCCTCCCTCCCATTTTTCGTTTCTTTTTCCTTTTACTAAGTCCGTCCTCGACCTCAGTCTATATAAACCCCTTCCATTTATTCTAATCAGGCCTAGTCTTCTCTTTTGTTTTTCATCGGAAAAATCTCCCGCCTCCGGGCAACAAACGGCACAAAGCCAGCCTCCACTTTGCACATATACTGTTATGTTATATCTAATATTTGATTGATTCCGCTTCTGGTCCTCGTAATGCAAATATACCAACCATACACTACACGAACTGCTCTTTTCTTTGTTTGGTTTTGTTTTTGTTTTTATATTTTTACTGCATATATCCTTGTTATCTACAAATACTTTTATATCGTTTTAAAGGCATCTATCTATTTTCTTTGACTCGGTCCCGCTTATCCTATTTGTGTATCTATGTCCAGTGCACAACCCCGTCCCCATTCTTTTTTTCCCGCTAATATTCATATGTTGTATGTTATGGCATTACTTGTGTACCCAGCACCGATTCCACATTTTTCTCCTAGACGCAACTCACCAGTATTTCCCCCGTTTTATTTCAGCATGTCTCATGTCTCAGCCCTATCGTTTCGTCCTATTTTCATACTTCGTTTTGTTTTTATCAATGTTTGTCTCCCCCTACCCCTTTTTATGGCTTGTTTTTTGCCCACTTTGTTTTTGTATCTACATCTAAACTTATTCTCACTCAGATCTTGTGTATTGGATATTTGAATCAGAAAAAATCGATTTGAAAATATGATTTCCTGCCTATTTGCTTTCTCGAATCCGACTTCTCGCTCACTCTACTCTATATATACTTATTATATACGGCACCAGCAAATATAGTAATAGTTCTGGTAGTAGCACTGTATAGCAGTATAGGGAGCCCTGTCATCCTTTCTAAAATATAGTTCACCCCATATGTCCAAATATCTGACTCGTGGCTACCTACTATTTCTCTGACTTTTATTATTATTATTATTTTTCGGGAACTAGGTATGAACCCGAGCGCGTAACCAGGGTAATGGTTAGCGATCATCCATCCAGCACTTACGTGTTCATGCTGCATGGAGAAATATATGTCTTACCCCATACCTGTACCGATATATCCACTATTACTAAATAAAGATCGGTAGTGTAAGGAGAAAATATTCCCGCGCTCCTCTTTTCTCCAATTTTCCTCCATAGATCCGTCCCACCGCCGCACAAAAAAGGCACAAAATAAAAATAAAAAAAAGCAAGGATGGAAAGAAAGGTGAAAAATATGTATGTGTATTTTGTCTAGATAGATTAGGTGATTCATTACGCACGCCGCTTACAACAATCCACACTCCATCCGACACACAAATGTATATTTTCCCTCCCCGCTCCTTCTATGCCCCAACTGTCAACCGTCAGCCTTCAACCGCTAGCCCCCAAGCCTCACGAACCTCCGTGTTCCACGCACGACCCACGATATGTATAAATCGGGCCAAAGCAGCCCGTGGCTCAAGATTATGAAAGGAAGAAAGCATGGGGCACCCAAACACCACCCCCCACACCAAACATAAACGACAAACAGAAAAAAAAAAAAAAGAACAAAAACAAAAACCAAAAAAAATACGAAAATGTGTGAAAAGAATTAAGAAAGAGGAAAACCAACGAAAGAGGAAAACTTCAACCCTCCCCCCCCAAAAAAAAGAAAGAAAAAGAAAAGAAAAGAAAAGCCTACGTCTTCATATCCCACGTGGGCTTCAAATTTGACGTAATATCTTCCACCGTCCCGACAGTCTCAGGCGGCAGACGGCTGATCCGATAGCCGCCATTCCGGATATGGTATGCATGCGCTGCAGAGACGCCGGTGCGGTTGCTCCGGATGCTCCCGGCGTCACTGGCTGTTTCTGCATTTCTGAAGCGCGGGGGCGGTGCGAAGTCGAGGGCGGTGAAGGTGCTAGATTTGCGGAGGGCGTGGCTGGGGTAATGCGTTAGTTTATATTATATATATATATGTATATGTATATGTATATATACACTGCACCAGGCCACAAGTATTGGCCACCCCCACTACTTTTCTGCCACCCGAAGACACAATAATTGTGGTGGGGGTTGCCAATATTTATGGCCTGACACTGTATATATCAATATTTCAATGATGTGAAGGGACACTTACGGACTAGGCATGGCTGCGAGATCATCATAGGAAGACGCCAGCGCGATATTCGCCGCGCGTACGGGGACATACGGTCGAAGTCCCCCGCGAGGTGTCCCAGAACGACCTGCTCGACGATCACTCGCGGTGGGGCCGGGGGCGTAATCGATGGGGAGAACCATGGTGTCATCCTTGAGCTTGTGCGCGCTGGGGAGGACGTGGAGCGGGCCTGGTGGCCGCAATTGGGGTTTCTGTGGCATTGGCGGTCCCCTGTTAGATATCGATGAGTTTGCACGGGGTCCTGGATCGCCCGACGTTGTAGAGAATGTTCTGTGGCTTGCTGCATAGCCAAAGGCGGATGAGGCGCCTTGCTGGCGCGATGGCTGGGTGTAGAAATTTGGCGGCATTCGAGGTGGCGGAGTCATGGCACGGCGTCCCATAGGCTGGGTGAATGGGGGTGGTTCTGGTGGGTAGAAACCCATATCATCGCTGCCGCCATAGTAGGGATCCGGGTAGGCTGGGTCGTACGGCATGTCTTCGTGATAGTCATTTTCGCCGTAGTCTTCGTAATATTCCTCTTGCGGAGGATGATGTTTGTTGCTCTCATCAAAGTACTCCTTGTAAAAGGATCGGATGCGGTTGGCTCGTTGTTCGGGATTGTCCGAAGGATCTTCTGGTGGCAGTGGTCGGATACCAACTGTAAGACGGCGGGAGTCGAACGTGTATCCTTGGTCATCTGGGAAATCGTACATGGTAGACAGACGAGCGTTTTTGTCCGGTTGATGTGTGTTTGACTCAGAGGTATCCACATTCACTTGCGGTAGAACTGAAGTTGAATTTCTTTTGTCATCTCCATAGTCGCTATGGTCATCGTCTGATGGCAGAGAAATACGGGGCAGTACCGGGGCTGAGCCCGGGGTCGGAGCCGGGTGTGGGATCAAGGCTGGTGGTGCGTGAGGGTGTGACTGAGACGAGGAATTTGATTCAGGAAGGACATTGTCTAGATCCGGGAGGTTGAATGACGGGGGGTGAACCGTAGGGGTAGAAGTTAGATACAATTCATCAGATTGGGTATTCTGAGAAATGGCTTCGCCTTGTGAGGGAGAGGGCCAGTTACGGTCACTGGTTTCTGGAGTTGTACCTCGTTGGATGAGAGCGCCCAGGTAATCATTGCTCTTCCTGAGCTCACTTCCAGGAGTGGAAATACTCTTGGGCGCAAGTGACCGGTCTGGAGAATGAATGCCGGATCGATCGGATACAATATTGGGGGTGGGTGTTGTCAACTTGCGCGGAGGGCTCCTGTGACTCTGGCTTGACCCTATTGAATGCGTGTCGGTTCCGGGAGGAGGGCTCGTTCTAGACATGCGCTGCGCGTTTCGAAGGAGATTGGCATGCATCTCATCACCAGGTGGAGCATGGCGACTACTCATGCCTGTAAAACTGGCAGAATCATCCGGAAGCGGCTTCAAGTTGCTAGTGAATGACCGCATGGATGCATTATCGCCGGCTGAAAAGGCTGTTGCGGTGCGGTATCTGTCGTCATCGGCATGGACGGATCTTGACAAGGAGTGTAGCGAATCGTGCGAACCATTGAGAGCAGGCGGTAGGAGATAAGGGCTAGTCATGGTGATGTCCATGGACAAACCACGATCATTACGACGAACTGACTTTTCCGCGTCGGCGGTGGTCATTTCCATTCCGCCCTTCCGCCCTCGACCCCTCTTCTTGTTGCCCGAGGGGACGACATCCAAGCCGAAGTCCAGAGATTTATGTTTATCATTTGCATCTTCCGACCGTAACTTTCTGATATGGCGACGGTGCAAAAAGACGAGTACGAGAATCGCAATGGTAAGGGGAATACTATAGGTAACAATTAGCAAGGGTTCCCTTTTTCTCCGTTCTCCTTCCCTTCTCTCCCTTTCTTTATATTTTTCAGATTTTTTTCCCGGGGAAGATCAAGGAGTAAAATAAAGAGCAACATACACCACTCCTAGAACTATGGGTAGAGTGGTAGTGGTAACATCACTAGCAGGCCTCTCGCATCTTCCGGTGGTGTCTTCGGGACCACATGTCTTCGTGCTAGTGTCGGCGGAGGAGGAGGAATCTGCATCCGCTGCCCTTCTCAGGAGTAGGTTAGGTGCGTCGACGGGAGGAGCCCTTCTGTGGAAGTGATTGTGACCATGCATAACTCGATATTCTCTCTTTCAAGAGACGAGTTAAATAGGAGAGATTTTATTCTTTTCTTTTCTTTTCTTTTCTTTTCTTTTCTTTTCTTTTCTTTTCTTTTCTTTTCTTTTCTTTTCTTTTCTTTTCCTTTTTCCTTTTCCAGAGATCAAAGAAAAGTCTGACTGATATTTGGTCAAGGAAGCGCCTTACGCCATGTCAACGTCACATAAGGAGGTAACACAGAGCCGGGGGGGATTACGAGAAGAAGTGCCTAAGTAGGACGAGGCGCAGCCACGGGGCACAGAGCAAAGTAATGAATGAATTGAGTGGGAGGCAGACGGGGAATTTAGTTGTATTTCAAAGGAGCGTGGAGGGTAGGTATGTAAAACAGCGCCAAAGCAGCAGCGACAACAACAAACCAAAGGAGTGAAAGTCCCCAAAAGGGAAGAGGAGGAAAAAGACGCGAGAGCGGAGGAGTGAACGAGAGGTGAAGCCGAAGCAGAAGCAGAAGAAGAAGATGGAGGAGGATGAGGAGGTGAGAATGAGATGAGATGAGGTCTCAGCGTGGTTGGCGGCGGTTTTGCTGTCCTGGGCAGATTAACTAATTAACTAATGGATGACTACGCCTAGCCTAACCTGGGTAAGCACGAGGCTAACCGGGGCTAGCGAGATGAGAGTCACGAGGTGAAACCCGCCAATGGCAACCCGGACAACGAGCTAACTCCGCTTGGGGCCTAGCGTTGCTGCCGCCGCCGGTTGTGGTTGGTCAACGCTGCCAGGAACATGTCTTGGCAGGCACGGGAGCGGCCGGGGGATTGGCCAATAACAGCCACTTCACGTGACTATCTCATTTTGGCTGCTTCCGGGGTCCACGGACGCAGGCCGAAAAATAAGGGATGAACGTCGGAATTAATCACTGCTGGTGCTAACGAACTACAGCAAATACGCAGGACAACACACAAACCTTCAGTATGGCCGCCTATCCTGGATACGCTGAATGATAAACGGCTCGACCCGTTGCTCAAGGCAGAAACAAACCAAGAAAACAAGTCACCAAAATGGACGCGAACCAAAAACCCCTCCTCTTCCTCCCCCTTTCCCCCTCCCGCCAAGCACTAGTATTTGTTGGATATTCCGCCATTTTATACAGGCAGCCCCTGCTTCTATGCACAGTACATCGTACCATGTAGCAGGCGGATCCTGTCCACGGTCCCCAGAAAGTCGGTGATGCGATGCTGATGATATTGATTTGGATTTGAGGCTTTGGGAGATTTTTTTCTTCCCGACAACCCATTCCAAAACGTATCGGCTTGTTTTGGCACCTGTCATTACTGTCACTATTCCTTACTGTTCTTCTCCTTCTTCTTCTGAACCTTTGCTTGTCTCTTAGGGACCTTCCTTGAATTGAATTCAGATCTTTTGATGCCCTGAGATTAGAGAGAAATCTATATATCTTTCCATAGATACGGACTAGAAGGGATCGCCATCCCGTCGCATGTGCATATGCATCAGTGTTTAGGTGACCTTGATCAGTCCAGGGAGGAGTTGGAAGCCGAAGCTGAATCATAGGTGGGGATGGAGGTCAGGTGTGGACCAAAAGACCCTGCACACACTAGATATATAAATATATCGCGAAATATCAATACCAGGCCCAAAAAGCCATTCTGGCCCTTGCTGTGCCTGAGTATGGACAAGGGGCTGCCAACTAGGATCTAACAGATTTATACCATGTATAGTTATCTCCAGCATTCACAAGGCAGTTTGTTCCACACGTCTGGAACTATATATATCTTGCGGTATTGCAGGGGTGTTGTCACACACACACATAAATATATATAAACTGGGACCAGATCGGCGGTTTCACCAATTTTATTCATTGAGAATCTGCAGGTCTGTTCCACTCGCTGAAAAAGAGGCGAGCAAAAAAAAGAAAAAAGAAAGAGGGTACCACGAACACATATTGATAGGATCTCAAATGGAGAACAAGAATTTCTCAGGCCGCAAGGACGGTCGTTTTTCGATAATCCAGAAGTGGAGTTTTCAACAACGAGAAGGCCTGAGGCATAACAAAGCCCTATTTGCAGTTTGTTCCCAAAGAGGGAACAGGAGCGAATGAAATCGCAGCTAGCATGATATGCCCAAATGAAAGTTGGGGGTCACTATACCATATAGATTCATTTTCACAGCCAAGATGGCAGGTAAACATGATAGATAGAGTGAAATGCCATGCCATGCCTTCTCAATCTCATGTCCCCATCAGAGTCCTGTGTGTGTGTGTGTGTGTGTGTGTGTGGGTGTGAAAGACCAGAAAACACCAAAACCAAGGCGGTCGTTGTCGCTCTCTGACACATATAAGCAGCTTTTCTGGATAAACTTGTCATGCATCTATCTGCCTGTATCTCGATAGGTCTCAGTAGTTGTTTGTATACACTCAGTAGGAACAATATCCATTGTCTTTTTAAAGTCCGCAGCAAATCATCGTTATTTCCGCTGCTCTTAAAAAGAAACCAATTTCATTTCTTAATCTCTTAATCTCATCTGCAAGGAAGGAGGAAAATCACCCACCGATGCCTGGTCTCACTGGTCAATGATGTCGAGAGAAGTCGAGAGGATGGTAGGAAGCGCGAAGCCAGGGAATGGGCCAGAACAAGCTTTTAACCCAGCCCCAACCCCGCCCGCCTAGCGCCGACAAGGAGACGCATCCGCTGCATTCGATGATGATGGCTTTGATGGCTTTTTTGACGGGCTGGTGCAGAACGTGCGTGGATGGCGCCCGGTAATTGGTGGCTTAGGCCCAGATCTCGACGCTATCTCACTTCTTCTTTTCTCGGGAATGGAAGGGAATGGAATGGAGATAGATCCCAGGGCCGGCACCCGAAAACGAGAGCGGGTTTTGCAAAGACCATCATGATACCGGGCAATACAATACAATCTCTCATCATGCCAGTGTGGTGGACTCCCAACGTCGAGAAGTAAATCAATTCATAGGGACAACAAGAGGAGGTGGAATGTCACAAAAACTGCAATGAGCCAGTAACTAGATCTCGCCAAGGAGCTATTCGTGGAAAGCGGGCGATCTCTCTAGGAGATTTTGCTGCTGTTTGCGATTCGTCGAGTGGAATGAGTCCGAATGACAACGTCATGTCTGCTACTAGATATTAGTAGTTCCGTGGTGAACTTGCTGCTTGGGGTTGATTGATTTATTTTCCACAGCTACAAACCTAGTCCTCCGGACGGCACATATGAATTGGCGACATCCGGATGTGGAGATTACCGTTTGGACTATCCCAACTCGCCGTTTAACTTACTCTTTTGCTCTCTCGGCCCACGTGGTTGGTGGCAGGAATTGCGCTCCCACCGTCCAACCTCCAGCGCGCATCCACAACTCCAGCAAGCCTGCTGGTGGGCTACCTTAGTCCATACGTATACCGCACATCTTTCATTGCTACTGCTAGCTACTGCTATGCCAGGTAGGTGTTTAGTGAGAGGTAGCGGGTGTCTTCCATTCCCCTCTGCTCGCTCGGCCCCTTACTTCTTCTCCTCCCTCTCCTCCTTCTTCTCCTTCTCCTTCTCTTACTATCCATTCTCTCACCATGTATCCGTACCAAGGCATATATATATAGATATATCTATGAATACCTCACTATTCTGGTGGTTCAGTGTCTGAAGCATAGCTTGGTTTGGCTCCAGCACCGGGCTATAGCTAATAACCTTGCTTGAAACATTGGGTAAGTAGCAAGATTCCTCTCTACCACCTCGTTTTCGGCGTCTCTCTATACAAAACATTCTGCTGCCCTCCCCTCTTCGCTGAAAATCATTCCGCTTCTCATCCTGTCGTTCGTCACTGCATCTGCTATGTCGCAGTGCTCAAAATGCGCATTTGCCTTCCCCATTTCGCTTCCCGTGATGGCCTCATCTCGACTCCCTCGTCTTGCGCCTTCTTGTGTGACTCTTTTGTCAATTAACTTTCCTCCGCCGATTCCATCCTTATAGGACTACTTGCTGCTGTCCTCCCTCGTGAATCCTCGTTGCGATTCTCTTGCTGTCTATCTCCGGGATCTCGAGAACTCTCGCTCGGGTTTTGCGCACCCTCTTACTGCAACAAACCTCCCCCGCCTGATTATCAACAGGTTGGCGGGGAAGGGACACCTCCCAACTGTCTAGCTGTCTAGTTATTACTTAGTTACTTCTCTCATAGACTTCTCGCAGAGATCATGTAAGCCTCTCTCTCAACCCAACATCGCTTCATAAATGCATATCATGTCCTCTAACCCAAGTCCCGATTCCTCGCCGCCCACCAGGAAGTTCGGAAAGCAGATCCAAAGGCGCCAGCTCGACCTTCCCGAATATGCTGTTAGTTTTCTCAACTACAAGGCGCTTAAGAAGGTAAACTAGCTCTACAGCCTCCTCGCCATTCCCCACTAATGTCTATGTGCTGATACTTCTTTTTCATTTAGCTCATCAAACAACTAAGCGCGACGCCCACTATCCCCGCCCAGAGTTCCTCAGCGGATCCCGTCCCGGAGATTGTCGACCCCCAGGCTGCTCTTCGTGCGAATAAGGACGTCTTCTTCTTCCGTGTGGTATGCTAAGTGACCTTTGCTTGGGACATTCTTCATGCACAACAGCGAAGGCTTTGGTAACACCCGTGGATGGGCATTTGCTAACGGTGATATTTCCCCTGTATCTTGTCTCTAAATAGGAACGAGAAATTGAGAAAGTGAACGTTTTTTATCTTCAAAAGGAAGCAGAGGTTCGCTCTTGTCTTTTCTTCTTTCCAGTTTTAATCACTGCGATGAGGAGTATGCCGAGATATGCTCCTTGAAAATGAAGGACTAGGTTTTGTTAGGTCCCTAAAGGTGATAACATCACTAATAAAACAACAACACATATACACAGTTCACGCTACGCCTCAAAACGCTTCTCGATAAAAAGCGGCTGATACAGTCGAAAAAATGGGTTACCAATTCAAAGGCTCCGGCAAACTTTGTCACCCTCTTCGAAGGTCTTCAGCAATTTGATGGAGACCTGAACAAACTTCAAGTGAGTCATCTCTTCTCTGGCACAGATCGATACAAATCGATGAGCTTTTCAAGTCTCTAAACTTCGGTGACCACATAACAGCAATTCGTCGAGGTCAACGAAACAGCCGTTTCCAAAATTTTGAAAAAGGTTTGTCCCTATATCCCTCAGTACGCTCGATAGAGGCGCCTAGAAGAACAGGGGGAAAGGAAATACAATGAAAGAGAAAACAGCTGACTGTGGATTTGTTCGTATTTAGTGGGATAAAACTTCAAAGGTCCGATTGCCATCACTGACCCCGAGGAAACCGCATTGGAAATAAGTCTAGCTAACAATACAATCCACCTAGTCACGCACAAAAGAGCTTTATCTTCATCGCGCCGTCGAAGTACAGCCGTGCTTTAATCGGGAGGTTCTGCGCGACCTCTCTGACCGTGCGACGACCGCAAGGTTAGAGCTTGAGGCTTGGGCGGAAGGCGAAAACATTCAGTTCGATGCGTCGCGTCTGGCTGATCGCGTTGTTGCTGAGGAGGACGATTCTGACTTACAGATCTTACAAACCACCACTGCTGGCAATTTCCAAACGCTGCGGGAATGGGTGGCGAAACTGCAATCATCGCCAGACGGGGCCGATCGACTCACACGTATGTTCCTTGCTGCAATAAATGAGTATCCCGACGAGGTTCTCGCCCTTCTTCTTGACACCGGTTTGGTGGACGTGAATGCAGAAGATGATATCAATGAACGCAACTGCCTCCACGAAGCGGCAATATCGGGACGTCTATTTGTTCTCCAGGCGGGGCTGGAGCATGGGGTTGATGTTGCGCAATCAGATGTTTACGGGAGAATTCCTCTCCACTATGCTTGTATGCATGGTAGAGTGGAGATGGTCAAACCCCTCCTCAATGCAGGGATTTCAACTATTGACATGATGGACCACGATAACTTCACCCCGCTGATTCACAGCATCATCCGGGACCAGCTTCCCTGTGTGGAACAACTTCTTTTCCATAACGCTCGCATAAATCCAACATCCGAGTCAGACCACATCCCGCTGAATCTGGCCTGCCAGCACGCGTCTCTACCACTCATCAACCTCCTTCTGGAGAGGAATGCTGAATTGCTCCCCGATGCAGAGGGCCTGTATCCACAGCATCTTGTTGCGCGATCATGTAGAGGCTCGGAAGCTCTCCTTGTACTTAAGAGCCATGGGGCTGATCTCGACCAAAAGGACAAGCTTTACCAATGGACCCCGATATTCCATGCTGCAAGCGAGGGGTGTGTTGGTTGTTTGAGAACGTTGCTAGAATGCGGTGTAAATGCCGATGCCTTGGATGAAAAAGGATTGTCTGCTATGTACTATGCTGCATGGGAAGGCCATCTAGAATGCATGATATTGCTCTGGGCAAGACGGCCAGGTACAAAACCACCACGAACACCGCTTGATATTCTTAACAGCCCCAGGTTTCGGGATTCGGGCTCTATGACCTCCCCTCTCCTGACCGAGAAGTCAGGAGGGCCTAAGGCGGGAGCAGACGGTAGTGACGGTATTCCTCTTCTATCTCTACCACCCCCTATTATTCCGCTACGACGATACGGCCATAATTTCCTTGACACCAAAACATTTATCCAAATATATTTTGAACAAACGCCGTCTTTTGAACCCATTGTGTTCTACCAGGCTGGCCGTTACGCTGCTGCACGATTAACGATTTCCTCGAAAACATCGGATCTTATACCCCGCAACGTGATACTTCCTATTCAGGATGACTCTCGACTTGTCTCGTTCCAGATCGACCGTTTAGATACGTTTGCTCTAGAGTTTGAAATTTTCCCTACTTTTGGATCCAAAGCCATTGGCAAAACTGTTGCGTTACCTCATGTATTTATAGGCGCGACATCATCATCATCAGAAGGAGCATGTGCGTTACCTCTTTTCGATCCCAGGCTACGAGCAATCGGCGAGATCCGCTTCAAGTTCCAGGCCATCAAGCCGTACCACGGTGATCCGCTCGAGATCACACATTTCGCAACTTACTGGAAGGCAACAAGTGCCCTTGATTCAGATCATAATGGATTAGTGACCGGCTCGAGTTTATCAGGGGACTACGTCCAACTTTTCGTTCAGTTGACCAGGGACGGCGTACCTGTTCTCTACCCGGAGTTTACCGTTAACCATCACGGTATCGACATCCCGATCTGTCGTCTATCTTTCCAACAATTCCGCTCGATTCATGCCGAATACCTGTCTCAAACCAGCGCCAGAGAGGCCACTCTGCTTAAGTCGCTTGAAGACATGACAGTCGATGACATGGCGCAAGCGCATAGATTACTCGCAATATCATTCCTCTCCCTCAAAGAGGTTCTCGCGCACCTCCCCACAAATATCCACGTTGACCTATGCATTCTATTCCCCACGCCAACTGAAGAGGAAAAACTAGGTCTCGGCCCACTAGCGGATATAAACACTGTCGCCGATGCAATTCTCACAGACGTCTTCGCCCATGCCAGAGCGTCCAAGGAGACGAACCCAGATTTCATGCGCTCGGTCGTATTCACCTCGTATAATCCTAATATTTGCATTGCGTTGAATTGGAAACAACCAAACTGTATGTTTATCGATCTTTTTATTTTTCTTTGCATAACAATCACTTGCATATCTATCTCTATCATTGGTGTTGCCCGTTGCTTACCAAATGTCAAAATTAACACATCTCCAGACCCAGTCCTTCTTTGCAACGACCTAGGCCAGATCCGCGACCTGACACAGGACGTCAGCTCCCTACCTGTCGTCCGCAGCAGTGGGCGCACGTCGATGTCCATCAAGGAATCCGCGCGGATTGCACAGAGCAATAACTTCATGGGGTTGATGTGTCGTTCGAGTTTGCTAGTTAGTCCCCAGTTCTTCTTTTTTCCCCTTTCCTTTTCTTTTCATTTCTTTTTTTTTTTAATTTGAATTTGAAATGTTGCTCTTAACCCCTCAATTTTAACAATTCGCGCAGAATGTTATGCCCTCCCTTGTCGAATCGATCAAGGAACTGGGTCTTGTCCTTGTCGCGGATACTTCTGATGAGATATTGGATAAGACCCGTTTCGGTGTCAGTAGTGGCCGATTGGGCGATCATGATCGTGACTATGAACAAAGTGGAGCTGGCGTTGGCGTTGGCGTCGGAGTTGGAGTTGGAGTCGGCGTGTCTGCGGAATGGGCGTATAAAATGCCCGAGGGCGTGAATGGGGTTATGAGAAGGAATGGTGTTTTGCGATTTAATGATACGATTGATATGTGATCTATTTCTTTGAGTTTAGATTGAACGGATATATCTATCAATTTAACACTCAAATCTTTCGTCCATTCGTTTTTATACCTTGAGTTTTATAAGTAAGAGTATATATGAGACTCCGTGGTATTTTCGGGTTATTTTACTAACTTAACCCATTTGCCAGTGGATGACTGCGGAGTAATAAAACCCATGAACCATTTATTCTCTACTTCTAATTTTCCTTTCATCCCTTTCTCCCTCCCTTTTTGCATGTGGTGAAAGGCATTGTATCGACAGATATAGATATGGTGCTACATGCACGCTTAAGGGCCTAAATAATGGAAGTTGCATATATTGAGAAATGTAATGTATCTAATCGTACAACACAGAGGGGACTATATGTTAAGTCCGGGGGTGTGTATGAGGGGAGATATGCAGTCCTGTGAAGGTATAGCAGCGGAGCGCAACCACGAGGTGGGAATCGGGAGCGTGTCTTGGTGGATGGTTGAGGGATGAGGGCGCGGATGATTACTACTGCGTAGAATCCCTTCAATCTCAGGTGCTTTTGGGCTTCCGTTTCCCGATATCCCAACCCCATCGCCGTAGTGTTTTGACGACCTTTGGTGTCGCCGCTGCTGTCAGGGGAACTCGAATGAAAATGAAACTCTTATGGATGGCATAAGCTAGGGCAAGTTGAGTCCATAAACCTGGCAAAAGGCGGTTTTGTTAGTCATGTAAATAAGTCTGCAGCCCCCGACCACTCATTACAGATATAGAAAAAGGAAGGGTGGAATGACGTACTGGCTTCAGATCCCGCATTCCGCTCCTCAGCCTCCAAAACACCATGATCATGCGATTCGCCATCTTTATCCGCGCCACTGCCGCCAGCGCTCGCAATGGCTATGTCACCTCCTGCATTTCCTCCATCCTCTTTGCCAGCAGCGGGAAATCCGGTGGCTTCCGGTTTTCCAAAGGACAGCAAAGCTGAGCCAACAGTACGCTTGAACCATTCCACGATTATATGCTCGTAGTGCCCGATCTGTTCAACGCCCAGTAGACGCACGGCAACGAAGCAAAAAGGGAAATCAAGAGCTGAAAGGGCCAGGTAGACGCCGAGCGCGGACCAGCCATATTCCCGGGATAGCTTCTTCATGCGCTGGGAGAAGCTGAGTTTCGAGGAGGACGAGGACGAGGACGACAAGCTGCGAGAATTTGGCCGGCGCGCGGGGCGGGATTGGATTCTTGATCGGGTGACATTGTTAAGGAGATTGCTGGCATTTGGTTGGGCGTCGGGAAAGTTTGCAGATAGGTGGAACGGGCGGGCATGTGGTGGTTTCGCAAGCTGTAGGAATAGAGGTGGTTTGCTAGCTGTTCGTGGAACGAGGGCTTGGAAGGTTGAGGAAAGGTTAGAGAGTCGTTTCACGCCGCCTTGGAGGATCAGACGGGAGGGTGGTGGCATGGTCCGGCAGGTCGTGGTGGGGATGAACGGGCTTGACTGGGACGAACTTGTATGGAGGACTTGCTGAGAAGGACGTGTTGGGAATATGCGGCAGGGAGGAGTGGGCTTGGGTCTTTAACTTTCCTAGTTAACAACTCCTTTCTAGCAATTTAATGTACTAGCATTGCCTAAACGTCACACCAGGACTCCATAAGCTCTGCTTGCTTACGAGTATAAGGAAGAAGAAGAATAATAACGTTGTTGTGTACACAAAATCATGTAGCTGGTAAAAAATCACTCAGATATCTGAGGAGTTTAGAGTAGCCTGATGAGTGGCTGAGTCTAGTCCTTGTTCAAAGGAGGGTCTCCTGCATAGTCTCCGACTGATACGGGAGAGGATAAAAAGAAACAATATATATGTATATATGTATGTATATATATAAATATCATAGTTTCATCGGCTATGTTAACAAACAATATGTGGTGAATAAAATGAATAGAACCGATAGCTGTTATAATCAAAAAAGCTTGGATTGTTGTATGGCGCCTTTCTATTGTACCATTGAGGATTTTAATATACAGTATTCTCATCACTTTTGATCAAATCGGTCAGTGTCTGTTCAATCTCCCTAGGATCACAGATCGCCCACACTCCTCCTCCTCGAGCGGACGATTTTCCAACTTCCTTTCCTACAAGATTTCTTCCAACTTTGCCAGGTCCAATGCCAATCCACCGTTTCACACCGCGTTCCTGATCCAGATATCGTATGCTATCCCACCACCGCACTGTCTCCACACACTGTCTCGAAAGGAGGTCTTTGAGGTTATCTTTTGACCGGAACGGAACAGCGGATACGTTCGAAATGCAGGGTATCGAATCGGAAAATTGGATTTCCACGTGTTCAAGAGCCTTTCGCATGTAATCCGCGGCTGGCTTCATCACCGGGCTATGAAACGGGCTCTCGCTTCTAAGGCGGACAGCCCTTGGATCATGACCGGAAAACTGACGAAGCTGTATCAACAGGTATTTTATCCGCTCAATGCTACCGCTAAGAACAATTTGATTTTTCGAGTTGATATTTGCAATTGAAACCTGTTGTATTGGTGAGAGCTCGTCGCTGATATCGTCGGTTGACCGCTGCGAACTGTGATCCAAGAATTCCTGGATGGTCGTAATTAAGTCTGCCAAGCGATCGGGCTCACAGACGAGTGCTACCATTCCATAAGTTTCACCGGTCAGTTTTCCTGCATCAGCGGTACATTGAGCCATTATCTCTGCCCTGCGTCGAACCATCTTGAGGGCTGGTCCAAATCCCAAATAGCCCCCAGCTACCAAAGCGGCGTACTCCCCCAGACTATGACCTAATGTAACATCGATCAGCGCTCTGGTATCGAAGCCAAAATGTTCCTGCAGGACACGAAGTATCAATATCGACGTCGCCATGATTGCCGGTTGAGAATTCTCAGTCTTGTTTAGGTTCGAGTTTGGCCCGTGCGAAATAATCGTCGAGAGGCGAACGTTAAGAGTGCTATCCATCTCTTCGAGAAACGGCTTCGCGGTGGAAGGAAAAGCGTCCAGCCACGCGGAGGTCATCCCCACTCGTTGAACGCCATGGCCTACGGAGACTCAGCATTGGTAACAGAGGATGGGCGGAGTGCAAACCAGGAAAAAATAGTGCCGTGTGAAGAGGCGCTGAGAACCCAGCAGGGAATCTAGAAAGCACCACCAGATCGGCCCGTGATATGTGCTGACCAGAAGGCGAAAGAGCATGGCATCTGGGGAGCTTTGTCAGGCTGCGAGTCGCTAGTCGAAATGAGTGAAATAACAGGGACACCATGAATGTTGAGATATGCCATATGGAGGCTCGACCATCTGATTGATTAATGAAGAATATCTGGGGTCACAGGACTTTGCAGAGTAATGTTGCGTAGGATTGTTCTAGCTTGAAGCTTTCCCGCGAAGGAAGTCCTGATAAACCGCTTGAAGCAGGCGTGCGGGGAGATGTGATTTAAATACTGCACGGCCACCATTCTCACACCCCAGCCGTACCGTACCGTACCGCACCGTACCATACCGTATCATATTATACCACCAAGTCCTTCCACACCTGAACGTCTCAACTCCCGTCCGCAACCGGCTGGATAACTTTGCGACAACCCCCTGACTATTGCTTATCTCGTTCGTCAAAGTCGCAGCGATGCAATGAGTGCTGTCGCGCAGCTGCCGTGTCCCTTGGGATAATGGATGAGCGTCAACTCGACGAGACGACGGACGACTCGGTGTCCGTTGGTGATTCCACTCCATCTGGTCCTCCTCAAGATCCTGCTGCGTGTACAGTTGATGCCACGAGTTCCTCCCCTTCGATAGCTAGACATAGCCCTCTCCTTGACCAATGTTTACAATTTCTATCAGCCGCTAACAATGCCACTCTGGCTGCTTTGGGCGGAGTCACCATTGCGATTACGTATTTCGTTCTCGGAAGACTTAGCCTGGTGCTATTTGGGGTAGTCGCTGGTATCGGACTGCATTCATCTTGGGAGGGCTACAAGGAGTATGGAGATGAATCCACGAAACCAGGCCCCTCCATAAGGAGGCGGGAGTTGGGCATCGAAGTGGCAAAGAGACTGCTGAACTGGGAAGAATCGAGGACTACTGATAAACCAAGGTATCAAGCCAGTCCTGAGGATACGTCGATGACCAAGTTGGATTATTCCGATTTCCAGCCCGCAACAGCAGCAGCTTTGAATACACTGACTGATGCTGTCATTCGAGATTACGTCCAGTAAGTGCGTATTTTTCATTCACGACCTTCGCCAACTAACCGACTGCAGATGGTGGTATCAGCCTATCCTATCATCAGAACAGACGTTCCCGCAATCCTGCCGTTCGACCCTCGCCCGTTTTGTTATTTCTATATCCTCTCATCTTTCGCGGAAGAGGCCGGCAGATATTTTTCTTCATTTCGTCACCAATGCATCTTCTATCATCATCGTATTTTTAAACGAACTCTCGTCTGCCTTGCAATCGACTTCCAGCGGGCCGGCCTCTACAGCAGATGCAATTTCGACCTACCTGAATAGGTTCCCTGAAAGTAATTTAGCAAATGTTTTATCAACGACCCAACAACGTGCCAAGCTCAGGCTCGTTGCGTCTGATCTTCTACAAACGTTTCTACAACCCGATTTGTACGATTGTGAACCGGTCCGAGTTTTCCTTTGCGAAATCCTTTCAGGTGTCATCTTAGAAAGCGTAATCGACAATTGTTCAAAGCCAGAATGGATCAATGGGTGGATTGTCCAGCTACTGGAGGAAGGAGAGCCAGAATTGATGAGTGCAATTGACATTGGGGTTGATGGAGCCCGACAGAATCATTTGGAGGAATTCTCCACGCACTCGCTGGCCGCTAATAACAATATGCCTGATTTCGCGGATGATTCGCGAACGAGTCAGCAAAACCAAGGACTTACGAAGGCACAAATTGAGATGGAAGAGGCGGTAAGGGAAGCAAAGCGCCTCAGTGCGATGATTGAATCTGGAAGTACTCGAGGTTACCAGGAACAGCCGTCGACGATTGTAACTGATGGTGACATCGATATCCGCCATGCAAGTTTCTCCTCGAAGATTTCTCACGTAGAAATAACTGCCTCAAGCGATGGAGTTTGGAATGGTAATGTCACCACAAGGCATGGTGATGTGTCGAGAAGTTCTAATGAGCTCGGGGATTCTAGAAACTCAATGGACGAACCGCGTTCCATACAGGAAGGTAGGAAGCAATACATCACTGAGTATTCATGACCTGCAAGTCAGGAAGTTAATTCTGATTTACTAGCTTCGATTCGGATGATCCTTCTGGGTGCGTCTGTGTCGATTTTCGATGACAACTTCTCAAATGACAAAGGGGCAATGCGTGTGAAGCCCACGGATGACTATTTGCTACAAATTGAACCCGCCAGCTCGCGTCATCCGGGCTGGGTAATTACGAGGAAATACGCTGACTTCGAAGTTCTCCATGAAGTTTTACGACGCATTTCGGTTGTTTCAGGGGTATCTGATTTTGTAGAACAACACAGAGAACTGCCAACCTGGAAAGGTCAGTACCAGTCAGACCTACGGCAAAGTCTTGAGCGCTACCTTCAGCATGCCCTACGCTTCGAGCGGCTCGCTGGATGCGAGGCTATGAAAAGGTTTTTAGAAAAAGAGCGAAGTGTTGCGACATCGTCCCCGAATGGGATCGGGAAGAGCGGATTTTCATTTCCGAGCCAGGCGGTGTTTGAAAATATGGGCAAGGGGGTACTGGAAGTCCTAAGCAGTGCTCCTAAAGGGGTAGCAGGGGGTGGTAAGGCTGTCCTTGAAGGTGTCACTGGAGTGTTTGGAGCGGGCAGTAGTGTTAAGAAACGTTCGGTTGACTTTGCCCTCAGGGACAAAGTAGACCCGAAGTTGAGAATGCCCCCTAACGGGTTCTTCAACAATAAAGTTGCAATCAGTCAGAACAGTGGTGGAACGGCAGAGGTGGCTTCCCCCTCGCGTCCAGACACGGAACACTATATTCCTCTTGGCTCTGGCTCGATTGAAAATGCGTTCGAAAAACCTCTAACTTATGTTACACACGAGGATGCGGAGGAAAATGAAGAGGAGCAATCAGTCTTCAAGAGACCAGTCGCCGATCGATTATCTCCTTCTCTTTCTCCTGAACACGCGGGTCAGAACCAAGAGAACGGACCCGTCGCTAGCAAAAACCGCCTGCAAGAAGTCGAGCCCGTATCAACCGGTCTAGCCGGTCAAGTTACAGGCTTTAACGGCAATACGACTGTCCAGCCTGAATCAGACGTCGAATCTTTGAACTCTCACCTTAATCCTTACTCAACCGAAGTGAGGGTTATGCCTCTCTCCGAGGAAGAGACTGGTGTTGCAGTTGAACTACTGTTTGCTGTCATTAACGAACTATATGCCTTGTCCTCCGCCTGGGGAATTAGAAAAAAACTGTTGAATGCGGCGAGATCGTTTTTGCTCCGACCTGGGAATCCAAATATTGAAGGTATTCGTCTCCTGATGCAGCAATCAATTATTGAATCCAATGCCTCTGATGATGCCCTTGCGACGTACATCACTGCCCTACGTCAAAATGCACTGCCAACTGAAGATGAACTCAAATCGATCCCCCCTCCCTTGACTGATGATGAACAAATGGAGCTTCGGATCAAGGCTCGAAAGTTGCTAGTGACAAGAGGCATGCCGCAGGCTCTGACGAGCATCATGGGCAACGCTGCAACTACAGAGGCTCTTGGACATGTTTTTGATTCTCTTCAGGTCAAATCTGTTGCAAGAGGATTTATTTTTGCTTTACTACTTCAGGCATTAAAGGCCATGATTCAATAGATAGATATAGATTAAGATCTTGAATACTGTACTTTGAGTTTTTATTCATGAAAATTCGAAGGTTGGGATTTTAAATTGTTGTATAGTACCCTAATAAATTAAGATAAATTTGGCGAGCTATTGTGCTGCTGCAACGAGTTTCTCTATCTCTTCCGGAATTTTCGGAGCTGCTGTTAGGTTGTCGTGACCGTTTTGTGTGACGACAACATTGTCTTCAATGCGTACGCCACCTACATTCCAGTATCGTTCGAGTACGTTGGTATCTATATACTTTCCCAATTCTGGAGAAGCGAGATAGGGATCGATGATAAAACGGCAAAAGTAGATCTATTGGATATGTATTAGTTTTCATGGAAGAAATTGCGAACGGAACGAAAGAGTGCGTGTGCTCCAATTTGGGGTGATGGATAACTTACACCTGGTTCAACTGTCACAACGGCACCGCATGCTAAAGTGCCCCTCAAGCGCAAATATTTAAACTTTGGGTTTTCATCCTTGTAGTTTGGATTGCCTCCAGTATCGTGGGTGTCCATACCGAGGTAATGTCCTACGCCGTGAGGGAAAAAGGCAACGCTGATCCCTTTGTCAAACAGTTCTTCCTCCGTACCACGCAGAATACCAAGTTTGAGCAGTCCGCGGATGGCGACACGGTGAGAGTTCGAGTGTACATCTTCCCACATTACGCCCGCTCTAATCATTGCCAATGACGTCATCTGCATATCCAGCACAATATCGTATATCTGTCGGGATTCCGCAGAAAACTTTCCCGAGAGCGGGACAACCCTCGTGATATCTGCGCAGTAGGTCCGGTACTCTCCGCCGGCATCAACTAACATGTTCAACCTCTTCTCTCCAGTAGTTTTGTCAACTAAATCTTCGTTGTTATTTTGGTAGTGCAATGTCGCAGCGTTTGTTCCACTAGCAAAGATCGGATGGTATGACTGCTCTCGACAACCATAAGACATGCAAGTCGCGATGAAAATGGCCTCCAATTCTCGCTCGTTCGCGGCAGATCTGGCCGCCTTGATAACCGCTACATGTGCTTTGGTAGATATCTCATTCGCGCGACGGAGAAGAGCAATTTCATAAGTGTCTTTAACAACACGAGACTCCTCAGCAGCTCGTTTCAAAACATCAAAGTCTGTCTCTTGGAACGGCAAAAAAGTTATGTGCGGAGAAACTTGGTCAGCTATTGCGAATACCTTTTTACCCTTCTTCACTGAGCAGAAATGTGCCAAACTAGTATTGACATCGGTGGTCAAAAGGACGGCATCTACATCGTACATCTCCAATGCCTCATCGGGCGAAAGCGGTAGCCCCGACCAGATGACGGAATCTTCGTCAATAGGAGGAATGAAAAGGGTTAGGTGGTCCTCTTCGATGTTATATGTGAGATAAGAATCAGGGAGAGGACATCCTGAGAGGTAGAAGAAGTTGCGTCTCTGGCTGTGGGGAAGAACAATCGATACTTTAGCAAATTATGGAGGATTTAAAATATACACAGGTGTGTTGACTTACCGGAACGGCATTGATCCATCATTGTCCTCTATCATCTGCGTTTTCTGGCCTTCGAGATAAATGACGCCAGATTCCCCATACCCAAGCTCTCGAATGCGGGCGGCCACGCGTTTTGCATGGGCCTTGGCAGGGTATTTTCCTGCAAGGACCCTATCAACAGATTCATCCATTTTGCAGCTTTTTAGGGGTGGCTCGCAAGACCAATTGAAGCGCCAGACACTGAGCTGTTCTTCCAGAGAGCAGCAGTAACGATGTATTTATAAGTGGATAATATTTATTCAAAGGCTTTGGAGCGGGGTGTTGCACCGACAGGGGCAAGCCTGCTGAGTAAGCAAATTACCGCCCATGGATAGCCGTTCCGTTCCGGGTTACAGTTGAACGCAGGTTACACGTCGGCTGACCCCTCGGGTGAAGTCTCCAGTTGAGTTGAACGTGGTTTATTAAAAGTTGGATGTGGTTTTAAAAAAGGGGTCTGAAAAATAAACCATGCTCAGTCCTCACTCCCTCACTAAAATGTACACACACTAAGCATCTTTTACACACCCTCTCTGTATATTACTAATCAGCTCTTATTTAGTCCTACTTCAAAATCTGAGACTCTTCAACATCTGAAAAGCAGATATGAGTTAGAATTCAGGTTAGCTGAGAAATAGAGCTCTGAGAAATATGATAAAATCGCTGTGTCTGATGCGTGGGAGATATGTGGGAGATATGGCGTAGTTTTAGTGGGGGGGTTGACATGGTTTATAGTCAAAACCATGCCGAAGGTTATTCCGGCCTGAAAAATTAACCATGTTCAACTTTTTATTAACCACGTTCAACTGTATGCCCGTTCCGTTCTGTCAAAAAGCCTGTTGCAAACTCGCTGAATTCACCGTCTCTGTTTGCAAGATATGTTTTTGTTTTTAAGTGAAATAGAGTATAACAGCCGCGCGAGTTGAATATATTTTTTTCTCTCACTATATACACGGGTAGACTGCTATAGATAAATATTTACTGGAATGGGCTGCTCTGACCTGATACCACTGTCGCATCCTCAAAGTCTAGGGGCCACAGGCTAATTTCAGCGAACTTTCGTGCTTGTTGCATGAGTTCTTCACTTAAAAAGACGCGTTCTGATGCTGGCGGCGAAATATCAGTAGCGGAAAGCCGCTCCTCGGAGTCCAGTGGTGGAGAGGATACCGTGTGGCTCGATTGGTTCTCCTTATCCGCAAGTGCTTCACGGCTGCCGAGCGAGAAACAAGTGATCTCGTCGCCCTTTTTGGAGTGGGCTAAATGTGTATTCTTGGAAGGTCGAATATTAGCTGATTTTATCGCTGGTGTCTGTCGTCGGCCCTGGATACTCCTGTCTGTGCTGGCTTGTTTCTTGTTTCCTGTACCTTTCCTAGCTTCTGGCATTCCTGTTTTATCCTTTCGCCTTTTAACCCTTGACACCGGGTAGCTCAGTTCATCCCGATCCGCCTCAAATGCGCCGGAATAGTCATCGAAACAGTTTTCATTTTCGATGTCATCTGAGGTGAGTGTGCGGTTTGATGCACGCTGTTTTTGCAGAAATCGCCGTTGAGGCAGCAAATTTTCTCTCAGAGTGGCAGTAGAAATCCGGGGTTTGCAAATCATGGGAAGTTGCTTTTCTGTCGCTTTTTGGGTGCCAGGGGAGGAGTTTCCATTTGCTGGGTGTTCAGAATATGCAGTATCAGATCGATTTTTCTCGACACGAGAGACCGGACTGCTCTCCGGTGGCATCATTGTCTGACTTAAAAGTTTGGGAAGCTCTGGCGACTGCGCCCTTCTTGGGGTAGGCAGTAGGTCATCTTCAGACGCACTGTTGTCGGTATTTTCATCGGGAGCAATTGCACGCTCGGATGGATCGGGAGATCGAGAAACCTGCACCTGGACCTTGGGGTGTAACTTTATGTTTCTTAAGCTCGTAGAAGATAAATTCCGCGGTGTAGAAGGCGATGAAGATACAGAGTCCTGGGGTATACTTTTGCGGTTGGGAAATTTTAGCGGAGTTGATTCATCATCAGGGTTGAAACTGGCAAGCAAATCATCATCATCATCATCATCATCATCATCATCATCATCAAGCTCGGACGACTGATCAGTGTGCATCATTTGAAGGATGCTGGGCTGCCTGGGCCGTCGTCTAAAATTGCTAAGCATCGAGCTTTCAAAAGCCGGAGTTCCGAATTTTTGTACTCTAGAACTTGTGTCCCCTCTACCGGGAAGGAACGGTTTTCCTGCAGCGGAAGAGATACCGTCAAACAGAGGCGGCAAGTCGGTGGTGCCATTTTGATGTTTAGAGACGGGCGTTTGCACTTGGTAGCTTGCTGCTCCCAGATCACCTTCTTCATCGACCACCGGTTCAGCTCTCTGGATGTAAGCTGTTCCATGTGAATTCTCCCTAGAGCCTTCCCGAGATATCTTCTCAGGATTACCGTCTTGTCCCTTAGGAGCTTGTGTGTGATTCAACTTTGGTATAACTACCGCAAAATTACCCTCTTCGGATTGTTTGAAGTCGCGTGCCGCAACGGCTTCTGGAGGGTTAGTACCGTTTCGACGACGACCCCGTCTAGCAGGCGGTCGAGGCATGTTATTCTGTGTTTGTTTCAAGGACCGACGCGTAAATGGATTCAAGTGTCTGATCAAGTTCAGGATCCGGCTTTCCTGAGCGTCTCAAGCGGCAGCAATGGCGTGAATATTATCGAGAATAAACCGAAGTTGCGGGGAGCAACAATCGTGGGCCGCGAACCGGTTTGTTTGTTGTGGTTTGTTTACCCAGAAAGAAAATAATGAAGCGCCTTGGAAAAGTGACACGTGACGTCAGTCAAACCTAAAGTTCCACCACCAGTTCCGATGATGTCAGCGCCTTGCCAAACAACAAGCTGCGCTTGTGCGCACACTACATCCATGGATCTCTAAATGGAAAAGAAATATCGATGTTGAACCTCAAATGACTCCGAACTGGATTCCAGTGGTCTCACTTATGGGTTGACGCCGAGCGTGGGGCCACCTCCGTCGTCTAACCTTTAGATGGTTATTTTGGGGGATAACAGATTTACCTGTGTACTGTGTATCCTCCACACCTCGGACTGTACATGTGCTGTGTATAAGTGTTACACACAGATCCCGAAGGAGAAATCAAGGATTACCAAATGCTTCTGCCTATACAGTGGGGGCTAGGATATTCGATAATTAATGAATAACGACCCATTTGTTACAAATAGTGCTTTTTTGGAGCTTCCAAAACCTCATTCAGCCTCTGATATCAAACCCCGTCCCCACTCTGGTCTCGCTGGTCCGGGCATGTGCTTTCGGCAATATAAAGAATCAGCGCGGCATATAAGGATATTTAAATATTCAACCATTTTCCAGCTGCCGTGTTTTTAATATAAAATACCGCCCTCGCTTTCTGCATCCAAGCAAAAATAGGCAAAAATAATACTTGCAATGGATGCTCCCGTACAGCGGCGCGGCATCCGAATCTCCATTGACGTATGTATGCTGTTCCTTCGTCATTAGGCCGACAGTTAGCTAACTCTTCTAATTGGGCGCGGTGGCACCTTCACTGATTGCGTCGGCAATCCCGGTTCCGGGAAGCTGGAGGATGGCATTGTTATCAAACTCCTGTCTGAGGACCCAAACAATTACAGCGATGCACCTTTGGTTGGCATACCTCGTCTACTCTCCAAACTCGAAGGTCGCAAAATCCCAAGGGGGGCAAGACGTTGGATACTTCTAATATAGATAGCATTCGTATGGGAACTACAGTGGCCACGAATGCTTTACTGGAAAGGAAAGGAGGGCGAATGGCCCTACTAGTGACCAAGGGATTTAAAGATTGCCTAGAAATTGGAAATCAATCGCGCCCTAAAATCTTCGATCTCGCCATTCGCAAACCATATGTCCTATACGAAAAAGTTATCGAGGTGGACGAGCGAGTTACGCTGGAGGACTATACACAAGATCCGATACGGCATATCACAGCAACACTCTCACGAGACTAGTCGCCCCCAGATGTAGAAATTGTACGTGGTCTGTCCTCGGAGGCGATCCGGATATTACGGTGACCATCCGAAGGCGCCATAAAAACACAGCTCCAAACCCTCTACGATGAGGGATTCCGAAGCATTGATGATTGCCTCATGCATGGATATACTTTTCCGGACCATGAAACACTGATTGGGAGGCTTGCAAGACAAACCGGCTTCGATCATATTAGCCTTAGCCATGAACTCTTTCCTGTGATCAAGTTGGTACCAAGGGCGACTTCAGATTGTGCTGACGCTTACCTGACACCTGCGATTCGCAAATACATCCCAGGATTTCAGGCTGGGTTCGAAGGTAGACTTGGCGCGAGCAGCCTCAAAGAGGAACATGGATCAAAACGGATGCGGTGTGAATTTATGCAATTAGATGGCGATCTAGTCGATATCGACAGCTTTTCTGGGTTGCGCGCGATTCTGTTAGGGCTAGCTGGTGGAGTTGTTGGTTATGGTCTTCCGTCGTATGTTCCACTGACAGACATACCCGTTATTGGTTTTGGTATGGGGGTTACCAGCACTGATGTTAGCCGGTACGGTTCTGTTATGAACATGTTTTTCAAACTACAACAGATGGCGTCACGATACAAAACCCGTAGCTCGATATTAATACTGTGGCTGCTGGTGGAGGCTCACGCCTGTTTTACCGAAATGGTTTGTTCGCGGTGGGCCCTGAGTCCGCTGGCGCACAACCTGGTCCTGCCTGTTATCGTAAAATGGTTCGCTAACTGTCACGGACGCGAATCTGTTTCACGGGCGATTGTTACCTGCTTTCTTTCCTAAAATATTCGGACCCAAAGAAAGCGAAGGCTTGGATGAACCTGCAAGTGCACGACTTTTCAAAGAATTGACAGAAGCGGTCAATACAGGATTGCCTGATGACCAGTGAATGACTCCAAGACGAAGTCGCCTACGGGTTTATCCGAATTGCGAATGAATCAATGACAAGACCTATTCGCTCGTTAACTGAAGCCAAGGGCCATGATACTTCGAAACATAGATTGGCAACTTTTGGTGGCGCATGAGGTGGCAATGGCAGAGAACCTTGGAATTAAGCAGATTTCTGTCCATCGCTATTCCTCAGTTCTACCCGCGTATTGGATGGCCCTTGAGGACGTAGTGGACGAGAGTCAGGTTCCAGAATCCAAGATATGGTTTAAAAATGGAGGTATCCTAACAAACCTGAAACCAAAAATGGTTACCTTGAAAGAAGCAGCTCGAGGAAGGTTGCACGACCAGGGATTTAATGACGAGTCTATTGTGTTTGAGGAATATCTCAACATGAGATATCGAGGAACCAAGTTTTCGCTGATGATAGTTAATCCCAAATCACAGATAACAGCCGAGCTGCCTGAAAATGGCGGCAATTGGGGCTTTGGGAAAGCTCTCGTCCGGCAACACGAACAGGAATTTTGATTCATATTGTCTGACCGCGATATCATTGTCGATGATGTTCGGGTGCGGGCGATCAGCAAGAGTTTTCAATTAGAAGAAGCACAACCTCAGAATGTAGGAGATGAAAAGAAATTCTGTGTTTCTCAGGTATATTTCGAGGGCGGGCGCCGCAGAACGCCGGTCTATAAAATTGAAGATTTGAACGTCAATAACCGCATACATGGTCCGGCAATTCTTGCTGATGGGGCACAAACCCTGGCGATCACCCCAGGCGCAACGGCCCTGATCATTTAGAGCTGTTATCAATATCGGTGCTTCCCAATTCCTAGATACCAAAGTTAGCCTCGACACAGTTGATCCTGTCATGTTCAGTATATTTGGCCACCGTTTCATGACTATTGCGGAACAAATGGGACGCGCACTACAGAAAACGAGTGTTAGCACAAATGTCAAGGAAAGATTTCATTACTCGTGTGCTTTATTTGACTCCGACGGCGGGCTTGTGGCAAATGCGCTACATCTACAGGTTCATCTCGGCAGTATGTCCACCTGCGCAGTCGAAAATATGGGCTGGAAAACTCAAGCAGGGTGATGTTATATTCAGCAACCATCCTGAATTTGGCGGAACTCATCTGCCAGACATTAATGTCATTACACCAGCTTTCAATGGCAATAACATAATATTTTACGTTGCATCCAGGGCGCATCATGGTTTGTCAAACCCCATTTATCTTCAAGTACCTGAATTAACGTTCTTTGTGAAAGCTAATTATTAAAATAAAAAATAGCACTCCCGGGTTCCATGCCCCCTCATTCGAAAGAGCTATTCCAAGAAGGTGCGGCGATCAAGTCAGAAAAGCTGGTTTCTGGAGGTATATTCAACGAAGAACTCGTTACCCACCTCTTATATCACCAACCTGCACAATATCCTGGATGCAGCTGCACAAAATGTCTTGCAAATAATATAAACGACTTAAAAGCTCAAATTGCCGCAAATCAGAAAAGAATCAACCATATATCGATGTTGATCAAAGAATATGGGAAAGGTACTGCTCAATTCTACATGAATAACATCCAAGACAACGCGGAACTTAGCGTAAGGCGTCTCTTGAAGTCCGTTAGTAAAAAACTCGTAGGGCAGATCTTGTGGCTGTCGACTACAGGGATGATGGAAGCCCAGTTCGTCTGAAGATATCCATCGATGCAGAGAAGGGTGAAGCAATTTTCGATTTTGAAGGCACCAGCTCTGAAGTCTATGGTCATTTCCAATTTCCAAGTTAATTTCTGTTATGGAGTAAGATATTTATTTGAATTACAGGGAATATCAATGCACCGGAAGCTATTACTTACTCTGCCATTATTTGCTGCTTACGGTGTCTAATATCTGAAGATATTCCATTAAACCAAGGGTGTCTCAAGCCCATCAATGTGCGAATCCCAAAAAATAGTTTTCTTTCCCCATCTGATAAAGCAGCAGTTGTTGGTGGTAACGTTTTAACAGTAGGTCAAGCAATTTCATTGCCTCCTTAAGAGTCCCCTAATGGTTGAGCTTCCTTTTATTCTTCTCCTTTCCTGACATGCAACACAGAGTCAGAGAGTGACCGACGTGATTTTAAAATGCTTCCAAACTTGCGCTGCTTCCCAGGGGGTACAAACAATTTAGTGATTGTATATAGCGGGAATGTTTCAGGAGAAAAGAAACCAAAGGATTTGGGTATTATGAAACAATCGCTGGTGGGAGTAGTGCTGGCCCAGACTGGGAAGGGACCTCAGGAGTCCACACCCATATGACTAACACTCAAATTACGGATTCTGAAGTGTTTGAACGAAGGCATCCCGTATTAATAAGAGAGTTCTGTTTGAGACCGGGGTCTGGTGGGAACGGTCAGCACCGGGGTGGAGATGGCGTGATCCGGGACATCGACTTTCGAATTCCAGTACAAGTATCCATTCTCTCAGAGCGCAGGGTGTACCACCCACATGGTTTAAATGGAGGCGGGGATGGCCAATGTGTACTGAACATTTGGATGAGGAGGACACCAATACGAGGGCAGCCAGGCAAATGGAACGTCAAGGAAATAAACCCGGGAGCGAAGAATACTGCGAAGATATATCCTGGAGACCGCATAGTTGTAAAAACCCTTGGGAGAGGTGAGTAGGGTAAGGTTGGGGACGAGAACAGAACCCAAAAAAGGAGGGTATGTAGCCAGCCGCATAGAGACACAGGAGACGAGCGCATGATCTTAAAATGGTTACTTGCAAAGCGGCACTCGGGTGATGATCACCTTGAACCCAATCAGTTGGTTGATACTGTATCAGTTGGAAAAACAGAGCATAGTTAGACTTCAGAAAAATTAAATGAAGTAAAATCTTTCCTTTTTGATATGTCATAAAAACACCAAGTGCAACAACCGAGCCTAAGAAAAAAGGGGGAACCTGCCGTACGTTGTATACAGATTAGATTACAATGAAATAGAACACACCAAAGAATAAATCAAAACATGCAAGAAGAAGTCCAAGCTAATTATCTTCAGATTTGTCAGACTCCGAGCCCGAACTTTCTTGCGCTGGGTTACTCCCGGAGGACTCCTTGCTTTCACCGTCAACATAATTCGGTCTATCCAGAGATCCGCCTTTCTCTTTAATAGCCGTTTCAACATTGGGTATTAATTGGATCAGGGTATTAAACTGATCCAAAGGCATTGATATCCCCTGAAGACCAGTGTTAGCAGACGCGAAACTAGGTCTCCCATGGCTGCAAGTCTGGGGATAAATAGGATGTAAAGTGTAGTACAAATCTAACCTTTTTACCCGGGAGTTCTTGTCCATCCTTTTCATAGTACTCTCTCACGCTGACCAGGATACGGCCTTTGAAGGAGGAAACCGTCAGCCGACGGAGACGCGAGATGTTCCAGTAGAAATCGCCGTTGGAATCGATTTTCTTCTCAGAGGCAGGAAAAGAGGTCCCTATTATAGTGCTGGTCTCAGGTGACGTGACCGAACTGTTGTCCGTTCTGGTCTTTTTATGTCGCGGAGCATCTCCTTCCGTGTTCTGCCGATGTCTTTTCACAGTTGAGGCCATGGAGGGATGTCGAGGAGCTAAAAGGGAAAGAATTTTTGGAAAGTAAAAACGGGACTGATGAAAGATTTCTCAAAAAAAAGAAAAGAAAAGGAAAGGCTGAGCAATATCAGAAGAAACTGAACTGGTAAAACCAGAGTTTTTGAGGTTACCGCGTTGTTGACCGCGTCAAAAACATGAAGAAGCGCCAGCTGTGCATAGCGCCACAAGGAACCAACCATTCAATTAATCTCATCGCCAACTAAAAATGTTAACTACCCTCTTCGAAGAGATTCTGAGGTTTGTTGCCCCTCTCTTGACATGCAAAAGCGTTCGTTACAGCAATGGAGCGCTCAATTTTGTACCTTGCGATGACCTCAACTTCGATACATTGATGCTATCTAGTATCAGTTTTGTTTTTCCTGATATTTATTTATCCTTTTACCGACAACACTATGAATGCCACTTCAGTTTTGCGCTATACGCTGGGACTGTAAGCTATGACCGCAATTTAAGTTGAAATATAACTCCCAAACTATCTGCAAGGAAGCATCTAGCCTCCAACTCCTCGACAAATTCCCAAGTATTACTCTGCTTTGCTGTTGTCCGATTATATGTCATTGGCCCTACTCACCTTTACCATGGGTGAAATCGACCTTCCTACCGAATCGGCGGAGCAAGTCTTTCCACTTGCTATTAGTGAGTCCCTAGTCCCAGTCCGTGAAAGCAAAACGGCGGGAACAGTGCTTCTCTCTCTAGATGGACTCCTAGAGCCCCCTCTACAAATCAACGAAGATCTGAAGGATGGGTGTGGTGGGCAACCATGGCCAGCCGGGATTGTGCTCGCGAAATATATGCTTCGCAAACACAAGTTTGACCTTTGTGGGAAAATCATGTCTGTATTATCGTTCATACCATCCCACTTCCACTTTAAAAAAGATATTTTATTTTGATAATAGCTTTACCTTATTTCCATTTATTTATTTATTTTTTTGTGAACTTTGACTTATGTGATATTTGTTACTCTAGTGTCGAGCTTGGTGCTGGAAGTGGCCTCGTCGGACTTGCAATAGCACGAGGATGCACAGTTGACTCGCCAATATACATCACCGACCAAACCCCGATGTTGTCACTAATGCAAAGTAATGTCCAGTTGAACGGTCTGTCCAACATCGTCTACCCGACCGTACTCGAATGGGGCAGGCCGCTCCCAGAGACTGTCCCATCAACCACTGCCATCATTCTTGCGGCGGATTGCGTCTACTTCGAACCTGCATTTCCACTATTACTATCAACACTTCAAAGTCTCCTTACAAGTTCGCATTCGTTGTGCTACTTTTGTTTCAAAAAGCGGCGCCGTGCGGATCTTAGATTCATGAAACAAGCAAAGAAACTGTTTAATCTGGTCGAAGTGAAGGATGACCCCGATCGCGAGTGCTATTCAAAAGAAAACATATTTATGTACGTCATCACGAAGGGGGATGTGAAAGCTGAAGAGCCAGGGGAGCGGAAGTAAGAGATAACACGACATATAAAATGATGGAGGAAGTAAAACGTTATGATAGCTAGAGGTATGGTCATGGCCATATTATAATTTTTTTGCAACATCTCAAGTTGTCATGTAAATATTATAGCTTTAAAATAACTGGCGCTTTATATTCGTTAGAAGACACCTTATTGCCGTATACATCCTTAAGATCACCCTTGTTTCCAATGACCTTAACACCACCTTTGTTCAAGTCAGAAACTATCTTCTGTTTCTCAGCTTGTTTTCCAGTACGTACGGGCTGAGAAGAATTCTTCTTCAGTTTTTGCTTCTCGCGTCTCCGTCGTCGCAGCTTGCCTTCCCGCGACATCTCTTCAATAGACACTGCCATCCCGTTCTTAAGGGCAATTTCCCCCCATATCTTGCCCTCATCGCCAGGGGCATACATTTCCTGCGGTGCAAGCATGCCGGAGGTATCTATTCCTGCTCCACCCGTTGGCCTTGCATCCTCCATCGCAATGGTGGCGACATCAGTGACGACATCAATGTTTGCTTGCGGTGGTTTTGGCTTGTGGTGCCAGCTTGCAAGTGTATCTAATTGAGAGCTGATGCCACTCCAGAGTCGCGTAATCTCTTCGTAGTCACCCTTCAACTTTTCGCTCTTCCGGTCCACAAAGGCAGAATCCGCTTTTCGGAGGTGATCTTCCTCGTATAGTTCCGCTAAACTTTGCTGTGGTTTTGTCTCATCAAGCGTAAATTGTTCACGCTTATGATGGACTTCACTACCTAGAATATATGGTTGGCGACGCGGGACTTCATCAAACTCCTTAGATAATATACGTCGCTTGATAAGCGTTTCAATATCATTGGATACTTGACTTGAGATAACAGGTACAGGTTTTCCAACACGTTCAAACTCGATATCCTCTTCGATCAGCGAGTTTATTGGCCGATCCGGTGCCTTTGCTTCCCCTGACAACATCCATTCTCTTTTGGAGACATTCGCCGCTTCCAGTCGTCGTATTTCGTCTGTGATACTGGCTTGCCGTTTCTCATGGGACGACTGAGGTGCTCTATTTGGCTGCGAGAGGGCACCCATTTCCTCGTCGTTGTCGGGCGGATCATCATCGAGAAGATCACGCTGTACATCGTAAATAGCACGACGAATACTAGCTTCGATATCTTCATCGGGAGTGGGTGATTTTGATTTTGACACGGCGCAGGCTTGTCGTCCTTTTCGAGCATGGGAATGAGGGGGATCAAAAAAATCGGCGTATTTTATGTCATTCGCATTACCACCCACCAAACTCATCTCGTCCCCGTCCGCATCGCCATTCTCATCCATAACCGCGGAATCTGAAATGTCGTCTTCTTTAGCACTGTTCTGGTCTGCATCATCTTCTTCACCATCCCCACTAATCACACCAAGAATAAGCGGATCAGCTCCCCAATCAATGGCTTCTTCGTCATTGTCATCGTCGCTGCGCATCCCCTTTGCGTCCCTCCGTTCAAATACAGTTGTATCAGCATTGAATTTGTCGATCGAAAAGAATCCGTCATTGAGCTTGTGAGGGTCAGGAACAAATTGGATATTGCTCGTGCCGATGGATTTTTTGCATTTCTCTCGTCCTGGACCCCGTTTGTCGTCATCAATTGACATAGAATGATGACTATCATCCTCATCATCCTCAGTATCCTCCGTTATTGGCCTATCTTCCTTTCCACTACGATCCTCATCCGTAATTTCACCGTTCAGGATATTACCTAGATCGCTACTAACGGAGCCGTTGGAGAGTTCATCCGCTTCGGATGTAAACCCGAGATCATGGTCCCCATTTTGGGTCTCATGGGCCTTTTTATGGGAGTTGGATTTGGAACGGAGGATGTTGGCCTCTGATTTTTTTAGTAAATCAAGCTCGTGAGCGGTCTCTTGCGCAGAGACATTAAGCACTCTGTTTGCCTGTTCCCAGATCTGGCGCACTGTAAAACCATTGGCATGAATTTCCTGCAGGTGTAGTGTTTGGGAACGAAAAGGGTGAGGTCTGTCAACACCTTTTCGGGTATGCGTGTGCTGAAGGCGTCTTTTCTGAGCTTCAGTGATGTCTGATGCAAGCGGGTCGAGATAGCGCTTTGCCACTTCTATCCATTCTGTATGTAAGAAAGTCGTTGGTTTTAAGAAAACCTCTGGGGCCGAGGAGAGTAACTGGAAAATATCAGTCGTGGTGCAAGGCATCGCTATGACAGCACCGAAGCTGATATTCCTCCCACTGTTGTGTTGGCTTTCGAACAAGTGGTTGTTTTCCAAGAAATTCTAGAGAATCATCATCTTGAAGCACTAATAGTGTCCTCCTCGCAAATGGATAGCTTGCTCCTTTGAAAGTCAGTAGAGAGTGGTAAAAATAATGCTTCTAATTTTCACTTTTTTTTTTTTTTTGGAAATATCACTTCCGGAAGAAATGATTGTCCGATCTGGGTCGGCAAGTCCCGGTTGACTAACCCGACCAATGTGATGGAATAGCTAACTAGTTACGTTAAAGATTTTTAAAATATTGGCAGAATTTTGTTCTCTGCAAGCGACTCGTCCTACCCACGAAAGGAAACGGGATTGCTGTCATGATAAAATACGATCCTTAGGGACAGAACCTCACACTATCAACGAGAAATCCATTTTACCAGCCCTTTGTCATTACATTTCGGCGTATTGGCGACGATTTGCTCCACTCTTTGTTTTCGTGTTGCCTAGGTTGTTCTTGCTCAGATCTCTAGATATGAAAGTTTTCGCTTCAACGTGCACATTCGATTACTCATGGGAGGAGGTCTCTACTGCCAACTGGCGAAAGTACTGTCCGTGGAATGACAAGTCGACCCATGTTGTGGCTGTTGATATTCTCTCCAGGACACTGCACCCTGATACCGGCATTGTGAGTTTCCTGTCCTCCATCCCGAAAGGATTTTCGGAGTCATTCTCGTAGTTCTTTTTGACTGACGGTTACATCTACGGATAGCTACGAACGGAACGTCTTATAACCTGTAATCAAACTGCTCCTCAATGGCTGCTCACACTTTTCGGTGGCAATGCTACCTCTCACGTCTACGAAGTGTCATATGTCGATCCTTCTTCTAAGAGAGTGACGATGTGCTCAACGAACCTTACATGGTCGAATGTTCTGAAAGTCCGAGAAACCGTGACCTACCAGCCGTCGCGAAATGCTCCAAGGACGAAGACAGATTTCAAGCAAGATGCCCAGATAACAGCCGTTTGCAGCGGGTGGCAGAAAGTAAAAAACAAAGTTGAAGAAGCAAGCGTTGAACGATTTAGCCAGAACGCTAAGAAGGGTCGTGAGGGCTTCGAGGCTGTGCTGGAGATGAGTCGGAGGGTGTTTGGGGAGCAACGTGAATCTGAGGCAAGGAAGCAGACCCAATAACACCCGCTCCTCGTCCTTGAGCTTTTCCTTTGGCGACTTCTCGTGGCTCTTCGCCCTTCCGTCTCTCTTCCTCGAACTGCGGCTCTATGTTTTTAATCCTTTACGCCTTACTTTTTTAGCGTTTATTTCCCCCGCGCCTCGTCCACTGTTTTGTTGTTTCAGACACGTGATTCCAAATCCGGAGCGATTGCATTTATATATACACGACTTCTGCAGAAAAGCATGCTACCCACAACGAAGAGAAACTGACACTCTAATTCTTATACTTTCATCTCTATGTTATTTCCTTGATTTGTTCTCACCTATTTTCGTGGTATGTTGGGAGGTAATAGGCTCAAAAAACGCGATTGATGATTTACATTGGCCCAAAAGAAAAGGAGGAGTTTGTTTATTTTTTATGGTGTACAGTTATTTTTGATTTTCCTTTTTTCCTCTTTTCCTTTTTTTGCCATCTTTCTCCTTTCATGTATTCGAACTAGACTTCTGCCATTAGCGTTATTTATTTCCTGTCTACACGCATGTATACATAGGCAGTTACACATACAATGTTGTTTTGTCGATGAACAATACTTCAAGAGATTTTGGCATTTTCGTCGGGGCTTAGGCAAGCCGCTTGAAATCTTCTATGCCCCCACATGCGCTGCTACTACTACATACTAGTTGGATGTCATTTTGCGGCAGCTTATGGTTGACTGGGGTTTCCACGCTGCCCACTCGCTACTCAACAAAATCCACACAAAAAAATGAACATTTATGTATGTTCTTTTATTATTATAAAAGTAATTTTTACAATATATGTTTAAGATATATGTTCGCTACATAACTGCATGGCCTCTGATTAAAATGAATACGCGCCCGCCCCTTCTCAGCCCTTCCCATCCTTTCACACACTGCCAGGGGAAATAGAACAGTCTCATGATGCACTGCAGCAGGAGAGAAGTGCACAATTTCCAGAACCCTAAAAGTCTATGTAAATGAATACGCATGATGAACTTAGTCCAATAGCCCCCCAAGAAGTACTTTGTTCACTCCAGCAATCTCTGATTTGACATTACTCCGACTGGCATCCTCAAACTCCTTTACCACACCTGCAAAAATAACTTTGCGCAACCTCGAATCAGTCTTATTGAACATCTCGGCAATGACTGCGGAGCAGACAGCAGGCCCAGACACGAGTGCCATAAGTCGTGAATAACAATCAATCAAGACATCGCATAACGATGAAAAGGTTTCGAAAAAGTCAGGGTCGAAGGGCAAGGTTGGCGTGAGCAGATACGTGTATTCTTCACCAGGTAGAAGCTCCGTAGAGTCTGTGCTGGGATATGATGTGGCAGCGGAGGAATTTGATGAAGTCGCAATATTCCCTGTGATGGTTTTGACGTCTGATGCGTCGCTTGTCTGCATGGGAAGGCCGATTTCTGTTGCTGAACTCGTCCGCCGACCTTTAGCGCCTGAGTGAACAGAACGTTTGAACATATGGGGTATTCTTGCGCGCGCGAGTGAAGATGAGGCATTTCCGTCGGCCGGGTGGACCTGTTGGAACGTTTCGAATTCAATGAGGAGTGCATTTAGGGCACGGAGGTATTCGAAAGGGGTTGAGCTGACATCGAGAAGGGGGGGAATAGATAGACCAAGAAGGAGGTAGTTGATTGCTCGGCGGGAGAGTTTCCGGTGCTCGAAATAGGACATGCGGGAGAGGTCCGATTTTGAGAAGTGCACTGTATTAAACCAATAGACGCGACCTTCGTGTCTGTATTATTTCACCAAAAAGAGTTAGAGAGAATTATAGATCAGTAAAGATTTATATGAAGGAACATGGAGTGTAACCACGGGAGCTTACGCCTTGCGTATATAATCCAGTGTCGCTATCCGCTTTGATGACGTTTGATGGATGTTTATGTATATCGAACTAGCACTTTGCGGGCCGAGAGCACCCCCTCCCGACGTTGGAGGCGGTGCGCCGGGTAGGCCACCGTAGATCTGGAAATCCATGTTTGAGCCTAGCGTTGGGGTTCTCACCCAGTTTATTCCCGGTATGTCCAAAGGTTCGGCGGAAACGATTGGAAATCACCTGGTGAGGCGGCGTGATTCGAATTTGAGGAAAAGTTTGGTATTATCAACTGCGATATGCCTGTGCCTTTAGTACCGGTCGTGTCAGGCACCTTGCGCTTTGTGAGAGGATCTTTGGGAGGCGGCCGTTCTGGAGCATTAAAGGAGGAGGAACGTATGAGAGCGGGACTCCTAGCATGCGTTGCGGATTTAATCGCAGAGATGGAAGTTGAACAAAGGACGAGAGGGGTGGGAGGGGCAACCCGCTTTGCCGTTTGCTGTTAGTCCAGGGATCTAGACACAATAGTAATGAACCACTTCTGGAGAAGAATTCCGGACGGCTGAGGGTCTCGACGCGAGTCGATAGGGTCTCTGAGTCGTTGAATGTCTGGAGACAGAGATGCTCCCAATGGCACCCGGAGATGTATGTTGGAGGTGCAGGCTTACTTGCCGGTCGGTAAGATTAACGGCAGACTAATATAGAAGAGCACTGTATTTGCTATTTACATCTAAGATATAAAAATATATTATACAACATTTAAAAGAAATGAGCAATCTAGGTAACTATCTTATACAAAGATTTCAAAATAAGGTGGATCAATTTCTCAATATATTATTAGACGGGGCGAAGCGAAGTCTCAATTTGTCAAAGAATCGTATGAAGCTCGGGAGGTGGACAAAAGTTGCTTCATTTTGTGGCCGAAATGATTGGGCATCAATGTTATGCAAAAGTGTGACTTGAATCTCAATGATTTTATTGGTGTAGAGGAGATATTTGCATCTCTGATTGGTTTAAATGCCGGATAATTTAACTTCACTGTTGGGACACAATTGGCTTACGGCGTAGATACCCTCTATTCTTCTCTGAATTATCTGCCAGCCTACCTACCGACCTGCGCGATATCCAATCAATCTCTATGAGAATAAACATCACCATCCCGCTTGAATTATATCTTCCATGATATCTGCAATGATATATATCGGTGATATATACCGATGATATATACCGACGATATCTATTGACGATATCTAGCGATGCTCCGTTTTACAAATGCAATTTCACATTGCAGTAATCTTATTCGGGGGTTTCAGGGGGTTTTCCCCTTGAATATATATATTCTTTAAATATCATCATCAAATTCAACTATTGTAGATGCAAATTCAATCTGTTTTACAATATACTTAGAAAATCCAAGGTGCATTGCTTCCTAGTATATCTAAAACCAGGCCTTTGCTGAGCTTATTGCTCCGTCTGGCACTCAGCTACATGTTTCATGGAGATCCCGATATACATATCTAGTGACTATTTAACAATGTGTTTGCTCCTAATATATTTTTCGGTTTAAATAAAGCAGATGATGGAGGTGGAAGGTTGGTTTATTGTAACTATCTAGCGGGCGCAGCACTACTTAAATAGGTGTGGTCATGTGGCACTCTAGTGATGGGAATGTGCTGAAGGGATTGGGTGATAAAGTATTGTATAATATTTTAAACGGAATAGTAATGAAAATAATAAACATTGAATATATAAATTTCAGATAATAAGATATTTCCATTGTATTTGAATTTAGATAGTTGATAAATAGTGACTGTAATTAGTTTAATTAGTTTAATAGCATACATTGATATTGTTGATAGAATAGTATATTATGACTCATAGTATCACAGTAGTAGTTATATTGATGATAACATTCATCAATTATATAATTACCGAGCAGTGCTCTGATGATGTTAAGAAGTCCTGTGCTGTTTCAACATTATCTTGATGTTTAATTTTCAGTGGATTCACAGCGGAATCGCTGGAAATTAACCCTACAAAAAAAAAAAAAAACTTCGCCGCCTATGACGTCCACCAGAGCGATCATAGCCAGCCATTCCGCGACATGACCAGCCCTCTTACTCCTCCCCACCCCAACGACCATCATTTTCCCCCTCTTCTACTAGCACTCAACCCTCTCTATTGTTTCAAGATACTCAATATTTGCTTGTTTGACGTATGCCACGATCGCCGAAGGAGAAAATACAAAACCACAACCCGGCCTACTCCTTTTTCTTCAAACATCAACGGGCATTGCTGATCACCCTCAATACCCGTCTACTCCAAACCCACAATCCCAGAAGCTCTACACCCTGGCTTTCGCATCTATGTCTGCACAACCTGTGCCTTCGCCTGGCCAATGGCCAGTAGATCCTCAAGAAGATGTTGCCATCAGCAAAGAACGTATCTGGATAGACGGTTGCTTCGATTTTAGCCATCATGGTGAGTGGTTGTGCATACCTCCTGTTTGCCCTCTGTCCGAAATGCTTGAAGCTAATAGGTTAGCGCAATTATAGGCCACGCGGGAGCTATGCTCCAGGCTCGCAGGCTTGGAAAGGAACTGTTTGTCGGTGTACATTCTGACGAGGATATTTTGGAGAACAAGGGTCCAACTGTCATGACACTTTCCGAGCGGTTCGCACACCACCCTCTGCTTTTTCAACCGTCAAGGTAAACACATAACTGACCTTTGGTTGCATTGGAAAAGAGTGTCAGCAGTTGATGCATGTCGTTGGGCATCAAAATCAATTCCCAATGCACCATATGTCACGCAGTTACCCTGGATCTCTCACTATGGTTGTTACTACGTGGTTCATGGAGATGACATCACTTCCGATAGTAACGGGGATGACTGCTACAGATTTGTCAAAGCTGCTGGGCGTTTTCTGGTTGTGAAACGTACCCCTGGCATTTCTACAACGGATCTCGTCGGCAGGATGCTGCTTTGCACCCGTACCCATTTTATCAAGTCGCTCCCTGCCTTTTTAAGGGGGGAAGAAGGCTCTGGGAGTGACGTAGAGCGGAAGCAGGTTGCGAATGAATCTTTCCAGAGAATTAAAGACTATGCAACTGATGAAACTGGTTTGCAACCGGGGCCCGATGTCTGGACCTGGGAAGCCTCAGCGCCAGCAAAACTCGAGCATAGTAGCACGGAACAAGGTAGTTTCCAGCATCTCGTTGAAGGCAAAGGACCAAAACCAGGCCAGCGAATATCCTATGTTGATGGTGGTTTTGATTTATTCTCTTCCGGTCATATCGAGTTCCTCCGCCGTGTCCTCGCAATCGAAGCTGAGGACGCAACTCGTCGTGGTTGGTACCTTCAGGACAGCATCGAGAAAAGAATAAAAGAATGTGGAGAAGATTACGGCCCGGCTTATATTGTGGCTGGTGTCCATGACGACGAAGTCATCAATCACTGGAAGGGACTGAATTACCCGATTATGAATATTTTCGAGCGAGGACTTTGTGTGCTCCAATGCCGAGTATGTGTATATCGCCCTGTCTGATTGTGTATGGGAGGAAACGACATGCAAAAAAGTAGCAGCAGCTAACATTGTTCATGAGTAGTATGTCCATGCCGTTATATTCAGCGCCCCATTCACGCCTAACATTGCCTACCTCAGAGCTCTTCCATTTGGCATGCCTGATGCGGTCTACCACGGCCCAACCACATTTATACCCCTCACATATGATCCATATATCGCTCCATCGAAGCTAGGCATTTTCAGACAAGTGGATTCTCACCCTTTCCAGCATGTGAACGCTGGTGAGATTGTGCAGCGGATCTTGAAGAGCCGGGAGGCATTTGAGGAGAGACAACGTGCTAAGCTACTGAAGGCGGCCATTGAAGCAGATTTTAAGGCGAAGGAAAAGCTTGGAAAGTAGCGGCAACAGAAGAGTGAGGAGGTAGGGGAACTGAGGCAATGTCCGCTACCGCTAGGGCGGAGAACCAAAGGCTCCCCACGCTGCACCTCGTCGAACGGAATCAAAACACGCATATGAAGCTCTTCTCGGGACAACAAGGAGGCTTTCTCCATATATAAAACGGCATTAAGCTTCATCGCTGAAGGAAAGAAAATTTTCCGACCTAGATATTACACTTCTGGAAAAACAAGAATTTAAATAACCACTGTTATAAGGTGCTACATGATATTTAGATACTGATCAATGGGTATTCATGCATTTGCCATTTCGAGTGTTGAAAAAATAAAGGAACAAAGCATCGAAAGAAAATATGTGAACAGCATGGAGACAGCGCTGGCAACAGTATTGGGTAATAAAGGTAATATCACAACTCATAGAGATATAAATCAAGGACCCCGTTAAACCTTCCTTCTTTTTTCCACAGATTATCGTGCGTTCCGTCGTCGAGAAGTTAAGATTATAGATTCGCAATCAACTTCCTAGCGAGTTGGCAGATTTCCTCCCTCTGCTTCCGTTTGTCACCTCGCGATTTCTACAATGAGACAAAAGGAATTAATTCATTGCTTAGCGTTCGACTGTCCAAATGTAAGGTGAAAAAGAAGCTGATAAAAATAGAAGGGGGATAAGGATATACTTTTTCCTGAGCGGTAACCTGTCTCTTCATCTCCCTCGCGAGATAGGAAATATTGTCATTCCATTTTCGCTCATCTGCCAGCGTAGTTAGCTCTACTGCATGTTGCTTCTCGAATGCACTTGTCGCGCTGGCGAGTCTCTTCTTAAATGTCATTGAACCGATGGCCTCTTTCGTAACATGTGGCAGAGTCACGGATTCAGCCCCGAGCATCTCAACCGCCAAACAGGCGATTTTCTGCTGGGTTTTGTTCCATGCTTTCCAATGGCTCTTTAGAGCTTTTTCGGTAGGGTTTAATAAACTGCAAACATTGACGAGATGGGCTGTATCTTTGTTGTCAGATGGAGAAGCTATCCTGTCCAAAGATTCTGGCTCCAGCGGGGAGAAGATAACAGCACGCATGACCCGGGAAAGTTCTACACTCTTGTTGTGCTTTGTAACAGTTTGTGTTAGCTGCTTCGCTAGCGTTTTCTCTGCGTTTGCCAGAGAGTTCGAAATCTCCTCTTGGATTTGGTACTGGGTGGTGTTGATGGAGTCTTTCGGGAGACTGTTGTTAGCGGGAGACAGCACACCAAGACAAAAAGATTCACAGGTCGACGCACCGACAAAGTCATGGAGGATTCGCTCTCCACCAGATCCAGGGGAATTCCTGACAGCCATTGGTGAGCCTGCGACTTTCGACTTACGACGTCCGACGTGGGTCGATACGAGCCGTTTCGGGGCATTCGATACCTTGGAGACGCTGAATTTTTGAAGAGGAAAACAGTTCCAGTTTCTCATGTTGCAATGGCGGGCACCTCTACGGGTGGGAGAATCTCTTTGTGAGGCTTTTTTAACAAAGATGCCACGGATCGGCACTGTTTGCTTCCCATGAGTACGTGACATCTCCTCTAGGCTTTAGGAGGAATAAATACACCGGGCGAAAACAAAGAACCTAGATGGGTCCTGTTTCGTCCCTGGAAAGATCAGAGAATGACGTATCCAGAAGGAGTAGGGAATAGAAAAAAAGGAACAGAGTACCAGGTCGAGGATTGCAGAAAGTGAGTTGGGTATATGAGAATGAATGTCCGTAGTGCTCAGCCGCCCGGGGTGGAGGTTATCTCAGCTTTCCAGGTTGGTGTCGCCGTATCAAAAAACACCAAACTGCGTGGCTAGACCGGACGGCATGTACGTATTCTTATAACAAAATAAATACATACATACAAATTGATATTGATTCTAGTCTTCTATGTGCACGCTGTACTTCTAAACGTGTACATGCAAACATCCAGGCAGAGGCCAGGTATCAATTATTGTAATTAAACAAAGAGGGAAAGAAACAGCTCAAAATAAAGAAAAACTGACAGCTGAGTAAACTAGAAAAATTAATATTGTACAAAATATGCTGCTGAAATGGAGGCTTTTATGGTTTGCTTTTTCACAATATGCAGATTTTTAGGATTACTTATTTTTTGTCTGCTTCATTTTTCTCTTCAACAGGGATAAGGATCCCATTTTCTTTCAGGAGTTTTAAGAGCTCTCCATTTGATGCATGGACATCAAAATGTCACACCCACCAACGAACTCCTTGTTTAGGTGCATTTGTGGGATCGTAGGCCAGTCCGAATATTCCTTAATACCTAAACATAGAACCAGGGATTTTATTGATAATCATCAAATGTAACTATTGACAATATTTGTTTTGGTTAGAGAGAAAGGCTTCGAAGAGGGGCCCACCTTGCCGCAGCTCTGCATCCTCCAAAACATTGAACGCAGTGAGCTTCCTGGGATCCACCCCCTGCAGTCCAAGAATCTGTATGCTTGTCCTTGAGAATCCACAGTGTGGTGTTTCTGGGTTGCCTTTCATGAACAAACAACTGGTGCAGATGCCACTGCTTTGTCAATAGCTGCTTTTGTTTCATTGGAAAGCCAGCAGGTTTGGGATGGGAGAGTATTTAGGAATGGGGATGACCTGTTGAGAGCAGATCTCGGCTTGGGGAGGAACCTCAAAAGCTATATAATTAATTTAATAGAATAGTTAGACTCATTGTTCTTGACAGACAAAAAGGATTCTCGAGCTCAGTATGAGGCAAACTTACAGAGTTCATGCCTATTCTTGCCACCATAGTTACATTAAAGCGATGTCAGTTTTCAAGAAAGAATAGCAAAAGTTGATCAGGACATGACGACGTTGACGCTGTTTGGTTGCTAACCCTAATTAGTGGATTGAATCCAGCAATTTCTGCCAAGCCCACATTGTGGCCTGAGCCCAGCTTCGTACCTTCACGTCGATGCTAAACGCAAAATTAGGGTCCTTTTCGGTTGACGACGACAGATACAGAGTCGATATATAGTCAATTATTCTGTACACAGGAGATGAAGATTACATTACACTTTATCACAACATATATGAACAGAGAATTCACATAGAGGGAAAGCAGTTATTAACTACCTGGTAGGATTGTGAGGTTATACATCATATTACAAATATAACAAAAAGTATATAAAAACGTCCATGTCACCGTAGTTCGTCCCAGTCTTTTCTTTCTTCAATTGCGGAATTGGAAGCCTCATATAATCCAAACACCTGGGCCAGATATTCTCCCAGCAACCCAAAGGTTATTCCACCGCCAGTAATCCAGCAGCCATTCTTAAACCACCACCAACAATTCCCAACGTCCTTCAACTTGACCTTCCATATTAATGTGGAAAGTGTGGCAAACGCGCTACCACAGCTTCCGATAAAGAAAATGGGGCCAGCATTCACAGCCACGCCTGCTGCTGCTAGCAAAGTGACCTGGGTTACAGCCAAAGCAGAAAGTATTGCCTTAGTGTTGTGTTCATGCTTTAATGCAATAGACTTAATGCCAGCAGCAGCATCATATTTTATGTCCATATGGGCGTAGATCGTATCATATAATACAGTCCACGCTACGCAACTCGAATACAACGAGGATGCAGCCAATATCGCATTGGTGTTTCCTAGAAGATCGATGTTCAAGGCTGGAAATCCCATAATGGCTCCCCATGAGAAAGTCAACCCCAGAACGAACTGCGGATAGTTCGTCACACGTTTGGCCAAGGGATACGCAGCCACAAACAATAAGCTTGGAATTCCATACCATAAGCACGGTGTGGGGAACTGAAGGAGAACACCTAAGCCCACCAGAAGCTGAGCGCCAGTGAAAATAACGGCATTTCTCGGGGGTATCGCTTTCCTTGCTATAGGCCGTAGCCTCGTTCTTTCGACGTGGGGATCCAAATTCCGGTCCCATAAATCGTTGATTGTGCAGCCAGCTCCTCGCATAACCAGAGCACCCACAAAGAACATGCCGCATACGGACGCTATCTCCAAGGCATGGGTTATTGGCGATGCCAGGGGCGCTGCGAGAAGCGTTGAAAAGGCGCAGGGGAAGAACAAGTAATATGTTCCCGTGGGTTTATCAAGACGGATCAGCTCTGCATAGGGGATCCACGGCCTGGGCAGCAGGCTTATAAGACCTGTTTCTGGAGGACTGTATGTCACATTTGGTAATGGTGGAGTCGGAGAGGGTTCCGGTGCAAGCGGAGATGATGGCGCCAATGTTCGTAACGACGAGGTTATGTGTCTGACCGGTAGTAGAGCATATTTTCTGCTTGTAATCAAATCGATGGTTGTGTTGGTCACGCGCTTGTATGATTTACAGTGTGAAGCACGCGGCGGCAACCAGTGATGCGGTAAAATGTAATATCCGCAACATAACCTAGTTTTTATTTTGTAGGAGCTCAGGTGTAAAGGAAACTGGACACTTGAAAATATCCTCATTGCTGGCGATAGGGTCCAAACAACTGAAAAGTAGTAGGTCCAGGAAATTATTTGAAGCAATTGCCTTCTTAGGGGTAGGCCATGAACCAAATAATCAGAGTACAAACGTTGTACAGATCGAGTTACGGCGTATTCACGGTTACCGCCCGCTTCTAAAGTCTTTTAGCCAGTGTCAAACGAAGATCATATGGAGCTACCCATGATATTATCATGTGATCAAACCACATCTTAAAGCAGCGACGCTAGTGTCGCAAAGCGCTTCGTTAAACCGCCAACTGTTTATAATCGCTATTATTTTCATCATGATCCACCCTGTAACTACACCGTGTTAGCTAAACTACCACACTTTCTGCACATTGCAGAGCTTCCCCTTCTCGGCCACGAGCCGTCGCCCTAGTGGGAAGCTCGCCCGATAATCGAACCACGGATCGCTGTTATTGAGAGAATTCCGTCATTACCGCCATCATGCCCAGTCCCAGCCATCCACGAGCGGCTTTCGAACCCATTTCCCCAGGCCTCGATCTTGGCGCGCTAGTTGAATCAACTCCCAACTTCGAGTATGTTGTCAGGATCCATTGCGATGCGATCATTGAGCAGGGTATTGAGAACTTCGAAAAGCTGGTCCTCCTACATGTAATCCTCGGCGGGAAGCCATTGGTCATAGAGGGATATCAGGATCGGTTAGAGAAATGGATATTTGGAATCCAGTGGTTGAAAGATAATCACGGCTCCAAAAGTATGTCATAACCGTTTAATATTTATATTTAATTCCATATTCCATTCCTCTTCTCGCATTTCCTAATCAAACCCTGTGTGATAGTCGAGAATGCCAGAAACTTAACCACTAAATCAAACTTACCCCTTTCCATAAATCACTACTTGAAGAACATGGCTCTGCTCACGAACCAATGGAATGCATCAAATTACAAAGATATGAACCGTCAGCGAATTTATTTGAAAGACATCGATTGCCCTCCGGTTTGGTTTGACAAATTGAAAGATTTACTGCCTCCATTTTTATATTATTTAAACGAAGCTACAGGTGAGAGGGGAAGTAGATCTGGAGACCTAATGAGCAGTCTTCCCTCTGAAATGCGAGCAGAAAACCTAATGTGCTACATTGGGCATGAGGGCACCTATACTCCGGCGCATCGCGAGATGTGCGCTACACTAGGTCACAACATCATGGTGGAAGCCTCGACTGGTGCAGTTGAGGATGGTAAACCGACCAAGCCAGGCTCCTCTATTTGGTTTATGACGGAAACGAAGGATCGACACCTGGTATCCGAATACTGGTTATCAACTCTCGGACATGACATTGAGATCGAGAATCATTTCGCCCAAATAAATGCGTGGAAGGCTGCGCCTTTTAAAACATATATTGTCGAGCAGCGAGTCGGTGACTTTATTCTAATTCCGCCTCTCGCGCCGCATCAGGTCTGGAATAGAGGAACTCGGACCATGAAAGTTGCCTGGAATAGGACTACCGTCGAGACACTGGAAATGGCTATAAATGAGGCTCTTCCAAAGGCAAGAATGGTTTGTCGTGATGAGCAGTATAAAAACAAGGCGATCATTTATTATACTCTCCAGAAATATTCGCGTCTTCTTCGTGATACCCAGCACGGACACTATACCCATGACATGCGTCAACTTCAGAAGGATTTCCGGCGGTTGTTTTCACTCTTCACCAAGATATTGATATCTGAAAGCTATTCGAGAAATATGGTAGAGCCGAGAAATGTGGAATATCTTCCTTTCAACAGCAATGTCACATGTTCCTACTGCAGATGTAACATCTTTAATCGATTTTTAACCTGTCCTTCATGCGTTGGAAAACTGCCTGACGGTGATGACGATACATATGATATTTGCATGGAGTGCTATTCCATCGGCAGAAGTTGCGCGTGCGTTTCCAAGCTTAGATGGGTTGAACAGTTTCGGTGGAAGGATCTTGTGCAGAACTATGATATTTGGAGAAACCAAATAATTCAGTTTGAGAAACATGGTGATCCATCCCAACTACCTCAGCCACTTCTTGTCGAGAGGGAGCGTGTGGGCAAAAAAACTCTCGCAGAGATTTGCCAAGAAGAATTGAAACGGAGACCATGGACAGACATTACCAAGCCTCATGCTCGTGAGGAGGAGGAGGAGGAGGAGGAGATTATTGAAACCAATGATGATGGGCGAGTTCGAAAGCGCAGGAAGATTCGAAGATCGGATAAATGGAGGAAAGAGCATGGAAATTGTCATATCTGCAAAACCCCGGAACCTTCCTGGAAACAGGCATCCTGCTCTACATGCGGATTGAATTACTGCTATGGAAGTCTTTTTAGGGCTTTTGAGACCTATCCTCGTACTGTCATGGAAGATCCGCACTGGACATGTCCTAAATGCCGAAAAATCTGCTCATGTGGAGCTTGTCGCCGTGATCCCACGATGAAACCCTTTGAGCCTGCTGGAACTTTGCTCGGCCATGACACCCGAAAAGTGGCCGATCCGAGAAGTGTTGAAAGCCTCGTAGACTTTAGTCAATCAAACTTGACCTGGCTGAAAAAGGTGGGCGATCACCCGCAGAAGCAAGACACACGGAGACTCAAGAAAAGACTTGAGGAAGCCCAAAAAGCCAAATCTAATGGCCCCATTCTCAATGAGCACTATGTGGATCCAGTGGAAGAAAGAATACTTAGATTGGCAAGACACGAAAACATTCCTTTGGACCCGGCTCTGGCGAATAATAGCTTCAACGCGGCTGAGGAAGAGGCAATTCCCGTCGATCCGGCTCTGATGTCTGGCCAAGTTGACGCACTTCCACCCAACCCTCAGTTTGCTATGCCTGATAACGCTATGTTCCAGGAAGAGATGTCGGACCGCTACGAAGCCACGGAGGCTATCACTTTCGAATATCCCGACCCGGAGACCATCCCTCCTGGTGTGCCTCAAGGTCACTCAATCACAACCGTCCCAGGGGCTAATAATCGAGATAATGGAACAGCTCGACATCCGAATGTGAATTCCTACCCAGAATTCGGCATGGATGGTATGGTTGATTTCGCTAGTAATGCAATCATACAATCTGATATAATATCGGCCAATGCCATTGCGTACACCAGTCGAGTATTGCCCGACAGACTGCAAACGTTCAGAGCGGAAGAGGACGATGATTTCAGATTACGAAAACAGCGCCAATGGAAGCCCAAGGGAAAGGCAGGTAGAAAGCGAGGTAAAATTAAAGTTACATATAGGGAAGTGGTCGACCCTTCCAGTGAAGAGGACCAACTGCCAACAGTGCCGGAAAAACAAAACTCTGTAGGAACTAGGAGATCGGGTCGACGTGTTTCTACCCAGCGTAAAAATGTATCACCTCCGGCGAAAGGTCCCTCGGTAGATGTCATATCAGCAGAATCAGAATGGGAAGAGGAACGAGAACAAAGCCATCCATCCACGGGCAGTTCTGGCTGCGCTAATGATACTGGGGAAATTATACGCATTGATTCCCCCCCTTCTCTAAATTCATCACCAGCTAGTCCAAAGAATGGAGGAAAGGGGCGAGCTACGTTTACCGTCAATACCCAAGCTCAGCCCTCTCCACCTGCGCGGCCCGAAAGCCAGTCACATCCTATGACAGAGGCGGAAAGGAATCGCAAAGCAAAAATGATGGCACTGCGCTGGGCAGAGGGACATGGGAGTGAAGATGATGGAAGTGATGGGTGGAATTAGTCGTGGCTTCAAGTTCAAGAAGTAGCAACTTTTTTACACCCGCGAACTTTCCCTTGTCATTTGCTGCCGTGGGTATCGCAATTACATTCCAGTTTTGTCTCATGTCGTTCATTTTAATAGTCGAGAACGAAGTGATCAACGGTTGGTCGTGTGCTTCCACAAAGGCTCCATCCAACTCGTGTATTTGTCATCTTACTTTGTTCTCTAATGCTTCATCAGATCGACATTCTCCCGTAGCATCGTTGATAAAGAGAATTAACATATATGTACAGTACTATTGTGAATTTTGGCATGCGGATAACAATGACAACAGAAAATTTCATTGTATTTCCTTTCAAAAATCGGCAACCCCTAATTTATTAATCGCTACTCCAAAAATATCATCATCATTAATTTTAAAACTATTAGAGTCTTGAATAACTCGTTATACTTTTCATTCATATCAATAGAGTCGCTCAAGCAGGAAGGAAAATAGTAAGGGAAGACCGCAACGCAAAAACCAAGTACTCCTCCTTGGTTGTTGGCTGATTATCTAAATAAGCATCAGTCGGACAGGAAACTGTCCCAGTTTTCGTGGGTATTTTCAGGTGGCCCTTTGTGATTTGATGACTGAAGCCTATACGATGATGAAACGCACGAATGGCGATAGAGCCGCATGTCCAGGAATGCACCGCTCATGGCATTGCTACACAGCCATTACCTCACCATATATGAATGATCCTCTTAAGCACAATAACTCCCGTGCCTCATGCAGTGCGATTAGGCGCCCTTATATTCATACCGCAGATATTCGAGTTCTTTAATATCAATTGACATCATGATCTTCCTTGAACCCCAGATGAGGATGAACACAGCTGCTCGCAATTATCAAACAAATTTAGCCTGCTGTTCCAACACCAAAGTAAACAGTTCTATTGTGGATGGACTTACAACCAGGAACGAGATACAATGCCCAGAAAACATCTCCATTATGGCTGTTGTTTTCTGTGGAAAATGCAACGACGGAGAGCGTGGCGCAAATGACAGTATTTGCAGCGACGAGATATTGCCTGAGTGTCATGGGCCATTGCTCAGCTCCGGTGTCTCTTCTGGGGAGTTCGTCTTCGGGATCTGGACGTCCTAGGCGAATGTATTTCATAATGTACGCCGTTGAGAGAAGGGAGGCAATGCTGAGTATGCATAGAAGCCTCTGGGATCCTGTAGATGTAGAGTAGAAGATATAGGGTAAATACAGAAGGATAGAAGCTAATGGCAAGGCGGTGAAAATAAGCTACGAAATACTTGTCAACAACTTGGACATTTGCAAGGATTTTCGCAATTTAGCAGTTAACATATACGTACTGTATATTGGGCATTCCGCTCCTCGTCCTGGCGCAGTAACTTTTGGATCATTGCCTCTTGCTCTATATTGGGACGCCATATCTAGATCAGCACTCCCTCTCCACAGTTCTACAAAGATCAAATATTATAGATAACGGAAAAGTCGCCTACCCTCTTCATCCAGCTCTCCTCTGGTTTCATGCTCGCTCTCTGAATCCGGGTAGCGGAATGTCCTTCGCAAATTCACGGATGTCATTTCGTGGTGGAAGGACTGTTTCCATTTAGATATTCTGTTAATTTAGACACCTAGGTCATTCACATGTGGAAGAAAACATTACAATCCCTGGAATGAGGCGGACAGAGTGATATTGAGCGGTATTATAAATGGTTTAGTGAAGTTATGGTAATGATATTATCGTATGGAAAATGGCCTTCTAATTGGCTAGCCTTAGCCGGATGGAACAAAGAACACCATAGTGCTACAACTTTTTGTTGGCTTAATCCCTGATTTTCAATGACTAAAACAGTAAAAAAAGTTGATTTGCACTCATAATTGTTGAATATACGACTGTAAGAAGGTTGAAACTGCAATATTCTAATTGGTGCTCGCTCAATGAGACTGGCCGAGAAAGTGAAGCACGTTAATGCGTTAAAAAAGCAGCAGTTAGCCCTCAGCGGGGGGTGATGAGAACATCCTTTGAGCTGTCTACTCTCGTGGTGATCCACAGCCTATTCCATCCCACTTCCGCGTCCGCCATCTCCTTCACCAAATGCTCACAACTACATCAGGCTCACACTCAAGTCCGGCGAGCAAACCATGAGTTCCATTTGGTAAAGTCAGATTGAATATGGCTCTGCATCTTGCAAATTTTCGTAACTGTCATTGATGTCTTCATACTAGACATACTTAGTCATCAGAAATCCTCATTAATTGTGGTGAATAGCACACTCTATCATTGCAAGTGTCATCTAAGAGAAGAGAGCTTCTAGGTGATGAGATATACTTGGGAGAAAATTCCCATGATCAGTGGGAAAATGAAAAGTTACATGGGCAAATTGATATCTCATTTTGAGTTAAGAAGACAAATGGCAAGGTGAAGATGAGATTAGGGAGTATCAGAAACAGCAGGAATGGTTTTGTAAGTACGGCGCCATTGGGTCTTCATTGGGTCTTCATTGTTGGGCTTTATTCATTTGACACATGATTTCAGAAGGAATTAAATGAAAATATCTTGCTGTTCTAGTTTCAAACCAACTACTGAACTCTTCCATCCAAGATGGCACAATAGTCCCAGTACTAAATGCAGCTCAGGGATATCCTTTTCAAACTGTGATGGCAGCAGACACTACTACTAATTTGAAGACATTAATTTGAAAAGGGAAAATGTGCATTGATGAATAAAAAACAGTGCCTGTGCATTAGAGTGCCTTTTCCCTCATCGCGTGGTGTTCGGGTGTTTTGCTACTTATTAGGATGTCTGTTTTGATATGAGCATTGAGATTATTGGAAACAGCTCAACTAGATGACAACAGGAAGAGATGTGACCAAAGACAAGCAGAGAAGTAGGATATATTGAACTCTGTTTGATCTATTCGTAAGCTTGAAACGAGAATATCTTGATAAATTCTATACAATAATACACAAATCGAAAATCATCTATCCTGATCTACATCTCAACAACTCTCCATTTTGGATTCTGTGTTTTGCCTCAACGCAATTGTTGGCCACGGTTTTTTGAGTGCATCCTGCAGTTTCACGATGCAACCCTTCGGACCGCTTACGCTGCCTATAAGCCATTCAATATTAGTTACTAACCACGAGAGAATGATGAGATAAATGCAGCTAACCATTGACAACCACGATGCCTTTCTCCGCATCAACCTTCAACACTTTCAGGTTTTGCAACGTCACCTGCTTGTTGCCCATATTGCCAGCCATCTTCTTTCCCGGATACACACGAGAACCGCCACCCTGACCGGGACCCGACGAACCCATCGAACGATGGGTCAAACTAACACCGTGACTCCGATCTTGGCCGTGAAACCCATGTCTCTTCATGACACCTGCGAATCCCATTCCTCGACTATTTGATCGTGCGTCGACGTATTGACCTTCCTGAAACCAATTTGCATTAATCATCTCACCGATGGGTAGCAGGCCGTTTTCGTCCTTCACCCGGAACTCATGGATATGTCGCTTGGGTGCAACACCATTCGCCGCGAAATGGCCCAGCATGGGCCGTGTGACTGCGCGCTCATGTTTCCAACCACAACCAATCTGGACAGCGTAATATCCATTTTTCCTGAGGGTTTTGTGAGAGATGACTTGTACTCGGTCAAGTTGGAGGATTGTACAGGGGATTCGTTTGCCAGTCTCCAGATCGAAGATAGCGGTCATCCCCTTTTTTATAGCCAGGGTGCCAGTTCGTAGAGGGGTAGTAGCAGCTTTGCGCTCGTGGGCTACCGATGGATGGGACGTGAGAATTGGGAGATTTGGGCCAATATTGAAATGGTCTGCCTTTGGAGGGTACATGGACCTGATGCCAAAGGCTCTTCTTCCAACGACATTGTCGACATTAAAACGGGAAATTGAGGTGGAGGGGAACAGCAGCGCATGCTTCCCTAGCAGCCGGAGTAGCATGACTAATCGCTGTTAAGACAATCGGTCGAAACCAGTAGGGAAAACAGATCAAGGAGAGCTCGACGCATTTGTATTCGAATCTACACGCAAGTTCAGTTAAACTTTGAAGCAACGGGGTGGCTGGAGACGCTATGCCCACCAGACAATAGTGGCACTGCTGTTTTAAGCATGTCGATTTGTGGGCCCCTCATCCATCCTTACAACTACAGGGGTACATTTGAATTTTTCACTTTTACAATCAATTTTTATATAATTTTAATCTTTTAATCTATTCAAAATCATTGTACACTCTCTATAGTCTCTTTCTATATATATTTTATATAAATCAAGTGATTATAAAGTTTTCAATACTTTTTTATTTATTTAAAAATAATAATATGTAATGGGTGTGCCACTGATTAAGCAGATATTATCAATGTTGCAGATTAAACCATTCATACTGCCTGCACAGTTCATACAATCTGTTTCAATGACAATATCAATGAACTTGACACTATTCTGATAATAGTTTATAAATTAATTAAGAAAAGAAAGAGAAAGAAGATCAGAGAAAGAGATTATATAAGAGAATTCTTATAGACAAAAGAATCAGAGTAGAAGAAATATCAGAAATCATACTCTAAAAAAGTATGAAATAGAAGAATTATTAGAGTATTAAAATATACACAATTGTGAAATAGAATTATAAAAAGATATGAAAGAACTTTATAAGTATATATAAATATATAAGTATATGATAGAGAATTGATTGTATAAGTTAACTGCTAACAGATGTTAATTCATTATATTATCTTTTTCTACTGAGATAAATAAGAATTTATAGATATTGAATACAGCAGTGTTTTTTATAATAAATACAGATTTTCAGATTGAATAATTGTATTCTATTTATTTAATAAAATATTTATAGCAGCAACAACTGATTCTATTACTGAAAATTATTTCAATTTCTCATTCAAGTTTATTATCTTCTTCTATAATGATAGATGATTGTTAGTCAGAGATTTTCTGTAAGAAAAATAAATTCTCAGCTGTAGATTAGAGTAGATTTATATAAAAAATATTATAAATATTAGATAGAGTATTCAATCAATAGTTATAAATATCTAATACTTCTACTACTATGTATTTAATATAATAGTAATTCAGTATATACAAAAGATAATCTATTTTTATATTTCTGAGATTTAATCAAATTTTATCTTCTATATTATATTAAATTATAGAATTTTTTCTAATATTTATTTAATTTTTATAGTTCTGCTGAATACTAATTATTGAAACTTTAGTTTATTTATAGATTTTTTTAAACTTACTGATTATATTCTCTATTATTTATATAGAACTGTAGATATATATAATCTCTCAGAGAATTTCAGAAAAGTTCAGAATTTCTAAATTATAACTGTATAAAAGAGAGAATAAACTTATATCTATTATAGTAGAATTTTAATTATTTATAATAATCTCAGTATACAGCAGTAGATCACTTCAGTTATTTTATATATAATTATAGAATTTTCAGAGAATATTTTTAATTATCTATATTATTCTTTCAGTAGCTTCATTGATTTCTGAGTAATATATTATTAATAACTTTTATTTAATTTTTAGTAGCTGATATATACAGATTTAGAGTATGCTGATGAATTGACTATCTCTATTTAATATAATAAATGAAAATAAATTATATATACAATAGAATGAGTTTCTGATGAAGATATTTATAATAATTTTAGTATTTATTTTATTACAGAGCTGTAGTATTATATTTTTACTGAGTTAATTGACAATAATCAGAATATTTATAGAATCTCTATTTTTAAATAAAGAAACTATAAAATCAATAGCTATATTATATTATATTTATTCAGAAATAAGTAACAGTTTTAATATTTCTTTTCAGTATTTATATTATACTGTTACTGAGCTGTAGTAATTACAATTGTATATAAATCAATATATATTTTTTAATATATCTGATCAGTAGAATTTTTGAGTGATAATATTATATATAATTTTATACTCTGAATATCTGATTATTGATGAATTATAAATTTCTTATATAATTTATATTTATAAAGATTCTGAATCAGAAATCTATTATCTATTTTGAAAATATAGATAATTATTATTATCAATTAAATATCCTGAGATATTTATTCTTGAGTATATATCTGTAAAAAATTAAAATACTCT